GATTGTGCCAATGTAGAGCTTGTGGACAACTCCTCACACTTGGAGGACAGTGAGAATGATGGAAATGAGATTATTGAACACTACAACAGCGATGGCAAGGAGGGTGAAGCTGATGAAGACGAATGGGATGGTGAACAGGACCATTATCCTGAGCATGGGGAGATGGAGGAGGAGGAGGAGGAGGAGGAGGAGGAGGAGGAGGAGGAGGAGGAGGAGGAGGATAATGACCATTTATCCTTTTAAATTGCATGGGTTCTACTAGTTGTGAATGTTAGTCTTTTGCCCATGAAGCTTGACCCAGCCACAACACTTCTTGCACTGACACAACGATGAACACTAACTGCATACAACTCTGAGGACTACGTTCGTCCATTTCAGCGTATTTGCCTGCTATATATACTAATAATGATACATGGCTGCTTGTGTACTAGCCTAAGGAGATAAGAGAATGTTGAAATCAGCATCTGCCCCAGAGTACCAAAGATTTCCCTCGCAATGGTGAGGTGACGACGCTCGCAGGAGTTTTCACATACTGAAGCATTGATTCATTTCTTTGTTTTGGTTCTGTAAGTGGCTAGTTCTTCCCTGCAACAGTACAATTGTTGTCTACCGAAGGGAGCAGTGTTTTCAAATGGGTGAGCGCTAATCGAAGTTTCCGAACGTTCTACTGATATAATTCAGACTAGAATCAAGTCGTCTTTCCTTGTGGCAGGATATTTGCATCATTTATCTTTCCCTTTTCCAATACTCATTGGGTAGTCTGGTAAGTCCTGCGCATTGAGTTTCTGGATGCCTAGCAGAATTATGAAGCTTTTACCTACTAGATCCTTCATTCTAGTGTTCTGTTCTGTCTTTTGTTGCCACACAACATACCAAAAGGTATGCACTCTGAATTACATCATCACTTGCACGCTGTTGATCATCCTTCTCTGCCCTTGCATTCGTGGTAGATTGCTGCCCACTGTCATCTACCTGCTCACCCTCGTCATTCTCTATATCTGCACCACCACCTGCTTCAATATATTCAATGCTGACTTGTGCTTTGATGCATTGCAAACATCTGCATCTTTCCATTGCAACTTCAGGTGCAAGTTTTTGGCTTTGAGAAGCTTGTTCTTGTTGTACAGGAACTGAAACTGATTTTCTGTTTGGTCTTTCAGTGTCGAAAAATTCAGTTTCGAGCTGTTCATGGGCGACAATTGCGGTATTGAGTCTTGCAAGATTCACAGACACAGTGAGGGGGAGAGTTGAACTGTACCATTACTAGGACATCATACAGTGCTTGTAACTACATCTGAGATTCACCAGTAGTACTGCTATATGATCTGCTTGTTACTATGGCCAATGGTTTGCAGCGTGAGCAGTAATTGGTGCGCTATAGCCGGCTGCAGCTGGCAGTGGGGGTACTGGGTAGGTGGTTGAGGATTATAGAGCGAACAAATTAAACAAGAATCTATGTGAAATGAGACATGAATGCACAAATATTGCAACCAATCGTTTGACATTACAGCTGCAATGGACCTGACAAAAATCTCACATGAGTCTGCTATGGATCTGGAGGTTTTTGCCACATCTGTCCCATACATAATCTGCCTTTTTCTGCAGTGGCTCCATCATGATTGCTTTCTCTTAGCCCATCAATGTGACACACGATACATATGCAATACTGCCTGTTTCTGAATGGTTCACAGAAGTTTACATTTTTGTTAGGGTTCCTACAATCTCAGTTCATCCATCTACTAGTACTTACGATCTATGTGATATCTGAATCCAACACAGTCTGTATCAATCCCCGACTCCACTTTAGTGGAAGAGGGTTTTGTCACAAGGAAATGACTATTTCTCTGCAAACGGACCCATGGGTGTGGGAAAATGCGGGTGTGGGAAGATGTGTGCTTGCTTAGTTCGGTGGTTGATGTTGTGGGAAAGCATCGCGCTGTCCTTTTTCTTTCTCCACCAAATACTTGCAGATACACTGAAAAAGCATGCACTGCGGCAGGCACATGTGAGTATAATTTGTTTGTTTCATTGCAGTATAGCTTATGTGTGTTCAGGGTTTTTCTTACAAAGTTGCCTTGTCATTTGGCTCGAGTCCATCATGATTCATCATGCTTCTTCTGCTCCGTCATGAACATTGAACGTTAACCTTCATGTCACTTAGTGGCCATCTGGCCCTTGGAGTGTGTGAGCATCTGCTCAATTATGCAGTTGTCATCTGACCTTGTCCAAGCTTCTGCTCCATCAACTTTGTGCTGCTGACACCATCTGGCTCTTTGAGTGCGTGAGCATCTGCTCAATCAAGGAGGTCATCTGACCTTGTCTGAGCTTCTGCTCCATTCGGGAACTTCGTGCCGCTGAGGCTTTCCAAGTGCACGAGCATCTGCTCAATTATGCAGTTCATGCAACTCTGGTCATCTGACCTTGTCTGAGCTTCTACTCCATCATGAACTTTGTGCTACTAATCACCATCTGGCTCTTCGAGTGCATGAGCATCTGCTCAATTATGCAGTTCATGCAACTCAGATCATCTGACCTTCTCCGAGCTTCTGCTCTGCTATGAACTTCATGTCACTCAGGTCATCTGACCCTCCAAGTGTGCGAGCTTCTGCTCCTTTATGAAGTTCAGGTTCACCCAGGTCATCTAGCTTCCCACAAGCTTCTGCTCACAGAAGGTCATGTATGCGTGTTGATAATAATTGATATCTCAGGCTAAGGATTACTATTTGTTGACTCTTTGCTATAACTTTCACAGCTGACACTTTTCAAACCAGCCGGATGTGATGAGACTGCGGAGCCTGCCCCTATATTCACTCATTACCCCTACAAGCCCGCCATCAGTCATACACGTCCTTGGATCGATCTTGCTTGCCACTTCTTCAGCCATAAATTTTATTCCTGTGACTTCCTCCTGGCATTTGCAAAGCACTGCATACCTCTAGAAATGGCCTTCGCCTTTAAGAATATTGAAACATCACAAGACGTGGCCTCTCAATTCTTCTCCTGTCACCATATAGCAATATACTTTGTCATCATCACAGGTAGTAGAGCTCACACAGATCAGTAGCGATGATCTGTTCCTCCGAGTCTGCGGCAGGCAAACCACGTCGCCTTTATGAAATGTTTAGACATTTTGACAATCACTTAGCACGTCAACAAACTTTCAGAGATGCTGGTACAATATATATAGGACTAACAGCTGTGCATGAAAACCCCGCGACTCTGGTTGAAAAACAAAGTGTGTGTATTTTAATTATATAATGAAATTCCCTGGAGTTCATGTTTTTCGCTGAGATCAATCGGATTTGAAACAACTTTCACGAGATTTGACATTTCTGTTGCCATTCCCCGGGGGTCGATACCCTGTGCCATGACGAAGCTTCCCTCAAAATTTATGACTAGTAAATGAGTGCCCTCAGGACTTGCTCACTGGACTTAACTGATGCTACCATGATGTAGTCTTACATGTAATTTAGTCATGTAGCCTGGGCCAAATTCGAATCAATTTGAGAGTTGATGCCTCGTGTGGACTCCTCTCATCCTGCCAGTCATAGTATGCCTTGTGTTCGCATAGCAAGGGGTACACACATTTTGTTCATCGCTACTTACCACGATCGATGTTTTTGTGGTAGACAAAACTCTCAAGTTTCACGCTTGTGACCCATCAAGAGGTCAGCATAAATGATGCATGGCTGCTCTCAAGATTGACGGCTTTGTCCACCAAAGTTTCAATGGCTATGACTCCGATGAAAGGGAGCCTGATTTTCATTCTCAACTGCAATCTTCAATGACAATGGTAATTACTTTGCAGGCCCGGACATTGTTGACGATACAGCGACATTGTTCATGTTGTCTGCACAAGACCCAGATGCTGTCGACAATATGGCAACAGTGTCCACTTGGACTGCCCAAGACAAGCCTGAGACTGAGGGCTCTCAAAGCAACCCAGAAAGTGTAGGGATTATGCCAGATCTGTTGGGGAGTCCTGTCGTGGGTGGTGTTTGTCATGACTTGGACAATTTCCAGTCAGTGGATGACGCCACCCCTGTCGCCGCTCCAATGACAGCCAGGGTAGAATCTCAGTCAATCAATGAATTAGATTTGATGGACATCATAAATTGGCCTGCAGGAGTAGTTCTAGCTATTTGTGACATTCGGCACCTCATGACAAGCTCGTCGTACCTTCAGATTGACATTCTTTGTTTTCACTCATTTGCTAGTACATAACTGTCGTTAAGTCTTCTCCTGATGTCTCTTTATGGCAAATACCTCATTAGGTTAGTCTGTGACTCGTTGGAGTCAGAACATGTTCCTTTTTCTTAACACCGTCTACAACCGAGCGGTTACACCACATGATTACACAATACATTAGTTCCACAATCACTTGCTTTACTGTGACTAGTAAGTACTTCATATGCACACTATCACAGGTGAGTCTGTACTAATCGGTGCACTAGGTTAGTTCTGACCAAAACCTTTAGCTGGTTCTTATTATTGTAAAGTGTCTGTCTTTTAGACTCCAACTCCACTTCCCATCTGCCCTGACTCAATATTCAATGCCTTCACTCCGTAGTAAGTGCTCACCTTCTCCTACCAATCTTTTGTCTCCTCACAATCCACACATGTCCCGCAGACATGTCCTGGCCTCAAGCTCACCCAAACACGATATTTGTGCCTTATGCTCTCACTCCAGCAGCCGCAGCAGTGTTCGAGTCTCTGTTCCCTCATATGATACAGTTTTCCTGATGAAACGAGCGCTCTGATAGACGTGATCAGACGGGACAATGAGACAGGTTTTCTGGTGAGTGACATGCACCCTCTTCTCTGCGCTCTTCCACTCACGGTTCATGACTGCAGATACATCTGAGGCGCACATCCACATCTTCGACCCTTACAGGCCGTGTCCTCCTCATTTTCCTCTTCCTCTTCCTCAGCTTCATCATCCAAGGAAAATGGAGCATAGGCTACATATTTATGCCCTTCTTTGGACTCTCAGATGCACAATGGTAGATATTGGCTTCAAAGCAAAATGGTCCACGACTTTCCTCATCATCTTACTCAGCATCTTTAATGTCTTTGTGAATAACTGGTGGAGCGTACATAGTGCTCATCCTCAATGTAATTTTCCTAGGTACATATGTGTTTTGGATTTTTTGGGTTTGTGCTGATGAGCTTTTTTGTAGGTACAATTTCTTCCAGACATTGCAAGACACTCCCTTGACGATTTCTTTATTGAAATCACAGTAGCAGTGCCCCTGCCTAGGATTGTTTGAAGTCCTGTTGTCGGACACCTCGGTACTCCTGTCCCTGTCACCTCTGTTCTTGGACCTGTCGTCTACCTCTCTGTGCACCATATACTAATTTCCCCACCCTCCAACAATTCCACATTGCAGCCGCTCCTCTAGTGAGGATTGGCCCATCTTTTGAGTCTTCATCTAGTGTGTTATCTCTATGTTCCCTCGACAGCTGATACTCAAGTTTGGCTTTGTACTGCCACTGACTCCAGAAGGATTCTCACACAGCAGTTTTACCCACAGTACAAATGCTGCCTCAGCATCGAGGATCACACTGCCACCCTCCCAAAACTGTGCCTCGGATCGCGTGCATTCCAAGTACCAGAGATTCCTTGATCACGCCAGGCATCACACTCTGCATCACCCGTGCCAAGCTCACGAACTTGTGACACTGATATTGAGATGGGAGGACCAATGGATATGGACGTTCCCATTGATACACTTGACACGAGTATGTCAAGTGCAAACAAGGGCAAATGGAAAGTGTCGGTGCTTGATACGCCCAATGACCGGCTGTCTAAGCCCCATACCCTTGGTGGCGATCAACCAAGGGAGACGGTCATAGTGCGGGAAGTCACATCAGTGGGTTTGGTCTTGACATGCCTGCATCTATTTGAGGGTGCAGATCTGCTGTCTGCCCCTCCACAGTTGACATTCTTAAGTGTCAATGTAGAGGGAAGTGACTTTGTCTTTGGGGCCCGAAATTCAGATGGAGATGGTTCATGAGACCTTTGACTCGTTTTAACTTGGCTGATGTTTCTTGCAGGGGTCATGGAAGTCACGTTCGTTGATGGGAAGCAAACATTATGGCTGGACTATTTACCATATCCTGTGCTCGTGTTGACCACGTCCACCACATTTTGTGCTGCTGTTATGCAAGACGGCTCTGTCAACATGTATTCACACACAGGGCAAAGGTTTGTGATAAAACAGAAGTTTTATCGCTGTCTTAATATTGTTTGGCAGATTGATAGTGACTCTAAGCTTTGGCTCACCTTGTGCGATGATGCATGGCTGCAAGTTGGCAGGGAAACTTATCAAGGAGCTTTTTGGCCCACGTCATCCTGCTGCCTTCTACGTTCGACTTGCTGCACCATCCTGCTGCTCACTACGCCTCACCAACACCTCCTGACTGGGCCTACCACTCACTATCCCCAACTCGGCGCCTGCTGCTAGCACACACATCGACAAGTGCTGATGTGGCAACGATGGATGTGAGTGGTGCTTGGAACATCGGGAGGATTAACGCGAAGTTTGTAGATACCTCTTTGCTTTGTGATACCCAATCTTATGTTATCTATATGCAGGATAGCTCAGCCTGAACATGATCACCAACGCGCACGGTACAGAGCACTAGGATGTTATTGAGGAGATTCAAAAGTGACGCAGAGGAGACTGGCATAGATGACGAGGGACCTAGAGTATACTAGCTTTGTTGCGCCCCCGGTGGTGCACATTTGGGGTGTGTGTGTGTGTGTGGGGGGGGGGGGGGTGGGGGGTGGGGTGTACGTAGCAGGGTGTCTTTCAGGAACTCAGCCGGTAGCAGGTGTCGGTGACTCCAAGCCCCTCCCCCCCCCCCCCTTGAACTTGAAATTGGCGACCATAACATCATAATGTGGTCATGGACCATAGAAAAACTCTGAACCACGGTATCAATATTCTTTCACTTATATACTAGTAGTCATACTATAGACTAACCACTCACGCTCTTCGGACTAGCTCAGCTGTCTGCGAAGTGGACTTCTCACATGGCTCGTACATGGCAGTCCTCAGGAAAAACTGTAGGAGGACCTGCCAAACGTGGTACCTTGCCACTCAAAAAAAATACCCGGCATGTCGTCACAGAATGTGTCTTCAATGGGCCTACCAGTGTCAGTAGTAGCACATTATGGAGGACGAAGAACGCCTTGATAAAACTAAAACCCCAAAGATGGAACCTTGTAAGTGCTTGCCAGTGGGACTGTTGTGTGACACTACTAACTCTCACTAGTGGTGTGTGTTTTGCCAGGATGGTGCCAAAATCTTGTAAGGTAGAGGTCATGCAAATTCGACGAACATCACATGATGTGACCATAGTGTGACATGCTTATGAGACGACAATGCTGGAGTGGCAAACACTGTACGAAGTCACAATTATGAGAGCAGTGTGGTAAGTAGACAAAATGATGGTAGGTAGCAGATACTGTATGTACTAGTGTGATATGTACTGTATATAGATCATGGATAACATATTACCTTGAATTGGAGGCCATTAAGCCTTTGGGGAGGACCCGATGTCCTCGATACTTCTTTACAGCCCATGCTGCTTGAGCTCCATTAAGGCCATGCTTATAAGCAGCAATAAATCTGTAGGATCGCATAGCAAATCTGTTCAAGGAATGAAGGAATAAGACAAATGAAGAATCCAGGCACAAAAACCACTCACCAATGCATGGTTGACAGTGGTATCGAAGCCAGCGCAGCCACCACATTTCGCTCAAGATCTGCCTCTTTTGAAGAGGGGGGATTGAGCCGATAAACCCTCTTTGCATATCCCCAACACATCTCAATGAAATTTTGGCAAAAAGATCACCGAGAAGCCTCGTGTGTGACATGTGGTTTCCAACAGGGATTTAACATTGATGAAGTCGGGCTCATTGAAAAGGATTCAGCAACAACAGCAATCCTTTTGGCCTGCCTTGCATTTGAATCCCTTGGACTCTGCTAGAAGACCCTTTGTGTCATATCCTCGTTCTTGCAAGATTTGTTCCATCCCTTTGTACCATCTAGCTTGTGGGTGACCTTCGGGGAAATAAAGTAGCTGTGGAGTACCATTACGAAGGCATCCAGGAGCCATTGGAATTTTCTTTTTTGCTGGTTTTCCATCAGAGTGCATAAGTGGCTTTCCGTTGTCATCAGTTACGGTCACATCTACGTCCCATGTTTTCGATGGTTTTTTTGGCATAGGTCGGGCAGATAGTGCATCATCAGCATGTTTCACATGCGTTGTGGCATTATCAAAGACCAAGATATGGTCTTCATTTTGATAATGTTTTTCAAGAATATTCATTGCACAGGCAGCATGCTTTAGAATTTCATTGCTGGAATAATATCCATCATGCAATTTTCCTGCCTTGAAAAGAACCTGTGCACTTTCTTTTCCATCTGGGGACTGAAGGAAGCCATAATCTGCTGAGACAAAGTGTGCAACCATCAGCAAAGCACCTTCCCCTTTTGGCTGGGGTAGAGCATCTTCTTCGATATGCTCCCATCGCACTTTGCGGCAATCATTTGCATAGAATGTTGATTCATCGTGGAACCAAACAACAATATGGCAGGTAGGTTCTGGGAGGGGGGGGAGTCGTCACATGTGAGATCATCTTGTTTCCATGTTCGTAGATGTGACTCGATGCTTCCCCATGCAGGCAGAAATACATTTTGGCGATAATGGACGACATCGTCACATTCGTGACCATAGAAATACTGCCCCCTCTTCTCTTTTTCCACCCATAACCCAATTTCTGAAGCCACCGCTGAGCAGTGCTTATAGCGATCGATTTCTTGAAACCATGGTGATTCCACACAATGGGATCATCAAGATAATGTACAATATCCAGTGCACGAATATATTTCCCCAAACTCTGCAGGTGCAATTTGATTTCGGCTGCTAGTTCCTTGTCTTCGATGCGTGAGATTGTGTGGTTTTGCTGGCGTAGAGTTAAATTTTTTCGATCTTGGATATATGCCTTTGTCCATTGACAGAGGCAGCATGTGAGATATTCACCTCTTTCAAGTAGATTCGCAGTTTGCAGGGCTGCCTTGCCCCAGTTTGAAGTGTTATTGAGGTCGGTAAATAGGACAAGGAAGTCTTTCATTGACCGAAGACGTTCTTCAAGGACAGGGTTGAGTTTAGGGTGTAGATAGCCTGTCTTATCCTTCCTCTTGGGTTTGAGCAGGTTTCAGAGGTCCACTAATGCTTTTTTTGCAGCCTCAATGGTTGGGGGGCAGCGCAGTTCCCAATGGTAGTCTCACGTGCCCACCTTATCACCATCGTCACTACTCTCATCACCACCATCATTACTCTCATCACCATCACCACTATTAGAATTGATCTCCGACTCATCATCATTGGATGTAGCACCTGGGCCATGAGAGCTAATAGCCTCTGGACAGGCTGGTAATGCTTCAAACTTGAACTGAGGTGGATCCATCAAGTTCTGTCGCCATCATATCCCACGTATGGCAATGAGATCTTCTTCTTCATCAAAGACTTCCTCACATGAAACTGGGCGGTGTTGCAGGCTGCCAGGTACGTGACAGTGCACATGTATGTACTGGCCAACATGATTTTCTTCGATGCTAGGATCGGCGGCCTCAGTGCGATGATCAGACCTAAGTAAGAGAGCAGGTGGCTCGTTGTTATCAGGGGTTGGTCTGACATGATCCCCAAACCAGTGCTGCGGCTCGGAAATGACCTCAGCTTTCACAGGTAACATGGGAGCCAGTTTATTTTGAGGGTAAGGCTGCTCATTTTCATTGGTAACAACAGTATTGATAGATGTTCTCTATTCCCAAGCAGATGGTCAATGTTTTGCCACTAAGAACAAAACAGAATACTCACATTTTCTTTCTGTGAGCCTCCAGCCTCGTCTCAGTCTCGTCTCGCCCTCTTTGACTGATGTGCAGCTGCAGCATTGTTGATCTGTGCCTCACGACAATGTTTCCACCTCCCCATGGGTTCACGACTCGGAACTTCGGCTTGTGTGATGGATGGTGGCACCCAGCATTGAATTTCCGTTGGACTTCAAACTCATTTTTCACATATAATTGACCCTACAGAAAGCTCTCAAAATTCAAAATCTTTTCACCATCTCCACACAGTACTGATTTACTCTATAGATAAAGTGTACACTTGCTTTCCCCATATTTCGCATAAATTACTTTTATGCTTCCCGGCCCTGTTGGATTGATTTTGAATTTCTCAACTTTGTCACTCTAATGTAACGCTGGGCACATGATGTTCGTCGAATTCGCAAGACCTCTACCTTACGAGTGCTCATCTTGCCCGCGCATTGTATGTGAACATTGCATTTCCGTCCTGAAGGAGTCACAGAAGATTGTTGCATGCAACAACATTCTTTTCATTTGCCCTGGATGCCACGAAATTCAGAATAAGCGTGCTGCCAAAAGTATCATCAAACCCTATTTCATAAGCCGTTTTTTTTGCTTTTAGTGTTTTAATCTGTCTAACTCATTGTTGTAATATTAATCAGGGTTTTGAGGATGCTCAAGGGGGTCCAGCACTTGAAATTCCTGCCATTGTCAATGCCCACATTGAGCTGACCAGTCGGTCAGAGATATGCACTGCTCCAATACTTATTCTCAACTTCGTTCTCAACGGCATCAACCCTTCTGGGTCACCTGCAAGAGTGATGCAGGCTTTATTGCAACCATACATCCCTGCCAAAGACCTGCATTATCACGAGATTATTTTCGACTTCGGGACAGACGAGAAATTCAAGAGACATGAGAAGTTGATGGGGAAGCTCGTGAATGAAGTGGGATGAACTGAATTTGATCATGTTGAAGTCTTTGTCCTCACGCACTCAGAAACGATACGAGGTGATCTCTGGGGGGGCACGAGAATATTAATGCAGTATCTGTGGGAAATGGGAAAATCAAAGTCGCAAAACCTTCTCCTGTTGCCTATATGGTCGATGACGTAGGTTGGTATCTGCTTTCAATTCTTGTGTATTCACTCTTGACAGTTTTTTGCTGGAATTTTCGTCTCTGGCTTGGAGGAGATACTCAAGGGCGCCACATTATGGATGCTTGTTTTTGGGCACATGGTCCACAAAACTGAGTCATTCAAGAGGTTCACATCTTGTGTCAAACAGTGGGTCATTTGGTCATTACCCGCAGGGTTGACTCATTGCTGAAATCATTTTTGACAGTCATGACATCGAGAACGCATTCGCATTCGGTGCTGAAGGGTTGCATGTCTGCCTCACCACACCATTCATAGCCGCTTATGTTGAGCGCGTCCTCATTGAAGGCTTCCTTGTGCAAGAGGTCATGCCAAGTCTCCTGGTGGTGTGTTCTTGGCTCGCAATGCACACCTCTATCATTCACGTTCATGTCACAAATGCTCTCTGCCGTTGCCCACCCACTATTGTTGAATACAACAAGGGAAAATTACACATTGACGACAAGTCTTCGACCACCGTGTCGACCTATACCTTTTTCGATGAGAATCAGCGTCCATGGGGCAGCGCACTACCCCTTCAATGCTCGAGCTGCAAGTGTCTCCGTCAATGGAAGTGCATCTCCCCTTTGATTTCTGATAATGGTTCCGTGGTGAAGTTCACATGTAGTAAATGCAGTTTCATCATTGAATATGCGAGGCCCAGCCAGTCACAGATAATACTATTTACTCAAGGTTACCTATCCGCCAGCGCAGGTGGTCGGTTATCGAGAGAGAACCAAGGTGCAGGTGGTTCTGGGTGGTTGATATATACACCAGAAGTTGAGCCTGGTGTATAAGATGTTGCTCGATCACGAGTACCTGCTGGTGCTGTGACAATGGGATGATTCTCGCTTGTTATTATTATTTCCGTAGAATGTACGAACATACCACTCTCCTGCAAAGTCGATAGCCTTGATGCAAGCAATCTGAATATGTTTTGATTGACAGGCATGAATTCACGATCACACAGCCAATATGGCATAACCGGAATTTGTCTTCACCCATGCATTCTTTGTCTAGCGACATGGATTAGAAACAAGTTGAGGAAGGAATCATCAATAAACATTTCCCATCTCTGAGTTGCAGATCAATTTAAAGCCTCGTGTAGTATGCAATTCGCCCACATCTTCTCGTCCCACTATTCCCTGAAACTACTAGTGCTACTATGACTCACTTGTCGAGCTTCCTCGCACTCCAACCTCGAGCTACCACATTAGAGTATGAAGATGCTAGGCAATCGTATTTTGTCAACCAACTCTTTCATGCTCCACCTGTACAGATATGGACCAGGAAGACCCACGAAGGCAGTTGTTTCGACCAACTGTCCCTCGGTTGAAGCCACTTACCTTCCGTGTCATCCTTCTGGTCTGTATCGACCAATACACCACTTACAGGACATTGACAAGTACAAGCGTCAAATGGCACAACCTGGACTGCTTGTCCCCCAAGGAGTCTGTCAATGTATGTATTTCTCAGAGAACATGTAACGCACATTCCTCCTCCTTCCACGCATGCTATGCTGCTGCGCTTGGACTTTACCTTCTGTGTTTCTTACTAGCATCTTGAGAGCTTGTGTTTGGCAGTATCATACAGCCATTTATTTTTCTTGATGTCCCACTGCCGTTTCAAGCTGGGTGTATACAAATCCAGATTTGAAGCAAGGGCCCCTATGTATGTTATTTATGACTCAGAGGAGCGCAGTGACTTGGTTACTTCCGCAGGAACTGAGGCAGGATTCCTGCAAGGTCATCATCAGCGACAGTTGAACTAAGGAATTTGAGACTATGGAAATAACAGGTCCAGGCCCGGGGGTGCCCAGTATCACACGGGTACTGTCATAATCGAAATCCCCTGCTGCATGGGCAGGCTTTAATTATTAGTTGCAACATATATGGTAATATCCATAAACGTCGAATATGTAAAACCGCCTCAACTTTCAACTTCTTCACTTCTTTCCCTCATCCCACTTCACCACGCACCAGTAGCCCTGCAGACCACATCATTCAATATTATATGCTGCTTATCACTCACCCTAATAATAGTTTTTGTAATCATCCGCACATTTTTACAAGTCCCTCAGCCTATGGTCTGACTTGGACTCTGAATCAGACATGACTACTATTTACTCTGATATTCCATGATTCATAGTGGTCTAGACTTGGACAAGGCGGTGTTTGGAAGTTAAGAATCACCGGGATACTAACACCTGCCAGCCAGTGGGCTGCTTCATATTTTGATACCACACACAGGAGCTCTGCTCATAATAGCAACCATGAGAGCTAAGCATCTATCAAGGGTTTTCCGATATATTGCATAAGCTACGCATGTTGAACGACAGCATCATGTTGACTGTGGTAATCAGCCACGAGCCCTGCTACCCTTCTCTTCCTGAATTTTTTAGCAGAAACAGCAGTTGGACCAACTCCTCTCAAGGGAAGACTGTGAAAACCAAAACCAAGCCCCACCTAAAAAAATCATTATTGTCACCAGCTCCCACCTCACCATTGAGTTGGGAGGCAAATTCAATCAACAGCACGGCTGAATCTCCAAAAGCATCATTACTCACAAATGGGAACAAACTGACCTTGAGTACTCTTCCTGCGACCCCAACCAAGAGTCCATTTATTCCGTTGACTGCCACCAAGCGGCTCCAATCTACTGATCACGACCTCATTCCTTCAGGTATGTTTTGATTTTGGTGCCTACTAGCAAGTTCTGAAGCTTTCAGTGTCTTCAAGGTCGATGCAAGGACATCCTGAAGTTCATCTTGAATTCTAATTCTAACCGCCCAAGTCAGCTCAGTAGTAGTAGTAGTAGTAGTAGTAGTAGTAGTAGTAGTAGTAGTAGTAGTAGTTGTTACGCAAAACCTCTCGGATGAGATCCGGTGGCGCTAAACCCGCAAGGGGCGTTCGAAGCGTGGCCTTCAGCGTTAGCCCAGCAAGGAGCTTGCCTGTGCTAAGTCTAAGTAAGGGTTGGAGCCCTTACTTGCATAGAGTTGATTGGAGTTTCTCTAGGATACAATCCAAGAGATGGAGTTCAACTCAAGAGTATCATCTCAAGAGAAGATGGTTCTTTGTACAGAGGGAGTTCTCTTTAGGTAAGAGAAGTTCAGACCCAATGACAAGTAAGATGAGAACCGAGTAGATTCAAGTTAGAGAATCTATCTACAGTACAAGTGAGATATATATATGTAAGGGCAATATACCGGTGGAACGGTAAGGGTACAGGGTAAGTGGAGGCAATACCGAGTCAGTGGTAAGGGTCAAGGGTTGTGTGAGTCATAAGTGAAAAGAGGTAAGAAGTACCGGTTGAACGGTAAGGGTAAAGGGCATGGGGAATCCCCATCAATGAGAGAACCAAAACAGTGGGAAGGGCATAGGGTTCAGTAGAAGCCGGGGCTTCTCTGATCTAGGGGTAGAAGTGAGAGCTTCTCGCATTTCAGAACAACAAGATCAAAAAGAAAGAGATAGAAATAGAATCGTAACCATGGTCTGGGTCCAGATGAGTCTGAAGAATGAAATGACACATAACACTCATGTTACTGTAACAGTAGTAGCAACAGCAGCAGGGTGAGTCTTTTGAGAATCGAAGGGCGAGGTCACGCACTGGGCTTATCCAATCATGTTTTCAGACATTTTCTGATATATCTGCCGATGAATATGAAGCTATCTCGAAACTGGTTTTGAGACTAATAAGCGCATATACCCCAAACCAAGGTAAGAACGATTGTGAGTTCCATGCGGGTACTACTAATAGATTCACACTAGACTCACGTTCCTATCAGAGAAATCTCTCCTTATTGTCAAAATGGCCCTGCCCCTCCATGAAATTGGCATTACATTCCTGGGATCTGAATTATCTCTCATGGGAGGTGTTCCTTTCGACAAATGTCTCATCACTGTCATTGTAGACACCAACTGTAGGTGTAATACCCCCAACTCCCACTCAGTCTATATGCCTGATTTTTCCATGTCATTCAAAATGATGAAGAAGGTGGATGGTCGCCGCCAAGTCTGACATGTTGCCCTAGGCGAGTGTGCTCTTTCGCAGGACAAGGACAACCTCCATGAGAAATTCAAGTTTGAGGTTACGTCAAATCCTGAAGTAGAGTTGGTCGTCAAGCTCAAAGTTGACAATGGAGGTGGTTATCAATCACCAGAACCTACCTCCGACACCTATAAAATTTTAGTGGCCCCCAAATTCAATATGGACTCTAAGACCCTCGTACCCTCGGCCGAGTCCCACCTCTCATTAGATGACTTCACCCATCTCATGGATACCTCAGCACCCCCCTCATCCGTCATTGTCACAGGCCATACGTGGTGTTGCATCAATGCTGTCCGTTACCAGATCTGGGTTCGAGGGAACACCCTGATTGACATAGATGTCGATGACGGTCCCAATGTCGCACATGGAGTAAGCGACTTCTATTTTTTAATACTTAACATCAAACTAACTACAACATAGACACTGTTTCCACAAATTGACATGGACAACGTCAACAACATGATCAAGAGGGGCCTAAGCAGGATGCGTGACCAACTTGCTGCTCTTTTCCAAGTGTTGGTTCCCCAGTTTGATACCAGCCCCATCATGCAGCACAACATTACCTTCCCCGTCTCTCTTGACTGGGATCACTGTTGCGAGAATTTCATAGTCGCAGCCAAGGAAACTGCACATGCATGGTACATAGAGTGGTACCATTCTGAGTTGGACAGAGGGGTAAAGCATAGCCTCTCTGATCACGACTCGGACTCAAACTACATATACAGCAGCACATCACAAGGTGATGATAGCTCCAATGATGACAGACCTTCCTCTAACACTTGCATGAGGAAAAAACAGAGGACCGATGGAGAGTCTGTCACAATCTAGACACGACTGAATTTGGTTTTCCCTCCCATCCTCGCGCCTTGGTAAGAGTCCGCAATGCAGTCACAGTTATACTATTACTAGTTGCAAGTACTTAATCATTATGTCGAGACATGCACATATATTCAATCCAACGGTCTAGATATCGCTTTGTTGTGAATGCACCACAGGCCACGGCTTCCTTTCAGGTGACTCTGTGGTCCGCCTTGATCATGCTGCTTACTATCACCTGGCACTGACATGAGGGTATGCAAAAGGTATGTGCATTATTTAGTTCAGATTCTTTATGCATCACCACATTAACACAATATGGTAATCACCTTATTAGGAATCTACTGAATGGGTTAAGTCAGCACTCCGCAAACACAGTCACGGTGCTGTCACGGTGACATATAAAGGGCATCAGGTTCACGGCTGTTTTCTCTATCCTCCACTTCACTCTTTGCTTCTATCTCATTTCACCTCACTCTTTTACTTTATGTCACTCTCTCCCTTCACCTCACTCTTCCCTCTGATCCCTTCTCACTCTTCCCTCCACTCCCTTCTCACTCTTCCCCCTGCTCCCTTCTCACTCTTCCCTCCACTCCCTTCTCACTCTTCCCCCTGCTCCCTTCTCACTCTTCCCTCCGCTCCCTTCTCACTCTTCCCCCCACTCCCTTCTCACTCTTCCCTCCGCTCCCCTCTCACTCTGAGTCGACATTATGACTCGGACACCCCCAAATCCAGGTCACCCTTCCAATGAGTCCGAGTCCAGCAACGTATCTGATGATCCCAGGGCCCAAACTCAACTACTGGTACATATAGATCCCTCTCAGGCTATCCCCACCTCTACCAAGGTGAGGGCAAAGCGCCACATTGCTGCTTTAGAGGAAGAGCTCGAGACGCTGTGGCACAACAAAGGGAACAAGCAAAGGTAAGCGCACTGGGACTGTCTTGCATACTTGTGCTAATTTAAATTTATCCTGAAAGAAAGACAACCTACTACATTGCACAAGGCAGGGCCATTCACTCTATGGTCGTCTTGTACAACACCTTGGACGATTTGATCGGTGAGAACAATCGCAGGTACAAGAGCATGAGTCTCACGGATGAAGCGTCCACACCGGAGTAAGTCGTCAATTATGTTGTTTCATACCGTCACAGTATTTTTAATCCAATTACACAGGCAAGATATCTTGCAGGCTGGGTATCTTGAACTCGCGTGAACACTACCGTGGCTGCACAGGAAGCTTGGGAATCTTGACCACGAAGAATGTAAAGACATGTTAAAAAAGGTCTGGATTATTTGCAATGCATTCATGCAGCTGAGTGCTGATTGTTTCATAGCTCAAGAAGGGAGCAGATGCAGCTTGGGGTGATGATACCTCCAGTCTCAAAGACCTTGTTGCTGGTTGGATTAACCAAGAGTTTTGCCCATCCCCCTTGATCAGGCCTGATGATAAACATTGGTGCGGTTTTGCGAGTGATGTTTGTGGGAGGTTGCTTTGTCCTGCCGAATGGGACTGGGATCAAATACAGTTGGTATTAATTTTTCTCCAATAGTAATATAGGGTGCTGATGCTGGGCCAGTGTCAAAGCTGGCATTCATGACAGGACAACAGAGTACATAGTTTCTGAAAACTCCTGGCCATTGTTCATGTATGAGAATTATCAAGTCAACAATGATCACCTCGAGGAAGGCTTCCTGAAATCAAAACTTCTTGTTCTGGTGAGTCACCATGATCACTTTGGAAGTAGCGGTGATGTCATATACCTGATCCAACCACTCCGATATCAATATCCACCCCGCTTTCCGACAACCTCCACTCCATCTATTCCTCTGCTCCGTCCAATCATTGACCACATCCACCCCTATGCTTCCGCTCGACCGCCCAACCAGTCCCCTTCCATAACACCTCCATTCAACTGGATCTGCTTTCCCCTTTTAGATATATACTTCCCCCTTTGGTACATAGACCCTTACTTTTGGATCACCAGTAATTCCTATTACTGCTTGATCACTGATCCGACGCGTACATATTGATATCTGCTCCAACTTATGTCTTCGCCTGTGTAAAGTACTTACAAACTATATCCTTGGTACATAGCTTTACTACATAGTTATCCTGATCACTGCCTCATACATAGAAGTATATAACATATCCTGTACTTAGATATTTTCCTCAGTCTTAATATTACTAGTCTTCTCGCAGTTACCTCTTGTGAGAATTCTCAGTAGGACCTTGCCTCCTCTGGACACAAGTCTCAACTTGTTGTCACCTCCGACCCTCCGACCCTCCACTCCAACTTAGAGCCATGCTCTAAGTGTCCCCCTTATTTCTCTGTCCCTATCAATATTCCCCTTGCCCCTTTTCCCATCCTCTGCATTATCCTCCGCCTTCCCCGCTCCTACCAAACATTCCCCCTGCTCCTATCCACCCTCCACATCACTCCCCACCTTCTCCGCTCCGCTCCTAGTTGGCCCGCCACTAGTAGCTCTTACTTCCTGACCTTCAAAGCAGACCTAAGCGGTCCATTCGTCCTATTGTCAGACAACGTCGGACCTGCTCCAAATTCGGGGCACATACTCGGCTAAGGGCGCAGTGCAAGAGCTGAAGCCAAGCCCTGCCCCTCTGCCTCCTGAGCCGGCATGGTACCTAACAGGTGATATCATTTCGCTCATTGTGGTACTCCAGGCTTTCAAAGCCATCTTTACGTCTCCTTCCTCCACAAAGGAAGTTGACAGTGATGGAGATGGTGCTGACATCCTCGAAAATAATAGGCGCGCGCGGCAGAAATCAGATCAGGCGAAGGTGAAGCTTGTGTCGCCTCTATCATTAACATGAGGAAAGTGACACCTCGTTCCATCACTTACATCATGTGTCAAGTGAGTAGTAAATGCCAACTATTTTGACGTCTGCCATCTAACCTTTGAGTGGCAGGTTCATTTCACTTTGTCTGGTGTTTCCTCTTTGCGTACTGTGGATGGCAACTTCAATTATGAAACATTCTGGACTAACATTGTGGCCTTTTTGAAGTTGTGCCTGGCCCTGTCACTAGACGTAGGGTGAATAAGCTCCTTGAATGGTGGTCTAGGTAATGCTTTTGTCGCTGCTTGGTGAGTATCAGATAGTTGACAGTGCTGTGACTGTTTAGGAAAAATTTTGGTACCAACCATCGCCAGGATCTAACGCCCGAGGTTGTCTGTAAGATGTCGGTCAACGCATTAGCTGAACAGAGGGTCTTGCTGGAGGATGTCGCTTTTGACTCGGAGTAAACCATTTATTGTCGCCCTTCTCACTGTGCTCCTTTCATATTCCTTCGTCCTTAGCCCGCTAACTCGCCATAGTCTATTACTACCCGTACTGATCTAATATTATTCAAGTCTACACTAATCAATTACATGTTGCAAATGTTATGACATACATCATTACATCTTGTTCGAGATTGGAGGTCGTTTGAAGGGATTTTAGGAAATTTGCTCTTCATACAACTGCAGTGACAACTGCACAAACACTAATAGGTTGTGTGGCTTGGCGATCAGCTGACAAAAGTTTTCAATATACAATATCCTCAGTTGATCACATCTACCACAGCCTTAAACTGTATATGTTTGGTTGACAAACCCAAACGCGAGAGGTGGATTGGATAGGCCAAAAAATGGCGGCTGTCATTGAAGTATCAAAATACATCTGCGTAGATAGCAGAATCAACGAAAATGCTACATCATCTCCTCAAAACCCCAGCCCTGCGCATCACTGTGCAATTTATGGATCATCATGCCCCTGTCAAACATGTCCAAAAAGGCAGCTGTCTGAACAACCACTGAGATAATCTGTCAGGGCAAACAGACGACGCACCTTGTAGTCTCCCCAAAGCTTGACGATTGTGCTCGTAAGTGCGCAATCCACAGACCATCATGCCCCCGTCAGACATGTCCAAAAAGGCAGCTGTCTGAATGACTGTTGAGATAATCTGTCAGAGTAAATAGACAATGAACCTTGTAGTCTCCCTGAAGCTTGACGATTGTGCTCATAAGCACGCAATCCACGGACCATCATGCCCCCATCAAACATGTCCAAAAAGGCAGCTGTCTGAATGACTGTTGAGATAATCTGTCAGAGTAAATAGACAATGAACCTCGTAGTCTCCCTGAAGCTTGACGATTGTGCTCATAAGCACACAATCCACGGACCATCATGCCCCCATCAAACATGTCCAAAAAGGCAGCTGTCTGAATGACTGTTGAGATAATCTGTCAGAGTAAATAGACAATGAACCTCATAGTCTCCCCAAAGCTTGACAATTGTGCTCATAAGTGCGCAATCCACGGACCATCATGCCCCCGTCAAACATGTCCAAAAAGGCAGCTGTCTGAACGACCGTTTAGATAATCTGTCAGAGTAAATAGATGATGAACCTCGTAGTCTCCTCAAAGCTTGACAATCGTGCTCGTAAGCGTGCAATCCACGGACCATCATGCCCCCATCAAACACATTCAAAAAGGCAGCTGTCTGAACGACCATTGAGATAATCTGTCAGAGCAAACAGACGACACACCTTGTAGTCTTCTCAAAACTTGACGATCATGCTCGTAAGCACACAATCCACAGACCATCATGCCCCTGTCAAACACATTGAACAAGGCACCTGTCTGAACGACGACCCAGTGAATGTCACATCCTCGAAAAACAGAAATCATCATGTCCTTGGTGGTTGTTTGGATTTGTGTTGTCATTTGGGGATATTATTTGCATTTGCCAATGCTGATCAAAGTGCACCGACTTGCTCCACAACGGCAATCCGAGAACCACGTGCCTTGCCATCAATCTCCGAAGGCTTTCTCGGTAGAAGATTTCATCCGTAGTGTTTCGAGTCTGGTACCAAAATACGAGTTTGTACAAACTAATTATTAGTATCAATTCAATGCAGTGGTGACCTTGGCGCTTGTCTTGACAATTGTGGATCCATGATTCACTTCATTGGCTCATGTTACATCTTTCTTTTGTTGGCTAGTATGGACACGTGATTCACTTCATTAACTTGTGTCACATCTTTCATTCATAGCTAGTTCATGCATCAAATGGTACATCTAGGCGTAGGACAACTTGGCTGGTTGATTTGTACACTCATGTGTTCTTCGGAAGGTCAAATATTCCTAAGTAAAACCCCCTGCCAGATTTATGGAGATTGTTGCAAATGTTAGCAATATATAGTTAAATATGGTATTTTAGTTTGTTCACTGGTTCACTGATGGGAGTGCGAAGAGCATCTTGACACCAACTCTTTTGCACTGTCCTACTCTGTACCTCTACTCTATACAGATCGCGCCCTTTGTACTGGTTAGTATGCTAGCTCATAATACAAACTACAATATTTCCACACCCAGAGTCCCTATGAATTCAATCCTTGGCAGGCCGTCAACTTAAAGCGCGTCATTGTCAAGAGGTTATATAACACCCTTGCAAGTGCCGACCTAATCACTCACCAAGTCACCAAAGCGTCCATGAAAAAGGAATTCCAAGTGACACAGATCGTTTTGGGTCGGCACATAACTGTGGTGGTAACATGGGGCCGAAGATCAGCGTCAGGGTGCACGTTAGTCTCCTGTAGTCAGATCATATAGAAGGAAGACAGTCATGTGGTGAGTAATTGTATTGCGGGCCTTTGGGGACGTTCTAATGAACAAGTATAATCTCAGTCTCTTTGAAAAGGCTCGTGCAATGAGCTAAGTACCTAATGAACAAGTATACTAACGACTTGTTAGCTGCGTTCTAATCAATACGTGGAGAGTATGTACTCACATCTCAGTCTCTTTGAAAAGGCTGAGATGCGCTTGTGCTACCAGTGGCATTCTTATAGTAAGCTATATAGAAACGAAAAATATATCAAATGAATAAGTAAAATATTGCAGGACTCGAGCCGACGTCAATGCATTGCTCAACAATGTCCATTTTGGCTTGGGCTCGGACCACCTGTCACTCTCCCTCCTCAACCATCTCGGATCGGTCGGTCTTCTTTGTCTCCAATCGTTTGGATCGTTCGGACTCCAACACTCCCCCTCAAGTGCAAGCCAGGGACATTTGTCCACATAACTTTTGCAGGCACGGACGAGGCAGGGCCTTGGTGAATGCATCGGCGACGTTATGGTCGGTTGGGCAGTAGAAGAGTCAGAAGGTCTCGTTCTTAACGTGGGAACGGATGAAGTGATACCGTAAGTCGATGTGCTTGGTTCGGGATTGGAATTTCCCATTCGACGCAAGCGCTATTGCTGCTTGATTGTCGCAAAAGATGGGGGTAGAGAGTGGGGTTGGTTCATAAAGCTCTCCAATGAGGTACTGAAGGTAAAGTACTTCTCTTGCAACGCTAGTCAGGGCGATGTACTCAGCCTCTGCAGTGGACAACGCGATGAGCGGCTGCTTCCATGCACTCCATGCAACAGGGCCACCGTTCAACATAATGATATATCCAGACATCGAGTGTCTGTGGGGTTGCGATGCCCAGTCAGCATTGACAAATGCCTCAATACCTCCATCCGTTGAGCCAAGGGTAAGTTCGAAATCCATGGTACCCTTCAGGTAACGCAACGCGCGCTTGGTGGCTTCCCAGTGGGTCCTACTGGGGTTGTGCATAAACTGCGACAAGGTAGCAACTGCAAATGCGATGTCAGGTCGCATGCTGGTGGCCGCGTACATGAGGGATCTGATTGCTCGTTGATACAGTATGTCGCGCATCGCGTCTAGCTGTGCTGCTGTACCGGGAGACTGATCAATAGATAGGATCACACCTGGCTCCATTGGTGTTAACACGTTCTTCGCATCCCCTAGGTAAAACTGCTCAACTATGGTGTCCACATAGGCTCTCCAGGATAGAGTTAAGGTGCGCGCTTCACAGTCTCTTGTTACCTTGAGTCCTAACAACCAGTTAAGCTCCCCTAGGTCCAATATCTCGAAGAATTCGACCAGCTGTGCCTTAAAGTGTTTGATGTGGGAGATATGGTTGGCGGTGACGGCCATATCATCGACTGATACGGTGATGATGATGTGTTCCTTATTGCCGCATTTGAAGTAGACCGCCTGGTCAACCTTCGATCGCGTGAAGCCCAGCTTCGCAAAAACGCCCGCTAACTCTTCTGCCCACTCGAAGCCTGCTTGCTTCAGTCCAGGTAAGCTTCTCAGCAACCTTAACACCTTTCCTTGCTGCCCATTCTTCAGATAGCCAGGCGGCGCCCTCATATATATCTCCTCCTGGATACTGGCATAGAGGTACGCACTTTTGATGTCGACTTGATGTATCTCCCAGTTTCTCTGTGTGGCCATTGTCAGAACCGTTCGAATGGTGCTCATGTTGGCGGTGGGCGTGAACGTGTCAAAGTAATCAACTCCGTACTGTTGCCTCTGACCGTTCGCGATGAGATGGGCCCGGAGTTTGAGTTTTTCGCTGTCAGGACCGCGTTTGGTGGCCAAGACGAAGTGACAGGGTATCAGGTTTGCACCGCGAGGTGTGTCTACTATCTCCCACATCCCTAGCTTCTCAAGCTGACTGATTTCATAATCTACAGCTTCCTGCCATTCAACTCCGTCGGGGCTGTTCAGGGCTTGCTGCAAGGTTGGTTCTGGCTTGGTGGCTGCTAAGGCAAGGTGGATATGGAACTCCTCATCCAGTAAGTCCAACTCTGATGCTTCTAGCAAGGATTCGATCGCGACTAACGCCGTCTCTCCTTCCTGCAGTCTTACATAGTACCCAGGAAGAGGTCTGTTGCGCATGATGCGTGGTGCTGGCGGGGTGATTTGCTTGGCGGTTGGTCTGGGTGGTGTAGAGGGTGCCTGAGGGATGGTCTGGACGCCTTCTGCGTTGCTGGGGTTGTTGGGTGGGTTGTTGCCGGGGTTGTTGGGTGGGTCGTTGCCATGGTTGTTGGGTGGGTCATTTGCGGCGGCGGAACCACTTGGCTCGCCCTCGTCCATGACATCCTCAGGTACCATTACCTCTGTGGGCACGAAAGTGACATTGCGCTCCACGGAAACGCGATGTTTCGCCGGCCAGTAAACCCTATACCCCTTGCTTTCTACGTCCACTCCGATGAAGAGAGCTTCCTCCACCCTTGCCTCCAACTTACCCGCCTCCAGGAGATGAACATAGACCCTGGTCCTGAATTCATGCGCTTGGGCCAGACTTGGCTTGATATTACGAATGAGTTTGTGGGGCATGGTGGCGGGGGTTGTATGGGAGGGAAATCTGTTCTTTAACCAGGTCGCATAGCTCACTGCTTCGGCCCACAGGAACTTTGGTAAGTCCTTCATGGTGAGCATTGCGCATGCGTGCTCTACTAACATTCGGTTAAGGCGCTCCGCCACACTGTTCTACTGAGGTGAGTCGTGTACTGTGAGTTGATGCTCGATACCTTGCTGATGCAGGTAGTCATCGAAATCGGTGCTCAGATATTCTCCCCCTTGGTCTGAACGGACTTTTGCTAAACAAACACCAGGTGTTTGACGCGCTAGCCACGCCTCATAAGCCTTGAACATGGTGAGTGCCTTGCTTTTGAGCTTCAGAAATTGAATGGATGATGGCCCCCTTATTAGCAGAGGTGGACGTCCTCCACAAGAGTTTTCCTTGTCCAGGTGGCTTTCTTTGATACACTTGGCTGCAGTAGACTTGCATACTTCAGTTCTAGAGGAAATTTGATGAGCAGAGAGGCCAGCATAGGACAAAGAGAAGATATTATCCCTTTGAGTAGAGGAGACGGCTTTCATGGTAATTATGACCATGACACATGAGACATTCTGGTTTATATAGTTAGATATAGTTTTAAGAGTATGCCTAGAAGGATAGAGGCAGTAATTAAAGCCAAGGGAGGTCACACAATGTACTAGAATACCTGATTATCACTGTAAAATACTTGAGTCAAAAAACTGTCCGCATGAGTCATCATTTTGTAAGCCTCATATCTCCACCATATCTCGGCCAATTCCCACGCCATAGGGCTCAATTGGAAGCCCTGAAATAGTACTACAATATGGTACCAGCATGTCCTTGATGTGTTTGTATATTCTCACACAATATCATAGATAGTGAAAAATGTGAAAACATGTGGACAGTTTTTTGAGCCACTGTATAGTCGTCAGTAAAGCTTATATAGTATAGGCACCCCCCTAAACTTGTGGTCTGCGCTGGCCCCCAGAGGTCCGTATGCACCAACTCCCCATAGGTAAGTGTGCGGCTTGTAGCTTCGTCTGGGAAGGGCTTTTGAGCTGACTTCGCTTTAATGCAGGCATCGCAGAACTCTGGCTTCAACGTGGTGTCAATATCGACGCCCATTATCAAACCCTTCTTTACCGCGTCTATGACAGCGGTTTGGGACACGTGTCCGAGGATGCAATGCGCCTCGTTAACAGTGAGCTTCGTGGTTGCAACGTTAGCGTGGTGTCTCTGACGACTTGCTACCACACTATATAGGCCCTCTACTTGAGGGATTTCGGCGATGACGCGCTGTGGAGGCCCCTTTGACAATATCTTGCACATGCGCCCTTCAAAAAGGACAGCTAGGCCTCCTGCCATGATGTGATTGGTGGAAATGAGGGTAAAGGCCATGGTAGGGGCGTATAGTGTGTTCTTCAGTGTTACCGTCATGCGCTTCTCACTGAGGGGTAAGTCAATCTGGATGTCTCCTTGTCCAATCGCACTGAGTCAAACTGTCCGCAGTATGGACATCTTGGGGAGGAATGGTAATGAAGTTGGCGAACTTTGAGCGATCGGGGCAAAAATGAGATGTTGCTCCTGAGTCAATGATCACGCCTCTCTTCTCAACGGGTAAGCCCAGGTCTCTTGCTACACTTGCTAAGTCTGACGTGACAAAAGCATACTGATCTTGGGACTCGGCTTCTGCTGCGGAGTTTGCTGCTTGCTTCTGAGGCTTTTCCCCTCTCTTCCTCTGCTGGTTTGGGCCTTGCCCTTCCTTGCCCCCTCCAGGTCTCCAACAGTCTGTCTTGTAATGGCCCTTTCGGTCGCAGTTAAAGCAGGTAACATCAGGGTTGGTCTTGTTGGTGGAGGATGGTGAGGTGCGGCCTTTGCCTTTTGGCTCCTTCACGGTGAGAGCTGCGCTAGCTCCCTTCTTGCTGGGCCATCTTTTGGTAAGCTGTCTGTGCTCGTACTCTTCAGTTATGATGGTGACGAGCTCATCGGGTGTGACAGGAGTTTTCGTGATCTTTGAGGCTGCTGTGATGGACAACAGGAGTGGTCTATAAGACTCAGGGAGGGAACCCAGGATGATCGCATGAAAATCTGGGTTGGTGATCGCAATGCCCATGCCTGCAAGCAGCTTGCAGAGCCTCATAAGCTCTGCGAAGTGAGATCTGACGTCTCCTGCCTCATCGCACTTCATCTCTTGCATCTGATGACGTAAGTCTATCTGGACGAGCTCTGTCTTCCCTTCATGGATCTGACATATCTCTTCCCAGATCTTCAATGCGTCCTTCAGCTTCTGGACTCGCAGTAATAGCCGATTGGTAATCGTGCTGAATATCTGCTGTTTTACCAGTGAGTTTTTCTGGTGGTACTTGTGGGTACATTTATCAAGTTCATCGTAATCTGCCTGCATAGGCGTTGTCCCGTCCGGCTTCACAATAACCTTCATCTTCAGGTCAACCGCGAAGGGTTTCGGCTCACTTGCTCGACCGTCAGTATACCACATCAGACCTCTAGCGCCAATGGCTGTTAACATCCGCTCCTTATAGGTTATCCAGTTTGAGCCATCTTCAGCAAGCTTCGGGACATTAAGCAGGGTGGTGTTGGAGCTGGGGAGCAATGTATCCATGGTCGAGACAGGGCTCATAACCTGTGGTGAGTAATTATATCGCGGGCCTTTGGGGACGTTCTAATGAACAAGTATAATCTCAGTCTCTTTGAAAAGGCTCGTGCAATGAGCTAAGTACCTAATGAACAAGTATACTAACAACTCGTTAGCTGTGTTCTAATCAATACGTGGAGAGTATGTACTCACATCTCAGTCTCTTTGAAAAGGCTGAGATGTGCTTGTGCTACCAATGGCGTTCTTATAGTAAGCTATATAGAAACGAAAAATATATCAAATGAATAAGTAAAATATTGCAGGACTCGAGCCGACGTCAACGCATTGCTCGACAATGTCCATTTTGGCTTGGGCTCGGACCACCTGTCACTCTCCCTCCTCAACCATCTCGGATCGGTCGGTCTTCTTTGTCTCTAATCGTTCGGATCGTTCGGACTCCAACAAGTCGTTCCCTCTTTATAATGGCGGTTGGATAAAGTAGGGCCGTGCAGTGGGCCCGTTAGATCGACTCTCTGAAGCTCAGTCATTATAAGTAGGTCAAAAGTAAGTGACTTCTTCAATAAGTATACTTCCTGTTCTGAAATACAGAATTCGGCTCCCAGACCTTGTGATGTAGCGGCCACTACACGTGTCAACATTATAGTATATTAGTAGTACGGCATAGTACCTACTGTAACAGCAGATGTCAAAACCTTCAGCACCTACCACATCCAACCAGTGGACCTCGTATCTACTATTATTGCTTCTTGCAACCTCTGTCTCCCACTGCGTTGACGCTGACCCTCATACCAATCTCGCTCAAATGTGTCTTCCGTCTGCTGCTTCACCCAACCGCAACGTACGCAAATTCCTCTCGCTTGGGCTCCGATGAAACGCAGATACTGCAAAGTTCATTGTGGCACAGGTACCACTACAGGGAGTCGGGGATGTGGTTTGCGGACAGTGCTCATAACAAATGAGGTGCGACTCTGCCAATATATTCATTTGAATAAGGCGGCCAACGCGCTCGGCGACCACGCTCGTGCTTGGTGTGCATGGCTCCCTGTATTTGTTCAGCGATCGGGACAAAATGCAATTTTGCTGAACTTGCGTGTTTTGCTGGCCAATTTCTCGCTTTCTCGAGATCATTGACAACCCCCAATACTATCATGATGAGGCCATGAATTTCTCAAAGGGACCAGGTCTTTTTTTTTTTTTTTAAAAAAAAATCCAATTTCTGTCTATTTGGGGTGAAAAGGACCGACTCTTGGCTCGGCGAGCCAAACTCAATCCGCCGCCAGTTCACAACCCGTCATCCAGCTACCACATAGCAGCGGCGTAGTACCATGAGTATGTGCCTCAACGTCTCCCAGTGTCCATTAATGTCGTGTCGACAGAGCTGAATGGATCCGTGGAATTGTATTCAACCCACGATTGACTTTGATCGATTATACATCATGATTGGCCCGGCACATCGCTAGGTCCGGCGCTTGTAAGTCGGACCCGAGTCAGGTCTGCAGGCCTGCTAAGGGCTTCGAGGGGCCTGGCCTGGTTGTTGGGCCCTGGTCAGGGCTAAGTCAGGCCCGAGGTTCCTGAAGCCAGGCCCGAGCCCTGGCTTTTAGGCCAAGCCAGGTCCAGATCATCACTAGCTTTAAAAATGAGGCAAGTCAACACAGTGAAGCAAACACAGAAACACTCAATATACGCGCCTCTGCAGCTTAGAGCAAGACGCCCATAATCCCTTCACCCTAAGTCAACCTCGGCCGTGTTCAACGCCACCAACTTCCAGTAAAATGTCGCACCCCATTCCAAGCACCAAACGCTTCCGAGTTTTTAGAGGTCACGAGAAATCCATACGCGCTGTCGCAGTTTTCCCCGATAGACGAATGGTCACATGCTCGTACGACAAGACACTTCGTTTTTGGGACTTGAAGACAGGTAGAGCGTTGAAGAAGATGGAAGGGCGTGCCGAGGTGGACACATTGGCGGTATCGAGAGATGGGAAAGTAATAGCAAGTGGTGATGAGAAGGGACATCTCATCGCCCGGCACGGTAGAACTGGGGGATCTCTCACCCACACTATCATAGCCCACTTCGAAAAGATCTTATCGTTGGACTTTTCTCCCGATGGTACAGTGCTGGCGACTGGTTCAGCAGACTCGAACGAAACCACGAAGCTGTGGAACACGAAGACATGGCAGGAGGACCTCGACAATCCAATAGAGTGTAGTGACATTGTCTTCTGCGTTCGGTATTCGCCATCTGGCAAATATCTTGCCATCGCAACAAGCAAGAATATCGAAATCCATAATGCAGAGACGAGAGAACGCGTTGCGATTATCGAGGATCTCAACTGGTCGCTCGCGTGGACGCCCGATGGAACACGCCTCCTCTCAGGGGGCTCTAGTTTCGATCCGACCATACGAGAGTGGGATGTATCCACTTGGGAGCAGGTCGGTGATGCCTGGGTTGGTCACACTGATCTGATCTACGCCATTGCCATTCATCCTGCGGGCACACTCGTCGCTTCTGCATCTTATGACAGGCATGTCCGTCTCTGGGGGCTCTCAGATCGACGAACCATCGCCATCTTCCAGCATTCAGCCCCGCTTTTTTGCGTCACTTTCTCCATAGACGGAAAGCACATCCTCAGCGGAGGCGATGATAAGATGATCTCAGAGTGGGAAGTACCCAAGGACGTCTTGCCAAAGGAAGCTCCCGAGATCCTGGCACCAAAGGTACTTTCCCGTTCGTTTCCCGCCCCTTCGCCATCTCATCTTGCGTCATTTCCATTCCAAGACTCGAGATTCTGATTCAAAGGCATGTTTTTGCCCTTCACTCATATCACGTAATTCGAGCATTTCTCATGCAGATCCTCATTATCACTACGACCGTGCGCAAGGCATGCATCGCAGGGGACTTATCTGCGGCTGAAAAGATACTCACGCAAGAGATCCAAGCTGATGCCAACAACAACACCTCCTACGCCAACCGCTCGCTTGTTATGGCGCGTCAACTCGAGTGGGACCGTGCACTTCAAGATGCAATCAAGGTGATGACGACATCATACCCCCTCAAACTATGCTAACTTTGGGTTTTAACATAGTCCCTCAGCGTAGAGCCCTCATTGGCAGGTTATCTTGCCAAAGGTATCGCCCTCTGCGGGAAACGGCAGGTCTCGGACGCGACGAACGTATTCAACGTCGCGTTCGCGTTCGCGGATGGAGATTCAAAGACGAATCACTTCCTTTTCTTGATCAAGGTTTGTGTAAATTTTCGATTCTTACTCCATGCGTCATTACGGATTTCAGGCCATCGCGTTGTTCAATGTAAACCACAAGGAAGAGGAAATGTTACCTATCCAAGAGCTAGCTACCCATCCCAATCCAGATCCTCTCGCTGCTCGTGTCGTAGAAGTAAGTACCATGCACTCAATGAAGCCCCAGGTCGTGTCTAATGTATCTACGCTTCGCACATCAGGCGTATCTGCGAGTGCAGCTAGGAATCATTGCCATGGAAGACAACCTTCACAAACAGGCCGCAGAACACTTCACTGCAGCTGTCAAAGCTGGTGTTTTCTTTTATAAATCGGACATTCATTCTATGTACGATGACTTTGTCGTGGTACGTTGATATGCCGCGACCGAAGATCCTTTTTATGCTCAACTGCTTGCTTGTGCAGCTATTCGGCTGGGACCTCAAGTCCTTGTGGCAAATCGCGAACAAGAAACGCTGCCATGCACTCGTTCGGGCAGGTCAAATCGGAGCAGCCTTCGAAGCGTACCGATATATGATGGACATGAGCGATGAAGCTACGAAGGCCATCTTCGTTGCTTGGACCAATAGTAAGTCTTCAGTAATGTTACCCGTGCTACGATCCTCATCCGTATTTTACTCAGCTCTCAATGGAGCATAGGTCGAGTACTCCACTTCACCACACAGGAAGATGTTGCCATCATGGCGAGCAATGCGATGTGCATCTTGAAACAGAGATATCTGCGCCGTTCTGATTTGTACCTCGACTCTATATGTAGCGATCTCGCCCTTCGTACTTGTATAGTATGCTAACTTATAACACGAACCGCAATACTTCCACCCAGATTCCCTATGAATTGTATTGGTCGTCACCTTAAAGCGCTTTGCTGTAAAGAGGTTACCACCTTGCAAGCGCCAACTTGATCATTCACTGAGTCACCAAAGCGTTCATCACAAAGGAATTCCAGGTGCCATCGCTTTTGGTCGGCGCATAACTGCGGCACATCGCTCATACGTATGAAGATCTCCACTCCATATACCTACGAATCAAATCAAAACTCTTGCTGGCTTTCTCCCGAGTGCGTTAAGGATGTCTGGGTAGCCAACATGCTCAACCCACGCGGATGACAGCCTAAAAGAAATCTACACATCGCAGATAATAACAGCGAAAATGACGATGGCGATGCCTCCTGTGCGATATCCACAAGGGTATCATCTGTCTCTGAGACATGACTCCTCAAATATACTAATGGCAGTACTCTTTCCTCAACGTCAGTATACCTCCAGGACCTCGCTAACAAATAATACAGCTCCCGCCTTCTGCCTTCTCCAATCGAGCGTCTAGTCTTGCGTTGAGGGTCCCGTCGGCTGCGAGGTAGGGGGTATTACTGATAGTGGGTTTGTTAGCGTCGGTCTCCGCGGTGAATAGGCGTATGAAAGGGAGGGAAGCAGAGGATGTGAGGAACAGCGGGGGAGGAGGGTGAAAATAACAGAGATTAAATGGGAGGAACGAAGCCAAAAGTAAATGGTAGCGAAGCCAAAAAAAAACAGTGGAGACAGAACGTAGACCAAAGATAAATCACTCACTCCCACCCGAGATCATCACTTAGCACCCCAATCAGCGCATTCGTATAGTGCGTGCCTTCCTCGGACCATTTGGCAGGATGGGGAGGTCGGCACGTTTTGGGTGAGCTGGCAAAGGAGAAAAATATCAGTAGAAGCCCATTGTCAGCCCCCATGCAATACAACAAAATCAGAACCCACCTAGGACCAGTAACCCGCCCAAGCTCCAGTACGCTGAATACAGACCCATCTGGTGGGCGGTGGGCGAGGCGGTTCAAAGATTGAAGGGGAATCGTGAGGGGCGGTTGTGTTGGGATAGTAGGTGTCGCGGCACGAGGCTGATTCGAGGATGGGTGCCTTGAGTGGGAGGTTTGGACCGGTGAAGACGAGGAAAGCAAGTCCAGTATTGGGGACGATCCTAAGGATGGACGGAACACATCGATGGTGAGCCTTCCATTTACAAAAGTGGGCGGGCTGTGCTCCATAAGACAGAGAGCAACTTGCCAGGGCCCGCTTCCTGCAGCGCGAGCGGAGGGGGAACTAGATGAGGGAGAAGGTGAGGGAGAGGTGAAGAAGGTGAGTGACCATATGCGCCCTGCGTGGAGTGTGTAAGGAGGGAAGATGGAAATGAGATGATGCGCTCACCTCGAGCAATAAATTCTACGCCGACCACCCCAGCCACGCGCATTCGTTTTTGCCAGAGACGAATGTCGATAGACGCGCTGAATGCTGCTTCGCCATCGACCTCATGGATGTCAATGTCATCTGCAGATGCGTTGCCTAGAACGAGGGCATCTGGGGCTCTCTGTATCAGTAAACTACAAAGAAGGTAAAATGGCGGACTCGCCTGGTCTGAGAGTAGTTAGAAACGGAAGCTCTCCTCTGCGAAGCTTCCCAAACAAGACCTGATCGCCACTCGCGAGACACGCAAGACGGAGGTCCGCGATGCACGCATGGTTGAGTGGACCTGCGTAGCGGAGTATTTCAGGGAGGATGTGGGTGTGTCGGTTGAGAATGGCCCAATAGATGGGCGTGTGTCCTTCAAAGGTGGGGTGTTGGAGGAGGGTGGAGAAGGATGAGGGAGATAGGGCAGATGCGCATGAGGCTAGGATGGGCGCAGCAGCAGAGCAGTCTGATGTGGTGGTAGTCGGGGAAGCAACGAGATCGTGGAGGAGGGAGATCACAGTTTGACGGATTTGTTTGGTGCGAGCATTAGGAAGCAAGGAGAACCATGAACTTGTGGTTGACGACGAGGCTGTCGGGCGGGTGTGCGGAGGTGGTGGAGTACTAGGGCGGGGTTTCTCATCTACTATAGCAGCAGACGAAGAGGCGACGGTGTCGTAGGAGGGAGGCAAGTCCACCTCCATATCGACATCATCAAGGTATTTGTCGAGTATGACCATCCTGGCGTTGCTCGACCCGTTGCAGATTGCCTTGGGATTATATCTAGTGATAGCACTGGTGTGCACTCCGGACACCGTGAGCTGCAGGCTGCGCAGACGCTGCGCAAGAACTGCGTGCCATCATGTGGTCTATGCTAGACGCTGGTGCACGTGAACTCTCAATTGACGTTTGTGGGACAGAGACTGTCGCGGGCAGAACCGAACCATGAACACAAGCCTATCGCTCTGTATTATAATAAGTTATGTTCAGCTAGGGCGTCTATGGAAACGCGAGGTAAATACAGAAACAACACAAAATCAACGCTTAGTACGTGTACCTCTGCAAGGATACTATCTCAGTCCAAGTCCATCTTGATTCTTGACCGTGTTCAACTTCCAGTCAAATGCCGCAGTTCATTCCAAGCACCAAACCCCTTCGAGTTTCCAAAGATCACAAAAATTCCATGTACGCTGTGGCAGTTTTCCCTGATAGACAACGTATGGTTACCAGCTCGTCCGACAAGATGCTTCATCTCTGGGACTTAAAAACCGGCGTTTTGTTGAAGATGAAGGGGCATCGCGCCCGCGTGCTCGCATTGGCGGTATCTGGCACGAGATGGGCAAATCATAGTAAGCGGTGATAAAGCCGGAGAGGTCATCGCTTGGCATGGAGAAACTGGGGAAGCTCTTGCCCAAGTTATCAAAGCCCACTCCGAACTCTACACGTTTGACTTTCATCCCGACGGTGCTGTGCTAGGCACTGGTTAGACAGACAAGACGACGAAGTTGTGGAACACGAAAACATGGAACCAACAAGGAAATTCAATCAAGTGTGGTAACACTGTCCGCTGCGTGCGGTATTTGCTGTCTAGTGAATATCTTGCATCACAACAAACGGCAATATCGAAATCTGTAATGCAGGCTTGAGGGAACGCGTCGCAACTTCAAGGGACACACAACATACAACTTCTCACTCGCGTGGACGCCCGATGGCTCACGCCTGCTCTCAGGGGGAGGTAATTAAGATTCGACCATACGGGAGTGGGATGCATCCACTTGGAAGCAGGTCGGTGATCCCTAGACGGGCCACACTCACAATATCACCGACATTGCTATTCATCCTACGGGTACGCTTGTCGCTTCCGCATCTCCTGACAACTATGTTCGTCTATGGCGGCTCTCAGATCAACAAACCATCGCCGTCTTCCAGCACTCAACCTTGGCGGAATGTGTCATCTTCTCTGCGGATGGCAATCACATCCTTAGCGGAGGTGGAGATAAGATGATCTCAGAGTGGGAGGTACCTAAAGACGCTCGGCCAGAGGAAGCTCCAGAGACGAAGGCGTCAAAGGTACTTTCCGTCTATTTCCCACCCCTTCACTCTCTCATCTCGCGGCTTTTCATTCCAAGGTTCAAGACTTCGATCCAAAGGCCTATTTACACCCTTCACTCGTATAACATGATTTGATCGGTTTTCATGCAGATCCCCACCATCACCACGACCGCCTGCAAGGCATGCATCAACGGGGACTTGTCTGCGGCCGAAAAGATCCTCACGCGAGAGACCAAAGCCGATGCCAACAACAATACCTCCTACGCCAACCGCTCGTTCGTTATGGCACGCAAACTCGATTGGGACCGTGCACTTCATGATGCAATCAAGGCAATAGCGACCCATCATGCACCCTTAAAATATGCTAATTTTTGATCGTGACACGGTCCCTCAGCATACGTCCCTCTTTGGCAGGATATGTTACCAAAGGTATCGCCCTCTGGAAAAATGCAGGTCTGGGACGCAACGACACCTTTGACGTTGCGTTCACGTTCACGAATGGAGATTCAAAGACTCCTTTTTTTTCCTTTTTTGATCAAGGCACGTTAAATTGTTCTTGCATGCTCCGTACTTCATTACGGGTTTCAGGTGATCGCACTCTTCACTGCAAATAAACATGAAGAGGCAATGCTACTCGTCCAAGAGCTCACTGCCCATCCCAATGCCGATCCTCTCGCCTCTCGTGTCGTGGAAGTGAGTATCATGCACTCAATCACGACCATGCTCGTGTCCTCACTGATCTGTCTGCGCTTCGTACATAAGGCGTATTTGCGAGTCCAGCTAGGAATCATTGCCATGGATAATGCTCTTCGCAAAGACGCTGCTGACCACTTCACGGCAGCCGTCAACGCTGGCGCTTTCTTTGCTACATTGGACATTCATTCTATGTACGAGGATTTTGTCGTGGTACGTTGATATGACGTCCGAAATCCCTTTTCATGCTCAACTGCGTATTTATGCGGCTTTTCGGCTGGGACCTCAAGTCATTGTGGCAAATAGCAAACCAGCAACGCTACCATGCACTCTTTCGGGCAGGCCAGTTTGGAGCAGTCCTCGAATCGTACCGATACATGATGGAAATGAGTGACGAGACCACGAAGGCCATCTTCGTTGCTTGGACCAATAGCAAGTCCTCAGTTATGTTACCCGTGCTACAGTGCTCACTATTTCACTCAGCTCTCCATGAGGAATGAAACATACCCTATACCCTATGCCATCGTAGCGAGCGGCCGTTGGAACAGAGATCTTTGCGTATACAATCGATATACCACCCTTTGTACTCGTATAGTATACAAGCTCATAATATAACATAAGCAGGTCCCTCAAGCGCTACCGCAATGCTCACTGTACGATGAGCCTCACTCCCCAACTAGCTCTCTTCAGATCCTTCGACCATTTCGCCGTCTTCTCAACCACATTCGCCTCCAACCTTAGCCGTCGGCATCTCAATCGCATCCAACCCTATCGGCAACCTCTGCGGAATCATCTACAGGTATCGAGTTACCAATGTAACGACGAAGTATGTAATCGAACCAAGGAATTAACGGAAATATGGGCATAAGATAGTTACAAAACCTTAAACTATGGGGGTGCAAGAAACCTCGCAAGGCAAGTAACAACTGATAACACAGCTGCGACGTGTGTTCATTGACACCAATAGACCCGCGTCGTCATGACGCTTATGGCTATTACTTGACCAATGACCAGGCGCCACAAGCTGCAGGCAGAAATGTTTAGGTGCGGATCGCATCTTCTCACAAAAGTAGAATGTTTACAGGGCCGTGTCATCGTATTTTGTTCTCTCTTGGGTCGCTGATCTGCGAACCAGGTGGGGAATGATCCATGACTGCTGACCACTCACATCTAGGTCATGACCAGTGAAAAGTTCTCAACATGAACGCATTTCGTCTACAGCCTTGCTGCCGACCCACGGCGTCGTTGCGGATGCGTTATTTAGCCACACATTATGACCCACGATAACGAGCAGGCCAGGTAATCTCCACTCGCGCGCCGTCTCGTACGGCGGAAGAATTATCTCCCAGAAACATTCAATCACAAACAACTTCAACTTATCTTGGTAGGTCGTGCATTGCACATTAGCGTCGAGGGCCCACTTCAACCACTATGATTGCAATCAGCTCCGAAGATATAACCACAAATTTTGACCCGCGATTGGTGATTGGGCCAATGCAAGTTGGTGCACTTGTAACCGCAGCACTCTTTGGCTGCCTTGTCATCCAAACCTATGTATACTTCACAAGGTTCATCGACAGCCCGAGCTTCAAAGCAACAGTTAAGTCACTCAAGGGCAAACCACGCGGCGCTCGACTGATTGACGACACTCTTATTCTGATCAGGTGGCAGCGGTCATGTACGTTCTGCCTGTTCTCTTTCATGTTGTCCCTAAGCAATTCACAGCTTATTTCAACTTGGTCACTTCGTCACTGTAATATTCACAATGTGGAAAATGACGGTGACTGCATATGGTGACCCATCAAAGCTGGATGCCCTTCCTGTCAGCGCGATTATCACTGTTTTACTCAGCAGCTTGACGGCGTTTCTGGCCCAGGCAAGTAATGCAAACTGGGCTTCTTAAGACTTCCGTGACATCTCATTTGTACTTTTCCAGTCATTCTACGTATATCGGCTTTGGAAGCTTTCTGGAAAGGTTTTCTTCCCAATCCTCTCAGAAATATTCTGTGTAGTCGCTGAGCTGGCAACACTCTTTGTCGTCATAAAGGCATTGTCCATGACAAATCTCGCACACTTTTTGGTTGAACAGAATGTCTGGATTGCGATCGGGTTCACCAGTCGTGCAATCTGCGATATAACAATTACTGTGGGTGTTACCTGGAGTCTGAAAAAACAGAAGCGTGCCCGGAGACGCGATAACGTGAAGTACGTGTGGATTTACATCTCCTGCCTGCATTCACATCCTTCTCAGGACCGCAATGGTTGACTGCCTGATTTTGTGGACAATTGGTAGGAAATTAGCCACCTTGCACGTATTCTGGTTCATTTACGTCTCCTGCACAGAAAATGGTTTGGCAACTAGGTATGCCTCTTTTACACCACCGAGTCTTCTCTGAACAATAAATTTTCAAGCTTGATGTCACTGTTAGTTATGGCAGCGGTAAGATGTCTCCTTTTGCCAAATCAATCGCATGCTGAATAGCTCAGTGTCTGTACCTCCAAGGAACTTGTGAGTTCGTTCCATTCGGGCGGACTTGGTCTTTCCTAAACAAATGCATGTAGATGTGTGGTTTGGTTTGTATCTTATACAAGCCAATGGTAAGAAACCGTGTCTACGTTGCTTGAAATTGACCGACTGATTGTTAAACAGTTTTTGCGAATGCGCTATTAGCCTCGTAAGTCGTCCAAAGCAAAACTACGGGAGACACATAATAGCTATGGACGATATGCAGATTGAATCGCCGGCTCGTTTTCAGGAAATGTGATGACGGCATTCCTATGGTAAGATCAAGTCTTCTATGTATTGGGTATGAAATACCTGCATGTGTTGACATCACAACTCAGAATCCTGTTATGATCAGAGTAGATGTTACACGAACGCAGGCCGAACCGGAAGTCAAGAAGAAACAGGGTCCGTCCTAGGGGCACTGGGCTGCGTATGCGACAGCAGAAAGAAAGAAAAGTTGTTCCTTACTTATGGACGGATCAATGTTGTGAATGCGACAATAGAGATACAGGACAGAAGTTATATTTTATGTTTATTGTGATATGATAACGCGAACGGTTAGACAAGCTACCAGGAACCGGCCTCATTTCCACCAAATCTGTTTGGAAACAAAGACAGTTAGTGTCGGACGCACACACACAGAGGTGAGATGCTCACCGCTCGAGGCACTCTAGTGTAATCACAGCGCGCTGCTTGTACTTGGAGGCGAACAGTGCCTTGTTCTTGCCTCGCATCCAATCAGCAGGCCAGTCTCGAAGAGGAAGATGCAAGCCGCGCGCAGGGTCACCTTCCGTCCAGTGCTGGATGATCTGCCTCCAGGAGTCCTTTCTGAGCCTCCCATTTACAAAAGTGGGCCGGTTGTGCTCTATAAGACAGAGAGCGACGTGCCAGGACCCGCTTCCTGCAGCACGAACGGAGAGTGAACTAGATGAGGGAGAAGGTGAGGGAGAGGTGAAGAAGGTGAGTAACCATATGCGCCCTGTGAGAAGGGCTGTAAGGATGGAAGATGAAGATGAGATGATGCACTCACCTCGAGCAATAAACTCCACGCAGACCACGCCAGCCACGCGCATTCGTTTTTACCAGAGACGAATGTCGATAGACGCGCTGAATGCTGCTTCGCCATCGACCTCATGGATGTCAATGTCATCTGCAGATGTGGTGCCTAGAACGAGGGGGTCTGGGCTCTCTTCTGCGTCAGAAAAGGTAAAATTGCAGACTCACCTGGTCTGAGAGTGATGCCGTGAGCCGCGGGCTACGCAGACTAGGCTGCGTAAGATAGGCGCCTACTTGCTGCGCGCCATGATGTGGTCTATGCTAGACGCACGTGGACTCTTGACTTTTGTTGAGAGTCTGAAATTGTCGCAAGTGAAATCGAATTGCTCTGTATTATAATGTGGGCATAGTTATTTTGACGCGGTCCTGCCGCGGTCGTGACGTGTGCGTAGAACTTCAGAAGTATTGGTGCAGTGGCCACTGAGAGTTTGGAGGTGTAGTGGGTACGGCTGGTGAATATTGAGCCCGGATCGCCTATTGATGCTTGTAAGTTGTCAGTGTTGAATAAACAGGACTCAGGTAATAAAATTCGAGCAACATTTGAATGATATTTCAAGGTGACATGCAAGTGTTTGAGGATGTCACAGGCGCGTCACGACCGCACCTGGCCCTTATAATATTCCAGAACGACCTTGAAGCTTGAAACTTCAGGAATGTGAAAAACAAGCAAGGTCCATATAGCTTTCAAAGTGACCCTTGCTTCTTTTTCACGTTTATGGAAAAGCGAAGCAGGTAAACGTAGAAGCGACACAAGAACGGCCAGTACGTGCACCTCTGCATCTTAGAGCAAGACTCGGAATTCCTCCGCCTAACACTTTGGCCGTGTTCAACATCATCGGCTTCCAGTAAAATGTCGCAGCTCATTCCAAGCACCGAACCCTTTCGAGTTTTCAAAGATAATACAAACACCATACATGCTATAGCAGTTTTCCCTGATAGAAAACGTATGGTTACTGGCTCGGCCGACAAGATGCTTCGTCTCTGGGACTTGAAAACAGGTGTTTTGTTGAAGAAGATGAAGGGACATCGCGCCAACGTGCTTGGATTGGCGGTATCACGAAATGGCCAAATCATAGCAAGTGGTGATGAGAAGGGAGAACTCATCGCCTGGCATGGAGACACTGGAGAATCGCTCACCCAAGCAATCAAAGCCCACTCCCGACCAATCTACGCGTTAGACTTTTATCCTGACGGTACAGTTCTGGCTACTGGTTCACCAGACAAGACAACAAAGCTGTGGAACACGAAAACATGGAAGCAACAAGCGTTCAGTATTCGCCGTGAAGTCAACTGCGTTCAGTATTCGCCTTCTGGCGAACTTCTTGCCATCGCAACAGACAGCAACATCGAAATCTATAATTCATCTACGAGAGCACCCGTCGCAAAGTTCAAGGCTCACACACAATGGAACTTCTCACTCGCGTGGATGCCCGATGGCTCACGCCTTCTCTCATCAGGCGATGATGCCGATCCCAGCATTCGGGAGTGGGATACATCCACCTGGAAGCAAGTCGGTGATCCCTGGATAGGTCACACTTGCAAGGTCAACTCTATTGCCATTCATCCTGCGGGCACGCTCGTCGCTTCCGCATCTCCCGACGAGCAGGTCCGTCTCTGGCGGCACTCAGATCAACAAAACATCTCCATCTTCCAGCACTCAAGCTGGGCGGAATGTGTCACTTTTTCCAGGGATGGGAATCATGTCCTCAGCGGAGGTGGAGATGAGATGGTCTCAGAGTGGAAGGTACCTAAGGAAGCTCGGCCAGAGGAAGCTCCCGAGACGAAGGCGTCAAAGGTACTTTCCGTTTATTTCCCGCCCATTCGCTCTCTCATCTCGCGGATTTTCATTCCAAGGCTCAAGACTCTGATTTAAAGGTATGTTCACACCCTTCACTCGTATAACATGATTTGACCGGTTTTCATGCAGATCCTCACCATCACCACGACCGCTTGCAAGGCATGCATCAGCGGGGACTTGTCTGCGGCTGAAAAGATACTCACTCAAGAGATCAGCACTGATGCCAACAACGACACTTCCTACGCCAACCGCTCGCTCGTTATGGCACGCAAACTCGACTGGGACCGCGCACTTTGTGATGCGAACAAGGCAAGTATGCCCATCGTGCTCCCTTAAAATAGGCTCATATTGATTGTGACATAGTCCATCAACATACGGCCCTCATTGTCAGGCTATCTTGCCAAAGGTATCGCCCTCTGCGGGAAGCAACAGATCTGGGACGCGACAATAGCCTTTGGCCTCGCGTCCACGTTCACGCATGGCCCGGGAGACTCAAAGACGTCTTTTTTCTTATCCTTGATCGAGGTAGGTTAAACTGTTCTTGCATACTCCGCTCTTCAATACGGGTTTCAGGCAATCGCATACTTCAATGCCAATAAACATGAAGAGGCAATGCTGCTCGTCCAAGGGCTAGCTGCCCGTCCTAACCCGGATCCTCTCGCTGCTCGTGTCGTAGAAGTAAGTATCATGCACTTAATCATGCACTCAATCAAGCCCAGGGTCATATTCTTGCTGACTTTGCATATCAGGCGTATTTGCAAGTCCAGCTGGGAACCACTGCCACGAATGGCGCCCTCCACAAAGAAGCTGCTACCCACTTCACAGCAGCTGTCAACACCGGCGCTTTCTTTGCTACATTGGACATTCATTCTATGTACGAGGACTTTGTCATGGTACGTTGATATGGCATCCAAAATTCCTTTTTATGCTCAACTGCATACCTGTGCAGCTTTTCGGTTGGGACCTCAAGTCCTTGTGGCAAACCGCAAACCAGCAACGCTACCATGCACTCGTTCGGTCGGGTAAAACTGGAGCAGCCCTCGAAGCATACCGATACATGATGGACATGAGCGATGAGACCACTAAGGCCATCTTCGTTGCTTGGACCAATAGCAAGTCTTCAGTAATGTTACCCGTGCCACAGTGCTCACCCTTTCACTCAGCTCTTGATGATGAATGAAATACATCCTATGCCACCCACGATTCTTGATGCCATCGTAGCGAGCGGCCCTTGGAACAGAGATCTTTGTGCCTTTCTCGTTTGTACCTCAACTCTATACAGATACCGCCCTTTGTACTCGTATTGTATGCAAGCTCATAATGTAAATAAGCAGGCCCCTCAAGCGCTACTGCAAAGTTTATCCGATGAGCCCCACTCCCCACTAGCTCTCTTCAGACCCTTCAACCACTCTGCCGTCTCAGCCAGTCGCCTTCATACTCTCAATCTTAGCCGTCAGCATCTCGATCGCATCCAACCCTGTCGGCAACCTCTGGAATCATCTTCGCTATTTGCAACTCAGGTACTTATCGAAATACCTCGATGCCTCAATGTAATAACGAAGTATGTAAGAATTGACGGAAATGTGGCCACAAGATGCATGGTCACGAAACCTTAAATCCTCGGGGTTCAAGAAACCTTGCGACGTAATTAATGCCTGGTGACGCAGCTGCGACGTGGAATAAACTCATTTGCAACACACCAACTGCTGAAAGTAGTAGCCACGCTTTCATACCGATAGACCCGCGTCGTCGTGACGCAGGACCCCGGGCAATGCCTATAGAGCCCAGATCCCCAGATGTCCGGACAATTTTTCGTAAATTTTGTCCAGACGCGGCGCTGGGTCTGGCTAGGAGTGAAAATTTGTCCGGACATGGGATCTAGGTGCTGTTGTCGCTGTAGGGTTGCTGTGGGACGCGTTTTTTTTCACTACGAGACATATTTTGGAGCAAACGTGCATGCTATAGACACAGAATAATCTATTGATCTATATCTTCCTCCTGAGTGGCTTGAACCCGTTTTCGCTTCCTCGACAGTCTCCCTGCTTCAACCAACTGGCCCATGACCTTCAGAAGTTCATCGAACAGCGGCAGATCAACAGCTGGAACTTCGATACCTGCGGAGGTGACTTTGGGCCCGCAGCGGTTAGCATGCAGAGGAAGTCATTGACTGCAGGAGTGCATAATGATAGCACTGGAATGCTGCCGTCACATTGAACGAAACGAAGGAATTGGTCCTAACGCTAGGTAAGAAATGTTGTCGATCTTTTCTAAACCATTGATCAGCGTGAACCGTAACCATGACCGAGGAGGGGGGTGACAATGGAAGATTGATGAATTCAGCGACAGAAAGGTTGTGCGATGGCAAGCAGGCTGAGTTAGCGGGAGGAATAGCTGATGCTGCTTCTCGGGCCTGGAGAACAACGAGTGCTAAATTTTGATGTCATACTTTTTCCCTTGCCCAATCCATCGACTAGCAATGAAGGGCAGTGGGTTGATTAGATCAATGATATTCATTTGAATAGGAAATTATAGGAATAGCTGGCGAAAAAAAGGTGAACCTTGGAATGCTGTTCTAGTATGATACTAGCTAGAGCAGCTTGCAACATTTTTCAAACGTAACACTGGCAGCGGCCAATAAGTTCGAATGAATTCTTGAAATGTGTTGGTATTTACAAAAAGTAGCTACCTGAATGGAGTCGAACTAGCAGTGAGTTTTGTGCTAGACGACCTCACTCAACACGCCTAGTCTAAATGGCTGACTACTCGATCCCTGAGACCTAACTCCTATGTCCGGACTGCGATCTGGGTCCATCCTAAATGCCCCACCAATGTCCGGACCATGCATCTGGGAGAAGACCTATTTTCCCCAAAAATTTCCGGACATGTACCTGGGAGAAATGGCCATCAGGCCTACTTTCTGTCTGGATGTGCATCTGGGTTCTATAGGTATTATCCGGGGTTCTCGTGACACTTATTACAATTAGTACTACTCGACCAATGACCAGGCGCCACAGGCTGCAGGCAGAAATGTTTAGTTAGGTACAGATCCCGTCTTACAAAAGTAAAATGTGGACAGCAGGGCCGTGTCATCGCACTTCTTTTCCCTCCTGGGCCGCTGATCTGTGAGTTAGGTGGGAAATGATCCATAACTGCTAACCGCTGCTCATCTAGGACCTGACAAGTCATGATGTTGAGGACTATGGCCTCGCAAACACGCGGCGTCGTTGCGGATGTGTTATTTAGCCGCGCTCCTTGTTCCGCGGTGTCGCTGTGGTGAATATTCCAAAATAGTGATTCGAAGACTCTTGCTTTGCTTTGAGCTGATCTGGTAAGTACATTCTCATGACTAGACAACTCATGATATACCACCACGCACGATAACGAGCAGCTAGGTAATCTCCACTCGCGCGCCGTCTCGTACGGCAGATGAAATACCTCCCAGACACATCCAACCACGAAAAACCTGTGTTTATCTTCGTAGGGGGTCCACTTCAGCCACTATGATCGCTATCAGCTCCGAGGATACAACCACAAATTTTGACCCGCGATTGGTGATTGGGCCAATGCAAGTTGGTGCACTTGTAACCGCAGCACTCTTTGGCTGCCTTGTTATCCAAACCTATGTATACTTCACAAGGTTCATCGACAGCTCGAGCTTCAAAGCAACAGTTAAGTCACTCAAGGGCAAATCATGCGGTGCTCGACTGATTGACGACACTCTTATTCTGATCAGGTGGCAGCGGTCGTGTGCGCTCTGCCTGTTCTCTTTTATTTTGTCCCTAAGCAATTCATTTCAGCTTATTTCAACTTGGCCACTTCTTCACTGTAATATTCACAATGTGGACCATGACGGTGACTGCATATGGTGACCCATCAAAGCTGGATGTCCTTCCGGTCAGCGCGATTATCACTGTTTTACTCAGCAACGTGACGGCATTTATAGCCCAGGCAAGTAATGCAAAGTAGGCTTCTTATGTGGCATCTCATTCGTACTGTCTAGTCATTCTACACATATCGGCTTTGGAAGCTTTCTGGAAAGGTTTTCTTCCCAATCCTCTCAGAAATCTTCTGTGTAGTCGCTGAGCTGGCAACACTCTTTGTCGTCATAAAGGCATTCTCTATGACAAGTATCGCACACTTTTTGGTTGAACAGAATGTCTGGATTATGATCGGGTTCACCAGTCGTGCAATCTGCGATATAACAATTACTGTGGGTGTTACCTGGAGTCTGAAAAAACAGAAGCAGGCCCAGGGACGCCATATTGTGGAGTAGGTGTGGGTTTACCTCTCCTGCCTGCATTCACATCCTTCTCAGGACCACAACAATAATTGACTGCCTGATTTTGTGGACGATTGGTAGGAAATTGGCCATCTTACATGTATTCTGGTCTATTTATGTCTCCTGCACAGAAAATGGTTTGGCAACTAGGTATACCTCTTTTACACTACCAAGTCTTCTCTGAACAATGAATTTTCAAGCTTAATGTCACTGTCGGTTATGGCGGCAGTAAGATGTCTCCTTTTTGCCAAATCAATCGCATGCTAAATAGTTCAGTGTTTGTACCTTCAAGGAACTTGTGAGTTCGTTCCATTCGGGCGGACTTGGTCTTTCCTAAACAAATGCATGTAGATGTGTGGTTTGGTTTGTATATTATACAAGCCAATGGTAAGAAACCGTGTCTACGTTGCTCTAAATTGACCGACTGATTGTTAAACAGTTTTTGCGAATGCACTATTAGTCTCGTAAGTCGTCCAAAGCAAAACTACGGGACATACATGGTAACTATGGACGATATGCAGATTGAATCGCCGGCTCGTTTTCAGGAAATGTGACGACGGCATTCCTATGGTAAGATCAAGTCTTCTATGTATTGGGTATGAAATACCTGCATGTGTTGACATCACAACTCAGAATCCTGTTATGATCAGAGTAGATGTTCCGCGAACGCAGGCCGAACCGGAAGTCAAGACACAGGGTCCGTCCTAGGGGCACTGGGCTGCGTATGCGACAGCAAAAAGAAAGAAAAGTTGTTCCTTACTTATGGACGGATCGATGTTGTGAATGTGACGATAGAGACACAGGACCAACACAGGACTGAAGTAATATTTTATGTTCGTTATAATGACAGATAGTGCGAACGGTCCAAAGACGCCGTACATTTTCTCAGAACAGTATGTAATCTGTACGTCTGAGTCGAACATCGCACAGATAAAAATGAGGAGCAAGAGAATTCGAATGTACTCACAAACAGATATCTTATAATAAGTCTGGTAGATAATCTACGACCATCTAGGAGCAAACTCCCTGAACCGACTCAGAGAGTCTTGTATGCCTGCGCATTGAGGACTGCTGGCTTGTACGGAGTAAGCATCTGGTATGAGTTCCTCGAGATGCTGACGAAATAAATGAGAACATCAAGCTAAAGTAGCAACACTGCACTGACTTTGATTCTCCGTTCTGCACCAGGATGTGTGCGCAAGAATTCCAAACTCGATCCTCCATGCGCTTGTTCGTATTTTGCAAGCCGTGTATGCATTCTATAAATGTCACGCATATATAACCCAGTCAACGGAAATCCTAAATCACTCACTCCACAGCAGCCTGGGGGTCAAAACATGCCTTTGCAGTGACCTGCATGCCGATAGTATCGGCTACATCCCCGACGTCAGCATTTCCATGTGTATACTGGAAGAAACACACCCTCGTATTCCTGAGTCCGCGAATTTGGTAGCTCCAGTAGCAACGTGCTTATGAGGTTGGTGATTCCGAAATCGAAACCCAAGACCGTTTGCAGAAGAAATGCGACCGCCAGGAATACTTTGGAGGACGAATAGCGTTCAGAAGCATGTCGAGCAACTGGTGAAGGAGTGTTTAGAATACGCATGCATGTTGTATCATGCTATCGTACCCACGTGGGCGATTTCTGCGGAATGGTTTGAGTTATGCAGGTTTTCCTTTACAGAATCGCGTACCATGTCCGAGGACAGCAGCCAAACCCTGTTCGTCCTTGCATATAGGCAAAATTCCGGTAAACACCACGATATTTCCTGTTGCCACATATATGTCAAGGAGTCACTCCCAGAGGCAGCTCAAGAGCGAACCAAAAGTGGCCATGGCGTTTACAACGGATGGATCATTCACAACAAGCAAGTTCCACTCTTTACCTCCGCTTTCTGGGGTAGACGACTCCCCGGAAGGTCTCCCAGCGGTGAATGGGTCTTCGCTCCAGAAATTATCTATTGCTTCCACTAGGGACCGGCGAGGCTCGCTGGAACGCAGATGACCAAGATCCGATGATTCAAGAATACGAGTAACCACTCCCTGGACGTGTCGGGTGACTGGATGATTGGAGGGTAGTATCTTGCCTCGGAATTCGGCCAAGAGCTCATCATATGCTGCCTGTGCAAGCTGCAAGGGGAAGGTTATGAAGGATTGTTCCCGTGGGACAAACTTGCACTTACCTTTGTCTCGTACTTGGGACTTATATCCATGAATCGCCACCTACCCGTCTCAGGGACTTGCTCTAGACTTGAGGGCTAAAGTGAGACAGCATCGCAAGTAGTGCTTGCACACGTACTGCACGATATAATATGTTCCTCCGACTGCAGCAAGCGCAATGACAATCTTCATCCGGTTGTCTATCACCGCTCCCGAAAAGTGTCTGTGTTTTTCAGATGGAAAGCGCGTATACTGAGCATGCCGAGGAGATGTCGTCGAAAGTTGGCGTAGGGGCGTTGAGCGAATGGTGGATGTCGATGGTCGAACCCGTAGGTAATTTTGAGCAAGAACTGGCACGCCCCGAATAGTATGCGACGCTCGCAGAATCGGCGCCGTTGTCGTCCATATGCGAGGAGGGAACATGATGAATGGTGGGATGAATGTCCAAGTCTTACTCTTAGTGTGGCACTTACTTAGCAGTCCGTATACATGTGAGGGACTGGCAGGTAAGTAGTACAATTAACAAACTAACTACTTACCAATCGGATATGGTGTAATGGTTAACATTACCGCCTCTCATCAATAGGGCTCGCGGTAGCTCGGGGTTCGATTCCCCGTATCCGAACTTTTTTATTCTTTCCACTAGGCACAGGTTATAATTAAGCACCTTCTCCCTGCACTAGCTATATAGCTAGCTTCCTTCACGTACGTGCGTCCGACTTGTGTCTGATCTTGATGTTGTATCAACGCCACTTAGTAAGTTACATATTTTTTCTTGTCTGCTACGTGATCAGAAATTCGGAATCCTCGGATATACTTATATCCTACAGAGCCCAGCTTGGGATTAGTACAGCCCGGTTAGTCACTCACTAGGCACCTAGCATTGCTTGTCCACATCTCCGAGGCCTCAAAATTAGTTGCGCCTCGTACCCCATGGACCATGGTAGCCCCCAATGGAGCCCGAAATTGACAAGGCCCCGGAGTAACTACTCTCAGCCTTCAGGCGTGCCGCTAAACCCTTGTCCATGCCTTATATGAACAGGCAAAGTGGATCATCGACCTGCTCGTGTCCGTTTGTCAGGTTCAGGGTAACTTAAGTATCAAAGTCAGTACTACCGAGCTAGCTGGACGTTCCCTCATTTGTATTTATCGGATTCTACCATTCAAGGTTTATTAAACTGAAACTGCTTTTGCTGCTTGACCAGATACGCACGGATCACAGTTGGAATGAAGGCGGTAGTTTCTTCTGCTGTTACACATATGATGAACTTGAAGTTACCCCATCTTGGTTCTGATTTGAAAATTGAGCCTTGTGAGTCTTGCATGCCCTATGGGGGTCTTCTGCTATTTATCACCCCTTTACTACCATCACTGCCAAGTGTCATAAGGGACACGTTCAAGGATTTGATGGCTTCTGGTCCCGCATAAATATAATACCAATACCAATTCAGAGGCTCCGAGTTGGTTTGTTTCCACCGTTTTCTCTTGTCTACCATGGCCGCTGAAAATGCCAAAGACGTTGAACTCGCACATAGGGAACCCGCCCAAAGAAATGTATTCGTCACAGAAGTGCAAATCATTGACGAGCTGGTAGGAGTGGATGATACAGACAAGAAGCGCCCGCAACCCTGCTCATCCTCTTGTGAGTCCGTGACTCGCAATCAAGTTCATTTGACATATTGTATCCTTCCAGTCTTTTCCCCGGATATAGCTCACATCCGAAGAGCGTACTTGAGCATTATCTTTCAATCAGTTGGTATCACCCTCCTTCTGATGTGGATATGCCTATCAGTGTGAGCACCTGAGTTCAATCGGTTGGCGAGGTTTGTCATGCCAACATCTTTGCAGGTACTGGGCTGCGCTAGCATATTCGAATGGACTGACAAGCAATCTTACCGCTTGGTTCATTGATCGCGACAACAACAGTATCGGACATGCACTATGGGCAGCTATCGACAACAATACTACGCCAGGACAGAAACTGGGCTGGAGCCAAGTCGACCCCACCGTATTAGGGAGCGACGATGACGTGATGCAGGCAGTCATCAATGAGCAAGTTTGGTTGGCTCTTGTCGGTGAGTCACCTCTTTGTGCATTGCATCTTCGGGCATTCATCTTCCCCAGTCGAGACAAACGCTACTGATAAGCTGTCTGGCGCGAGGCAAACTGGAGATAGCACGTTCAACCCCACTTCCTTGATCACTGTCTACTATGCTGAGGTGTGCAGCCCCAACCCACACGTGTCACATGGCGGCTGACCGTAGATACTCGCTTATTTAGGCTCGTCAAGAAATCTCTGCTGGCACTTACGTGATTCCGATTTCCAACAACCTCCTTGGGGAGATTACGTCGTCTCTCGCTACTGCTTCTGCGCAGCAATACTTAGCGCAAATCTATGCGCAGGGTCAGGTCAATGAAACCGCCTTGCAACTAATTGCACAAGCTCCACAGACGATTTCTCCTGGAATTAGCTGGACCAGTGTCAACCTTCGGCCATTTAAGTGAGTCGTGGTTATCACCTCTGATGCCAGCGCTCATGATGTTCCAGCGCGCCTGTTGCGTCTGCCGTCGTGGTTATTGGGCAGATTTATCTATGTATATTCACGTATGTTTTTTTGTAGAGTTATCCTTACGTTTAATAACAACTTTACAGGTTCATTGTGGTAATTCTCCTACTTTCATTTGTTGGTGAAGCTCACCCCCACACAGGCTTCAGCAAATGCGGCTGCTCTCGCGCTCGTACAGGAACACCTCCGATTTTCTTCCTACCTCCGACTTCGCTTTGCCGTACCATTACTGATCTACATACCTATGAGCTTGACATACACCCTCGTCAGCTTGGCATTCGGACTTCCCATGAACACGAGGTATGCGTGGCAACCTTGAGTGGCTGTTGTCTGATCTCTTTGGTAGATTTTCAGCTGCGGGTGGCTTCCTCCTCATGTGGATGTATGTTTACCTAGGCACGAGTACGCTTGGACTGGCCATGGAGTCCATGCTCACCGTGCTTGGAGAAAATTTCACTCCTGTCTTCCTGTTCTCCTTCGTAAGTTGTATCCGTCGAGTTATCTCCGTAGACCAGGAGCTCACGCACGGCCTATCAGATCATTGCTAATCTCTCGTCTTCAATCATTGCACATGAACTGCAGCCTGCCTTCTTTGGTTTCGGCATTGTCTTTCCCTTTTGGTAAGTCCTAGCCCACAGTTTCTCAGATCTACATGCTAAGTTTGGATGTTCATACTGTACAGGAATCTGTGAGTGTCCCAGTGTGCACACCTGCCATGTGTTCATCCGTGGTATTAGGTCCCAGGCGATTCGGACGATAGTATTCGATACCCACTCGTACCTCCCGCGCAATGCAGGTGTTCTCGTCGCGTGGACCGTTCTCTCTGCACTGACGATGACATTGTTTACATGGTATCGCCGCCACGAAGCTACGGTCAGATTGAAAATGCATGGAAGGAGGTGAGGCGAAGGTGTCCGAGAAGAAACATGATATCAAAGGGCGAAAGGCCGGTGCGACCGCCTGTTTCTCTCTGTTTCCCCACAGCTGTGTACAATACTTGTGTATGTCCCGCAAAACGTGAACACAGATTAATGAGGAATTGGCATATGTAGGTCCAAATTGTGGGAAGACTTAGATAGACAGTCATCCTCTTTTGACTCCCCATCGTTGCTTTGAGGCATATTTCCTCCACTTTAGCATGTCCTCCCGAGACAAGAGGAGGTCGACTGTGTAGAAGCCTTGAGCGAGTTCGTCATTACTAGCGACATAATGCATAGCACTATGACATGGTCTACAAAGTGTGAAAAGATGAGGTCAGACCATTCTGAGTAGGTATTCAACGAACAAAATTTGAAGACTAAACAGGAGGGGGACCGGGGGTGCACAAACTTCGCTGATAAAGTCGCGCAGCACGTTATGGATGAATCTCTGAGGCGAATTCAGGATCAATAGTCAAGCCATATGCTGCGAGCGTGTCGTTGACCTGGAAGGGTATCGAGTGGTAGTATGTCATTGGGGTCTGGGATTTTAGGTCTGCTTTCATAGGTTGCCTGGTGCAACAGAAGCGGAAGCGCTTGCCATGCTTCGGCAGCGAGGTATGAAGTTAAGTCATCGAGATCAGAATCATCGCCGTCTGTGCTCAGACTTTGCCTGCTATGAGCGATTATTCGACGTCCCAAGCAGTCTTTGAAAATAGAAAATTGCGAGATATTGCTCTAGTCACCAACGGTCATGCGGGTGATGGTATAACGTGGTATAAAGTCAAAGTGGATAAGATTAGATTAGCCCTGATCTCATGCACAGGTACAACATTGACCAGGCACCAAATACATTCAACAACACTTGACACTCCTTCCTCACCGTCGACCACAGCGTCCGACCACAGCTCGTCGACGTGCAACGCGTCCTTCTGTATACCATATAACCCGTATACCTGTATGTAAATCTGTATATTTCTTACTGCACATGGCACCTCCCAGGCGACGGGTATCATATGTCATACCTCCACCCACGGACGATGTTCCACGGCTCAGGCTGCCACCGTTTGGAGTCCCTCGCAATGGTTCTATACGCCCGCTCCTCATACCCTCTCATACACTACTGGCCGAATCCAAGAGCATTTCTGAGAATTCTCATCCCAGGCATCGACTGGGCGCCATGTCCCTCGCGCTCGACACGACCACGCGTCTCGAAGGTCGGAACACACCGGAAGGCATCCTATATACCGGTGGAAGGGATGGACTCGTTATATCATGGGATTTGGGACTTCCGTTCAAGCGTAGACATGATGGCAGGCGCCGCAGAGACAGGATAGATAGGTGGGAAATGTTGACGGGGATGGGCGATGAAACACTTCCCGAGGAGGCTGAGGAAGATGAGAGACGAGACGGAGATGTACTAGGAGATGTAAAGGAGGGTGGTGGACGAAGGCCAAGAGGCAGCGCAACTGACCAGTTGCCATATGAACTCCAGTGGCAGTTAGACGTCGATGCATTGGCATCAGGATCGGTGAGATACAACATTCATTATGTTGCGTGTAACTGGAAGCATCTCTTGTAGCCTTCCAGCTTCCGTCAGTGTGCGCAGACCCATACAGACTGGGTGAACGATCTCTTACTCTGTAATTACAACCAGACAGGTAAGCGCATGGAATGCTGTGGCGCGTAACGAGCTGACCGCAAGCAGTTGTTTCTGCATCGTCTGATGGAACCATAAAGGCATGGCATCCCCATGCCATTTCTCCCACTGACCCCTCTGCAATTGGATCTCATGCCGATTATGCGCGCTGTCTCTCACTTTGGTATGAATTTCTCAAATATAATGGTTCATACTGACACGTGTTTAGTCGCGAACAGAATTGGATAGCCTCTGGCTCATTTGACCGCACCATCAAACTCTGGGATCTCACCAGAGCATCGACAACACCCGAACCATTCCTTACTCTCAACCCACCTGATGCTACCGCGCCAAAAGCCTCTGTATATGCGATAGCCTCCGACCCGTACGGACACGCTATCGCAAGTGGATCTCCAGAACGTGTCATCAGGATGTGGGATCCGCGTTCTGGAAAGAGGACAGGGAAGCTCGTCGGCCACACGGATAATATCAGAGCCATTTTGATTTCAGACGACTCAAGATACGTAAGTTACGAACGTTTCGACCTGATTTTTTCTAATGAATTTGGGCAGCTCCTCACAGGTTCTGCAGACGGTATGCAAATCCTCATAAGTCTCCGAATACTTTACTGAATACTGTTCTCATTAGCATCCATCAAACTCTGGTCATTGTCATCTCAGCGATGCCTACACACATTTGCATACCACACAGATTCTGTTTGGTCTCTACATTCAACGCATTCCTCACTCGAGGTGTTCTACTCTGGCGACAAGTCGGGTAATGTGTGCAAAGTCGACGTGGAGGGATGTGCAGACGTTGCTGACGGTGCCTGTATGGTTGTTGCGCGGGAATCTTCTATTGAAGTGGGCGAAGGTATCAATACAATTGTGACTGCGGATGACGGCCTTCTTTGGACTGCCTCCGGTAACTCGAGTATCAGTCGCTGGAGGCTGCCGAAACGCGTAACGAAACGAGTCTTAGATGAGGAGAGAGAACATATTGCTGATGGTTCCGTTGCTACGATCTCGAGGAGGCATGTTTCCCATGCACCAGATCCTATACAGTGGTCTGCGCCGTCATCAATACATCAAGGTGCACTTACACCTTTATGTTAAATTCTCAATACTGAACTATCAACTAGGTCGTAGGGATGATACGATAGCAGCGTACCCAGGTGTTCCGCTCACATCACTTGTACGACTCACCTCTCCTGACGGTCCCCCTTTCTCCCCTTCTTCATTCGCTCTGCGTGGACGCGATCCCGAGGTTGCAACATTATACTCTGCTGCATCCATCGCCTCCGTTCCTGGAGGACGTTCACCACTCCATGCTGTCTTCCAGCACTGTTCCACCCTCATGCCCCCCAACACCCTTCGAAGCATGAAAAGTGATATCTCGATGTCGCACAGCGAGGCCGATCCAGCGCATGACCATCGATCCGCATATGAATCTCGGGAATTCGCTACTGATGCCAATCCTCTGAATGCCAGTCCAGATGCAGTGATACCAGGTTCTCATGGCCTCGTGCGGGCTATCCTGCTAAACGATCGCATGCATGCGCTAACGGTAGATACGAATGGCGAGGTCGCCGTTTGGGATATCGTACGAGGAGTCTGCAGAGGTTGGTTTGCCCGTGAGGAGGTACGTGCTGCGAGCAGATGCGGCAGTACTTCTGGCAGTGGGCCGCGTCGTGACAACGGGAGTGTGACGGGAGGAGACAAAGAGCGGAGTCCTCGTGAAGCACTCGAAGCAGTCCGAGAGCGCATCGAGGGTGAAGCTGTCAGTTCATCTTGGTCATCTGTGGACACGAAAGCCGGTGTCCTCACTGTGCATATCAACGAGCGCTGTTTCGATGCCGAGATATATGCAGACGAAGCTGGTTTCGACCACGACAGGCATTTTACCGATGAACTCCGATGTAAGGATATCCTCCTTTGCGTTAGGTGTCATCTGATCTAAATATGCACTTCAGTCAATATTGGCAGGTGGGTCCTACGAAATTTGTTCCTGGGTTTTATTCGCGAGGAACAACGCATTCGTCGTAAACGCGACACCCACGGTTCCGAGGGTCACTCAGCGTTGCATCGCACCGCAGCTCCGCTGCCACTAGAATTGAATGGGAACCATTCTACTTCCACACTGCGGCGTTCCTCCGAGTCTTCAACAAGGCCGTCTCGAGTTCCTGTTAGTACTGCGGTTGTCACATCAGCCACTAGTTTGCCCGCTGTCCTTCCTTCCCTTCCTTCTTTGACCCGACCCAGCCCTCTCCTTACCCCAATGATACCACTCATTGCGCTGAAATCTCCTCCACCGTTATCTACCATACCCCAATCGCCCCAAAACGATGACACTCCAGTTCCGCGACCGATACGCACGCACGGTCTTGATCCAGTGAGTTCGCCCCCCAGTGCGTCTCGGGATGTGGATTACTTCTCCCCCCACGCGCGACGCGGGTCTACGGCGAGCACTGCACTGTCAGATGGTGGGGATTTTTCTGCATGGAGTGGTCCTTCGAGTGGTCTGGCAACACCGACACCAAGCACTCCTAGTGGCGGCAGCGGGTTCATCGGACGTCTGAAGAGTCTCGGTAAAGGCACTGTGAGAAAAGCGACCAGCGACACGGTGCCGGGCTCTCCTATATCTAGTCCTTCTGGCAATCTAGCTGAGACACCAACTGCTCCAGAGGTGAATCCAGTGGATGCGATAAATTTTGTCTCCCTGACTATTGCTTTCCCAGGCACCTCCAGAGACCGCTGAAAAATCACCTGTACAATTGCTCCTGGCAAACCCAATCTCACCTCCCACGTCTAGCGACGCTCCCACTTTGATGTTGCCTCCAGCAATGACGATATTGATATCTGACGAAGTATATCCTGGGTGGAGAACTGTCTATAGGGGCAGCGTGTCAACGACATGGGCTGACGTGTACAAGTTGGAGTCGACGATACCTCTGTGGCTCGCTGAATACCTGCTATTCAACAAAATTACAAGCCCACCCATTGTGAAGGTCTCTTTTGTACTGTTGCCTTGGCCGGGCACAGAGCCGGGATATGCGCCACTGCCTGAGTTGCTCAACACGTCAGTGGAATTTATTCGACACTCACCGTGTATCCTAATAGATGTTCTTCAAAAGGTCTCAGTCCAAATTAACGTCAAGCAGGTTCCTCAGAGTTCGCAAGCTGACCCATCATGTGAGTTCATTCTCTGTGTAAACAATGCAGCAATTAACACCACATACAGGTTCAAGAAAAACTAGACAAGATATCTGGCAGTCCTACATCGCTGCATTCCCCAGCGCACGATGGTAGTCAACACTCACAGGATCGTGCCAGGGGTGAAGACCTGTACGAAATACTCTGCAATGACTCTGTTCTGCCGCTGGATATGACTTTAGCTGCTGTGCGGCATTATTTCTGGCGTCAGGCTGGTGAGCTGGTGATGCACTATCGGTCTAAAATTCGGACAAGTGCATCCAATGGTGGTATCTCTACTCGACAAAATATGTAATTTCCTGTAGGGTACTCATGTATGTGATATGAGGAGACCATTTTGTTTGTTAGAGCACCTTCGATACCTACCATTTCTGCTTATATAGAATGATATACCAAGGTGCACTGCCCTGTTCGGTCAGTACTTCGCGTCCGATCTCATTATTTTCATCTTATCTAAAACATTACAAGCAAGGTGCACCGTGTGCGGGTCTTCGAACTAGTAAGGACGATCGGATGACAGTTCATTCGTCGTCGGCCGATATATTTCAAACAAATATCTTCATTGGGGAGCGACTGCGCATCCTAGTCGCGTCCGAGTTCGTCTTCTTTGCTGTCATGACAGTCAGACCTTGAAAGACAACGAACACTTGGAAAAAAGAAGACGCTCGGGACCCTGTTGTAACTTCAGAAGGCATCGATTTAGATATCGGGTCTCAGTAAAATTTAAAAGTGGTCTCATTCTGCCTCTGGTCAGATAATTTAAAGCGGCAAAGCCATCTGACCACTCGTTATTGGTTTCTTGCGACCTTAAACATCTACAGCCATACTCGCTCAACGCCCAAGGATATATTGTCTTGTACCAGTACTTTTCCTAGTTTTTGCTTTCATCGTTGCGCAGAAGTACCGTGCCCTAGACTCGGTCTCCCTTGCTTCTAAAAGTCCATTGATACCAGACCCAATTTCATCAAGCACTGTACATCCAACCTCACCTGCCATACACACGTACACGATGTCGAAAGCAGACAAGCGTAACAAGTTCCTCGCCGTTTTCGAGCGTATCCGGGAGGAGCTCATTGAGCACATGAAATCGGAGAAGATGCCCGAGGACGCTGTAACATGGTTCAACGAAGTAAGTGATTTTCGTAGGTTGTATGAACAGTGATGTTGATGGTCATTCTTCTGCTTCGTTGGATCTTCTCGACATCCTGCCTCGATTGATTTGCGTCTTCTAGAACCTGACTTACAACGTTCCGGGAGGAAAACTCAATCGCGGTATATCTGTCGTCGATACTGTTGCTATCCTTCTAAACCGGCCTCTCACTGATGACGAGTACTTCAAAGCTGCCTTGCTCGGCTGGTGCATCGAACTCGTACGATTCAGCTCCTTATCGGCTTCTTCCATATACTCAACCAATGACACTCCCTTATATTTATAGCTACAAGCCTTCTTCCTCGTCTCAGATGACATGATGGACGGCTCCATCTCGCGGCGCGGTCAACCTTGTTGGTACCGCGTCCATGATGTTAAGGGCCTCGGAAAAGTTCACAACGTTGCCATCAACGACTCGTTCATGCTTGAGGGTGCTATTTACCACCTCCTGAAGACCCACTTCAGGCGGGAGACCTACTACGTGGATCTCTTGGAGTTGTTCCAGGAGGTGTGTCATTCACATCCTCTTCTGTTATGTTTTCATCATCTGACACGAACGTGCTACAGGTCACGTACAAAACCGAGATGGGTCAGCTCGTCGATCTGATTACCGCTCCGGAAGATAACATCGACATTCGCAAATACAACCTCGACAAACACACCTTCATCGTGCGATACAAGACTGCATTCTACTCCTTCTACCTCAGTGTCGCGCTCGCCATGCGTATGTGTGGCGTTCCGGATGTATACGAACTCAACGGAAAGACCATCGAGCCGTACAAAGAAGCCGACCGCATCCTCATCCCCATGGGCGAGTTCTTCCAGGTACAAGACGACTACCTAGACTACCACGGTACGGAAGAGGAAATCGGCAAGATAGGTACAGATATCATCGACGGCAAGTGCTCCTGGTGCGTGTGCACAGCACTCACGTACGGCACCGACGCGCAGAAAGAACTCCTGTATGAGAACTACGGGAAGAAGGGTGCAGACCAAGCTGTGCGGGAGCAAGCTGTGAAGGACATGTACAACGACGAGCAGGGGTTAAACATTCCCAAGCGCTATGAGGAGTATCAGAAGAAGGCGGTGGCGGAGATTAACGCTATGATTGATCTGGTGCCTGAGCCTGGGGCTCAGGAGGTAGTTAAGGGGGATAGGTTGAGGCGGGACGCGTTCCGCGCGTTCTTGAGCAAGATCACTGACCGCAAGGCGTAGGATATAGGAGTGCATGTAAAAGCCCAATCACTGTAGTTTTATATTTGTTGTAGAAATTCCGGAGACCATTGGAAGGTGTATTGAGTTGTGGGTTGTAGCGTGAAGACTGACAATATGACTACTCCCCATGGTGCCGTCGACAATGCGATAAGTACAATGTCGCTGGTTACACCAGAAAAGGAGAATGGCGTGACGTGCCTGAGGATGAAGGGGTTCTGCCCTGCAGGTTTTTAAGTGAATAGTCTGGAATTGAGGGGGAAACAGTCAGTTAGAATCATGGGACATGAAAACTTGCCACAGTCATAATAATCGAGTTCGAGCTTGAATAACACAGCGATTTCAAAATCACAATAACAATAAAGCAAGAGAGCAGAACGATAATACAGGAGAGGTGTAGTGTACTAGAGTCTCAATGCACATGCTGCGGTGGATACGAGGCTGGCGCATGATGCGCTTGCGTTAGCCGTGGGATCTGGTGTGCTGGGTGGGACGGGGGATGAACTTGTGAGACGGTCGCAGTTGCTTCTTCTCTGAATGGAACACATTAAACTACCGGGCAGCAGACAGGCAGGGACAAACGTACCCAAAGACAGACTTGATCAAGTCATCCAGCATTGCCTCTTTCTTTGTCTTTTCTTCCTTCGCCTGTGCCCTCGTGATCCTAATTAGACAATATTAACGCGCGAGAATTATTCCGAACGATTCATCACACCTAAGTTCCTCGATGAGCGCTGCATGAGTTTCGAGCGCATAGCGCATTTTTGCTTTCTGGATTATATACATGACGAGCGCAGGAGTGCGACCCATTATCAGGCCAGTCCTGGGGTCCATAAGCCTCTGCAAATGCGGTGGAAGTCCATCATCCTCCCCATCGTCTTCATCGTCATCTTCCTCGCGCGTGAGGGCTGAAAAGTAATCCCCTCCACCCCCGATACCGTTGTCGAGCTCAGAAGGCGTATGAGGTTCGAGTTTGAAGGTATTGAATGCAGATTGTTCGGGGACAGGTGCGTTGGTTTGGGGGTGGGAGGGAGACTGGGATCGCTTGCGTTTGCGTACCCCTGAGGCGCCCCGGCCGGAAGGGGGTGGAGGCATGTTATGTTGTAGTCGCATGTGCTTTGCTAGTGCGTCGGAGCGGGTGAAGGACTTGTCGCATTCTGGAAGTATTTGAGTAGGTGGAGACAAAGGCAAACGGAATTAGTGCGAACAGGGGGGATGAAAGTTGGGGTGGGGAGGTGAAGTACAAAGGGGGAGGACGGAGACCGATGACTTTCTTTTACTTTATATGGGGTAGGGAACAAAGCAGAAGAAGAAGAGGATATGAACGGAGGACACGCCACTCACCTGGTCGAGAGCAAATGAACGGCTTCTCTCCGGTATGCGAGCGGATATGGGATATAAGGGCGAATCGCGAGGTTTGTGCGAGTCCGCGGCGGTTGCATGTCGCCCACTCACAAGTGTAGTTCGACTTGTGCACGCCAATGTGCGCTACAGTAATATATTAATATTTAGTTTCAAGGACATCTGGACATGGACGTACTGGAATGAATATGCTCTATGAGGCTGGGGAGGTGGCTGAAGACGATGCCGCAGTCGTCCCAGAGGCATGTCATCGTGTCAGACCCCGCTGCCTCCACATGCTCAGCAGCTGTAGGCCCCGGAGAGCCTGTTTGGCTCACGCTCGGTTGAACATCGGGTGTTTCGTCTGCTGAGGTATCATCTTGTTGTTCTGATGTCTGTGAAAACGCAGGAGACGGCGAGCGAGTGTAAGCCCCGTACGACATTGTTGACGAAAGATGTAAGTGCTCTGCTGGGCGGCACGATGGTGAGGTGCTGTTTGCACTTGCCAAATCGGGTGCATAGATGATAGGTTCATGCTCTAAAAGCCGTGTAAAACGCCCTAACTAGTCCCACAAAAGCCGTTTCTCGCAGGGTCCTACATGCTCTGAAAAACCACGTTGGCTCATGCGATGATGGGAAATACCCAATCTTGGTATATGGTAAGAGACGGTAAGTACCAAGCACCTTCCCGCTCCAGGCAGGCTATCTTCACCTTCCAGATTCCAGAAGCTATCGTTGACTGCTATTGCTGGTGAATGCGCCTACGTTTGGTTCAATCTTGGTTAGTCACCTCCCTACGCTACTCGACCGATTGCAGTCTTCACTCTCAGATCACGTTATCCTACGTCTACGATTCAGATGAGCGTTGTATGTGTTCTCAGCCACACCTTGTTTAAGCTCTGCGTGCCATGATTGGCCCTGGGTGTGACATACCGGCCGCCGAGGTGCAAATAGAACAAGCATTAATGGGGTAGTGGTAACCTGGGTCGTTGCCATCGACCCGCCGGGGGTTCGATTCCCTCTTAATGCACTGGCGGTCTGCTTTGTGTTTTTCCTGGGATTTTTAATCTCTATTTTTCTTTCTTAAACTTCATTGGCGATGCGCACTGAAAGAAAAGCTCTTGGATAGAGGTTGGTTGAAGGGTATTTACGTCAAACCCAGGGTGGTGTCACAATGGAGCTCGAATTTGAGAAGTTTGACTGATAAGATGGTATTACACTTCTTTGCACAGCTCGGTAGATGTTCTCCAGTGAGCGAACTGCCACTATATTTTGTCTCCGTGATTGCTACACCGGCTCCTGAACCTGACATTGTAATCGTCGCCCACGATGTGGGAGGCTGCGCTTCAGGGTTCCCGGTGTGTTGTGCGGCTGCCAGTCGTGATTATGTGCGTTTTCGGATTCTAGCTCCGAAGGAATACATGAACTAATTTGACCTAGGCTTGATGTTACTTAGAACGAAGGTGCCTTCAAGGTGCGGGATACTCAATGGTTCTCAACGTGAGTGAATGTGGTAATTCAACGACCACACTCTGCTGTGAGGGCGTGCGTATTTCAATTTCCATGAGTGTTACTGATATGGACTCATGATCGAGTAGGTCCAAGATGTAAGGATGACCGGAATGGCGGAAAATTGCACTGCTTAATCTCTAGGGATGTGCACGATACATATATCTGCTTTGTCTCTACCCTGCGATGGCTGCAGAATATTATGAACCACTTTCACTGGTCAATTAGCGCCATTTGGACGGACTTGCTTGACTATAAAACTCCAGCGATTCGTCCCTATCGCCAGCAAGAATGCGAATCGTTAAGCCTAAGCCGATAATCTTTCTTGCCAAATCATGTAATACTTCTAATACGTGTTCAAACAACCGACCACGCACAGTTAGGCGACCCATCTGAGAGCGTAAGTCGCTTGCAGGAGTTCTCGTCATTGTAAAGCCCAACTGACGGTCTTGTCAACTTGTAGCACCACCATTTCGGTCTTAAATATTTAAACACCTTATCGTAAATCAACATGAGCAACATTTTGTCTATGAGAATCATAAGATAGCGGATCCTTCAGAATAACCATCACCGCCAGTCCTACACTGCTTCCTTCTCCTCCTCGATCTCTGCCTTACCCACCTCCACATCAGAATCACCTTCCTCATGATACGAGACCCCAATACCCACATTCCCGGGGGGCGAGACCCAGCAAATCACCGAGAAAGCGACGAACGAGATCGCAAGACCTGCGTGATCACCGAATTTCAATAATTATTCAAACATGTTTTAAGGCGGTAAACCTACCCACGAAGAATGCAATATGGAAAACGCGCACCCATGCATTCCATGCAGTCGCGTTTCGGGTTGTCATGATGAGCCCGGGCATGGTTGGGAAGACGCCGAGCACCCAGGCAAGTGGGGCACGCCAGTGGATGCCGTTGTGGTACCTTGGGAAGAGTGAGAGGAGGAAGATGCCTTTTGATGTTTACACACCAGTATATAGAGCGCTCGTCGCCGATGTAGCAGTCCTCGAGCTTGAGCACGCACTTTCTTACTACAAAGTAGTCGGCGAGAAGGATCCCAGTAAATGGAGCAACTACATTGATATAGTTTATGGGTGATGGAACGGGATGGCTAAAACTTTCAAAACGTACAAAATATTCCGAAGCCAGAGATCACGGTCAGGAAAGTTGAAGCATTTGACAGATATTGCCAAGGGTTCGAAGCCAGTCCCAAGATGGCAAGTAGGTAAGCGCCGCGTCTGATGTTAATATAGCGGCTGCGGAAGAATGCACGTTTATCTGTGTTTCGAGCAAAAGACACATGTTACGTACGGTACGATACCCCTAGCCGTGTGTTAGGCACTGACGTTAAGAGATGGGAGTAAGGACATACGAGAGATCCATTCCGGCGCTCACAGAGTTGAGAACAATGCTAATGCCAAGCTGGGCGCATACACATCCGAGTCCGGCAAAGAAACTGAAATGTAGTCAGAGAAGGAACCAGAGCACATGTATGTGTTACGTACATAGCGGCGCGAACTGTCCAACGGAGGATTGAGCATCCACACTTACCGCGAGATCGTGCTTACCTCTGGAGGAGTCATTACTGAAGGGATAAGTTGAGCCCTGCCCCAGTGGATGATCCTCCCACTCACTAGTAATCCTGCAGAGTCGCAAGAAGCAGGAAAGGCTCCCAAATCAGGCTTCCTACAATTTCTTGTGCACATGACGTGACGACGATGCCGATCGTGGCACACACAATGATACAAAATGGGCTGGGAGTCATTAGTCAGATTAAGCCAAGGTGAATATGGGGTTGTGGATGTACGCGGCGACGAACTGAGATAACGTGGGCGCATCTGAAGGAACTTGTTAGTCTGATGAACAAGCATATGATGGGCGCTGGACAAACATGGCCGGTTGGCATAGCGCGTCCAGTCGCTTTGTCCGAGGGTACCGCCACCCCTTTCCAGCATAGCATATATTAGGTGTGTGTACAAGGGACGAAGGTGCAGTCTCGTACCATGAACCGAGAATTGCCGTGATACCGAATAACATGGCCCTATCGCATTATTTATCAAAATATGTAACCTGTATCTCAGTTCCTGGTCTTACCATCCCGTGCCACCGTGGACGGGACTGGCTGGCTCCCGAAACAAGGGGCCACCAGAATGTGTATTTGAGACTGCCCAGGCAAGAAGTCCAATCAGGCTGGACTGCAGCGTAAGTGCGGTGCATGTGTGAAGTCAGAATAGTGGTTGTGCTTACGTGCTGCCGAACATGACAGACGAGACGATGAAAGGTTTCTGGAGCCGCTCAGGAGGAATGCGCATGACTGTGATGAAGAGAACGTAGTAAATGCTGCGTACGACATGTCAGATTTAATGAGTTCGTAACGAGAGGGTGTATCAGACATTATGCCTATGAGGTCCTTGGTCAGCAGGGTTCCTCCTGCCAACGTCTGTTTCCTAGGTCACCACGCGTGAGTCGCAAAAGAACATATAATTTAACGAGCCGAGACTCCTCACATGTGGGCGAATCCTAAAATAATATAAAATAAGCACTGTTCGATCTAAAAGGAAGGTTACACACCAGGGATGATGGCGCCAATGGTTACCTATTCAGACGCATGAAATATAGTGAGCATGCACGAGAACTCGGGGACGTACGGCAACAGCTGCACGAAATAGCGTAGTTTATCATCAATGGAACGGAGAATACGAGTAGAAAATGAGTTACCTTGTCCACCCCAGTAGGCCTGAAGCCCATCCCAGCTTCAAATGCACACATCTGCTCTTCGGCACATGAAGAAGAAACTCAAGACTCACAAGATGGTACTAGAATTGTGAAATCAAACAGTGGACCCCAACAGGTTTGGTGTGTCACTCACACAAACACACGAATGATAACAGGGAAGTAGGCGCCTCTGCAAGAAGAATCAGCATATTGTGGTGTAAGTTATTGTATACTCACCGCATGCCCCAGCTGAACCTGCACGCCACGGTGAAGCCTATGTGATGTCTTTAATGCTGTCAGCATATCGATGGAACTTGTCCCGTGATCATAGCGTCCCCACCTCTCTCCCATCCACCCGCATGCGACACACAGCACCCCAACAATGAGACCTCCAACAACAAGGGTCACGATAGCCTGTTGCGCGTCTAGGCCGTATGCGAGTAGTGTGCTGCCAGCAGTATACGCAGAAATGCAGAGACCAGAAATGCACCAGTAGATAAAGTAGGACCATATCTTGTAGGTGCGGCGCTCTTTGGGCATGGGGATGAGGTCGCGGTTGAGCCATAGGGTGTTGGGCACTCCAGGGTCGGTGGGTACCTCAATTTTCTGGAGAAATTTGCGCCAGCGAGAAGGATACGAACCTGCCTCCTTTGAGTTGGACATCGCGGGTGGTCGGTGAAATCAAAATCTCAACGCTGGTGGCCGAGCACTCTGCTGTGTATGAGCTCCAAGTTGGGGATCTGAGTGATCCGAAGAAGCACACCAGCGATCATGCCGGGATAACGTCATGGTGACCATTTGGTCGAAACAGAGCTCCAGGGACTAACGAGTTTCAGCCCAGCTACGTGATAATCAATTGATAAGAATCATGTTATGTCCTCGAATTAGGCCTTTGAAATCATCCATGTGCCAGACGTATTAGAAAGAAAAACGTGAAGCAGTCACTGCGGAAACGACTTTTTAGTCGGACACTAAACGGAGGAAGAAACCAGGTCTAAACAGACTCAAAACGTACTTAGACACTAACCGAACGCAAAGCAGACGTGTCGATGGTATTGGTGAAGCGACAAATGTAAATAGAGTCTTTTCAGACTTCGCGAACACATCTTTCCCGACCGTTGTTTATTCTCTTCAAACACTCCTTATCCCACCACTAACCAGATCCGTAAATCCATCCTTTCGACCTCTTTTTACGGTAGACTTGGGCGAAGGTGAGTATTTTTGAAAATTCCTCTAAGTCCTCGTTTCATGCTATCATGATGGCAGAACGCAACACGATCAAGCTCAAGCTACCTGCGCAACTGACAACTTTCAAATCCACTTTCGAGTAGTGATGTGCATGGCACGGCTTTGAGCCGTGGGCCAGCCAAAGCCAGCCCCCATTGAGCCGGGCCTAGCCAGGCCAAAGTCACGGCCTGTGTAAGGCTTTGGCCTGGCCCACCATTTTGCAAAGCCCGAGCCGCCAGCCCAGGCCGTGGCTTTTAGGGGTGGTCGGCAAGGGTCGGCACCGCCCCAGACACGTTGCGTTGTCGTTGCCGTGTCTATTTTTGTCTTTGGCTTCTGCGTTATCCCCACATGTCAGAATCGTGTTCTTGCGCTTTGAGGACTCGACGTTCTTCACTCCGGTGTCGAGATGGGCCTATTAAAGTATTTCTGCATCCTTCAGATGAGTAAGTTGCCATGTTTCTTTTGATCACGCACTTTGTAGCATCGACATTACTCACTCCAGTGTCAGAACAGGTCCTTCGATGCACTATGTCGTTGTCCGGAGGCTTGATGGTCTGTCAAACTTATATTGTTTGCTGATCTGTTGCTGTCACGGTACATGTGCAAACTTATATTGTTTGCTGATCTGTTATTGTATGTGCATCTCTCCCTACTTCCTACCGCCTACTGCCAGTGCCCTCACATGATCAACCCAGACTCAGCCTCCATCGATGGCAATGAGCGTCATCGTCCCGTACGACGGACAAAACCAACAGCCACACTTCTCCAGCACTCAGAGAAGGCGGCCCTCACATCACAGACAAAAGCTATCAACGAGTTTCGTGCCGCAGAGGCTGTGAAGTCTACTACCGAGAATCAACGGACTGCCACCCCAGGTCCATCGCTAGAGCCTGCAACAACCCAGCCCACCGCATCTACATCTAATGGCAAACGCCCCCACATTGAACTAATTTTGGATGATGTTCTATCCGATGAGCATGAAAATGCGCGCACAAATCCGAAACGTAAGTTTATTTTACCCTCAATGATTTGATTTGACTTACATTTAACCGTTAGCAAAAAAAACTTGCAAACTCGCTGTGAGAACAGACACAGAGCCAGTGGGTGAGGATGGCATCCTCATTGACATCGACGTCCAGTTGATCGTGGACGCAGGGTCAACACGTGAGCTCAGAACTGCTGATGTTGAAGCATTTTTTGGTGCTACATTTGATCATGCTGGGTCTAAGGGCAAAGTCAAGAAGCACCACAAGTGCAAGGTTTGCCGGTAAGTCTGCTCATCCTTTGCCGTACTCACCTACTGATCAGCTGATAGAAAACAATGCATACTCATCAATGAAACAACTACTCTTCGTCGACACGCTGAGGCCAACTTTGCAGTGAGTTACCGGTTGTGCTCTACCCATCTTTGTATTGACGTGTTACATAGGGCAAATATCGTACGTGGGCAGAGCAAAACTCCTTCGAGTCCATGTTGCCTGGTGACGTCAAGGGTCGCAAGGAAAAGGCCGAAGATGACCAACGTGTCATTACCTCCCATCTGACTGAACGAAAGGTTGCCAAATGAATTGTCCCGTACTCAGATGGTTTGTTCAAGCAGGCTGCTATTGAATGGCTTGTCGCCACTGACCAGGTATATCTCCCACCCTCTTGCAGTAACATTATCATTTGACTCGTGTTATCTAGCCTATTCAAGCATTCGAGCATCCAAAATTCAAGGAAATGATTGACGTTGCTGCCCGAGCAACCCATGGTGTCAAGATCCTGGGCAGGAAGGTGACTCGAGCCGAGATTATGAGGATATTTAAGAATAATCTTACGAGGCTCAAGGAGAAGCTCAATAGTGATGCCGTTAGCGGCATGATAAACACAACCTGCGATGCCTGGCAGGCTGGTAATGTTGATGCTTACTTCGCTGTGACAGGTCATTGGATTGAAGCGAAGACAGCTACACAATGGGAGTGCGAAAGTGCGCTACTCGGCTTCACGCAAGTCAACAATTCACACAATGGCAAGCGGCTTGGTGGGACTCTTTTCAAGATTCTGGACCATCTTTGTATTGTACATAAGGTATGCTATTGTGACTAAACGATTCGTAGTTTGATAGGATTTTTTTTATAGCTCGGCCACATTACTTGCGACAATGCCGCTAACAATGGTACAATGCTTGAAGAGTTCGCTCAACTGTATGAAGTCCATGCTGCTGCACAAAAGATTGACCAGTACTATGAAAAGACAACTGACTCACCAGCATACATCATGGCTACGTGTACATCTCATCCTGTTCATTCTGTTCTGCGTGCGACTGATGTTTCCGTACAGTACTTGATCCGATGGGCAAGATGGCATATTTTAAGAAACACTGGCCTGAAGACCTGCAAGATGAGGTCCTTGCCTGTGTGGAACTAGAGGCACGTTCAATTACGTTGCAATTCATTTTGTATTATTGATCCAGGACTTAGTTTAAAACTCGCTATCTTGCAATGGGAAGATCAGCGATACCGGTGCAAGCATCTATCAAGAAAGGCAAAGTTAATGGCCTCAAAAAACTAATTTGTGAGACCCAGAGTGAGGACGAAGACGATGACCTTGGTTTTGGTGCATCAGCAGCCGATGTTGATCCTTCCAGACCCTGGTATGCCGATTTCAAACACTACATCAACACTGTCGAGGCAAAACTGCCATCTGGAATGAGTACAGTCACATGGTGGGGTGTATGTATATAATATTATATTCCAGCTCATTCCTCGTTACCGATGCTTACTTTTTGATAGATGAATGCTCACAGATACGGACCAGTGTGGTCCTCCATCGCTCAGGATTACTTGTCCATCATGGCATCATCTGTTTCGAGCGAACGTGCCTTCTTGCAGGGGGGTATTACCATCAGCAAGCGTCGTAATCGCCTCAAATGTGACATTGTTGAGGCACTGCAATGTGTCAAGTGTGCCATTCGTCATGACCTTCTCTTCCGCCTGCCTGGTCCATCATCGTCCACTGAGGAAGCTGACGAGTTTGATATTGAACTGGATGGTTATGAAAACCTGGCGAGTGAGGGTGATGACGAAGAAGATGGTTGGGATGTCTTGCTACTGGAGGAGGATGAGGATGACATATATATTGATTGATTTTTGTTTTATTTACCATTATTCATTCATGTCATTGACCTGCTCATTTTTCCTACTCGGGCCATGGCTCCGGCCAGGCCAGGCCAGGGCCAAGCCATGGTTGAGGGCTTTGGCCCAGCCTATGATTTCTGAAAGCCCTGGCCGTCTGCAGCCAGGCCAAAGCTGGGGCTTTTGAGCCAAGCCGGGCCGGAACAACACTACTTTCGAGTGCAGAAGACCAGGACCCGTAGTAAGTCATTTGTACAACTAGACTACTCCCAACTAATTTCTATCTAGACTGTTGAAATTTCAATGCGCAAGCCTCTCAAGCGATCGAGGTCACAGCCTAGTAGTTCAGAGGACTTGTGCAACCGTGGAATGTAGGTTCGCGGATGGATCAGGTGAGGGTTGATTCATGTAAGAACCTCCAGCAATGCTAAACAAAGGCTGATAATCAGGTGTTAGACCCCTTTGATGAGGCTGGGGTGCGAGTGAGGGTGATTCGCTGATGGAAACATGTGAGTCCCACTGTTGTACGATGTCCCTTGTGCTGATGATGTCCCTTGATATGGTGTTCCTTGGCCAGATGATGATGATGATGACGCTGACCCCACATGTGCCTGACGCCCAAACAAATACAGGCTGTTGTTGTTCTATCTAGGTGAGTATTTGGTGTTCCCTACTAGAGCATCCAAATGGACTTACCATGACTTGTGGTTCACGACTTGCACCCTGTTGTCCCGCACTAAAGAACGGATCTATCCATGGCAGCCCACCACTATTTTCGAGAGGGGAGAGCTGGGGTTGCATACTGGGTGGTAGTACAAGTGGCCCCGTAAATGGTTTGTGTTGTTGCTGCTGCCTTTGAGTTTCCTGACCTAACTGGCTGCCAGGATCGCTGGGCCTTCTCTGCACGTTCTGGGGCACACCACACATCGCTATGGGAGGGGAGGAGAGCAGGCAGAAGAGCGAGAAGGAGGACCTAGCATGTGGGGGATGTATGGCGGATCCATAGAAGCATGTAATCCTAACCTAAACAGAGGGGGTTTTCACCATTTTTGATATTCTAAACGGACGTGATAACATATCTAATCAGCTTCAAACCCGACTAAGTAATAGCATGTCTGTAGCCTAATCACACTCTGTATCACGCTGAAATCCGTATGCTCGTTTGGTGCGGATTGGGAGACCTTTCTATACTTTGTCTGATACATTTTGAGTCTATTTCTAGAGTACAGTTTGTGTCCGTGTACATGCGCTAATCCTACTCTTTTCGTATATGACTAAAAAGTCGTTTCCCCAGTGAGTGAAAGTGATGTCATTAGATGGGCATAGTGCTAGCGCTCGCGCAGGCCAGGCCTTGGGTTTTGTAACAATGTCCGCCCGAACATTTGTTCCTCCCAGTCTTTTCCTTATCTCTGTTTCACTGGTTGAATATCTTCTCGTCGTGTGGACCTGGCGCATCTGATCAAGCCAAGTTGCAATACCGAATACTGAGCAATACTGTTACATTCGTAGGTACGCCACTGGGCCCCCACCTCCGATGCTCGTGTGATCCTACGCCGTACGATCAATGATCTTACTCAAGAAGGCCCGGAACACATCTCGCCTCAGCCTATCACCCCTCAACTCGTCCTGAGCACCAGGCTCCGGTACCAGCTCGATCATCGCATTAATCTCTGCCACAGTGTTCTTCGAATACTCATCGTAGCGCTTGGGAACGTTCAGCCCTTGCTCGTCGTTGTACATGTCCTTCACAGCTTGCTCCTTCACAGCCTGGTTCGCACCCCTCTTCCCGTAGTTCTCATACAGGAGCTGTTTCTGCACTTCGGTGCCAGACGTGAGTGCAGTGCACACGCACCAGGAGCATTTACCATCGACGATGTCCGTGCCGATCTTCCCGATCTGTGCCTCTGTGCCGTGATAGTCGAGGTAGTCGTCTTGCACCTGGAAGAACTCGCCCATGGGAATGAGGATGCGGTCGGCTTCTTTGTACGGCTCGACAGTCTTTCCATCGAGCTCGTATACGTCCGGGACGCCGCACATGCGCATGGCGAGCGCAACACTGAGATAGAAGGAGTAGTAGGCTGTTTTGTACCGTACAATGAAAGTATGTTTGGGGAGGGTGTATTTGCGTATGTCGACGTTGCTTTCGGGGGCAGTGATCTGGTCGACGAGCTGACCCATTTCGGTCTTGTATGTTACCTGGGTAATTGGGTCAGAGGCCCTATGAGATGAAATGAAATGGTTTCGTGTGCACCTCCTGGAACAATTCCAACAAATCAACATAATAGCTCTCACACCTGAAGTGGTTCTTGAGGATGTGGTAGATGGCGCCCTCAAGCATGCATGAGTCGTTGACGGCGACGTTATGTACCTTTCCGAGACCCTTGACATCAGAGACACGGTACCAGCAGGGCTGGCCGCGGCGCGAGATGGAGCCATCCATCATGTCATCGGAAACGAGGAAGAACGCTTGAAGCTATCGGGGAGTGACTATGAGGGAAATAGCGGAGAAAAGAGGATGGGGAACATACAAGCTCGATACACCATCCGAGGAGGGCAGCTTTGAAGTATTCGTCTTCAGTTGGAGGGCGGTTTAGAAGGATTGCGACGGTGTCGACGACGGATATGCCGCGATTAAGTTTACCTCCAGGGACATTGTAGATGAGGTTCTAGTGGAACGGAAGTGTCGAAAAGACAAATCGCCACAAGGAGTGACATAAGGAGATACCAGTGAGATGCGGCAATATTGATTGCAGTCCCACCAAGTCGTGAACATTGATAGTATTCAGTGGAACACATAACTAGTTACCTCGTTGAACCACGCTATGGCGTCCTCAGGCATCTTCTCGGACTTCATATGTACAACCAGTTCTTCGCGGATACGTTCAAATACTGCAAGAAACTTGTTCCGCATATCTGCTGCATACATTGTGTACGTGTGAGTACTAGGAGTGGGATAGAACTTTGACGCTGATGTGCAAGGTGAAATTGGGGCAGGGAATGATGAACTCTTGGGAGTGAAGGAGACAGCGTCTTTAATACCTGATCGAAATGAGACCACTTTCGAATTTGAGGAATTGCTGTGTGGAACGTATCGTCCCGCGCTCGATTCGCGAATGACAATTCACTCGGCGATCAGGAGATCTGTATGCCAGTGGTGTATCGGCCGAGTGTCCCGAACCTAGGAAGGGATTGTTACCCTTGAGCCGGGTGGCATGATGGTAAAAATGTGAGCATATCCTTGTTCCCGAGTCTAACGGAACCAGGGAAGTAAGGTCTTCCCGGCCTGCCTTTATCATCATGACGTGTAGCATTTTACCGGGACCGAGAGAATTGTGCATCTTTGATAGGAAGAACGGAAGGCTAGTAAACTAAACTCAAATGATCGCCACGCACTGGAGTACTCACCAGTCATCATTCTCCAAATAGTATTCGAGCAATGCAAAATGGAATCGCAAACTGTCCAGGCATGCGTGGTGCTGCGTGGTGTGACTGCTTGATCAAATATCGAGACCACGCGAGCCAGCAAATTAACTTGAAGTGAGCACCTACAGAAGGCCTCATGATCAGATATCATGCTCTGCCAGTTGTGCTCTGGGCGGGAAATCCTCGAGCTCCGAGTCCGAGAACACGAACAGTTTCAAATGAACCTATTTGGTAAGACAGGATAGAAGCGACATTTCTTGTTTTGGCCCATCAACTTGAATAGAATGGGCCAGGCTCATGTACTATGTGAAGCTCTGAACTTCGCTTAGGCTGATACGCTCGCATTCGAAATGACCTGAAGCTACTTAAAGGTCGCCGATCTCTATAGTATGGACTGAACATTTTCAATAGATGCAATCACTCAGATTCACTGCCTTCCTCCCGGCATGGCCAGTTGCAGGTCGACCACCGTGTGCTCGAATTCGAGCTGCGGGGGGCAATTCGTTTGCCCGCCTGCGACTCTTGGATGGGATTGGAATGCTGGTAGGTATCAATGACATCATTGCGTCACGGCGACCGTCAGCCTCTTGATTGCCCGTGTATAAGAATCCCGCCATCTCTGTTTCCCCCCCATCACGCTCTCTGCCCTCTTCTTGGTTCTTGTTTCCCCTTTTACACTGTCCTAGCACGTACCATCCCTCTTCCACCATATGATTATTCGCCTGTCTCTCCCTTGCATCACGATGAAGGCGTCAGGTATGTACCAGTCGCTAGCTCGTCTAGTGACTACCCGCCAACTAAAGTGTTCTTTCCGCAGTGTCATCGACCCATCATTCACTCTCAAGGAGCATGACTAGTACGCTTCGGTGTTCCGGTGCATATTGTTCGCTGAGATTCCTTAGATTCCCACTGATGTCTCATCTTGTGAGTCATTTCTCATAGTGGCTGACTACTATTCTTGCTGCGGTCGGTGAGTTCTTTTTTGCCTGAACGGCTGACGCGTGCGGTGGTCACAGGAGCGCGCCTGGTGCATGTTACAGCGCGCGCGAGTCTGCCGTGGGTCATGTGCAGTAGGCGTGAGCCTGAGGCTGTCGTTCGCGAGGGGGTAGTAATTAGCTCGAGGTGAAAGGTGAGTGTTTGGAAATAAGTATATGCCTGACTGTCTGTCCCCCTCCTTCGTCTCCGTCGTACGCGTGCCGTTTCGTTCGCGCCCTTGGCCACTCGCTCCGTTCGCCTCTTATCTCGATCTTTTCTGCGCAAGCACCGTTCCACGATTCTACGCTTGAAGGACTACGCACCACTCGCACCCGATCATGCGACGCTCCGTCATTTGCTGCAAGACGCTTACTTTCTGTACTCGCCACCACCGCACATTCGATTTTTTACTCGCGCGCTCGATTCAACGTCGTCATCGTCCTCACCGATATATCGCATGGTTATCATTCGCATCTTCTTCTTCGTTATATTATCTCCATGTTGTTGCGCTGACCCACATTTTCGAGCTCACCTTGCGGATCCAAGGTGCGTCTCTGGGCTTGTGTTTGCAGGCACAACACAGGTCCATAGACGTACTTTGGTGTATGTACGCAGTGTTTTACCTGCGGTTAGAATGGTTCGTAGACTGCTGATCACTCTTCGCCAAATGATGGTTCCTGAGCTCAGGTGAGATAATCATCTGCCTTGCAAAAAACATACAGTCTGCGCTGTGAGGGTATTGATCGAACAAGGCAGAACAAAGGTGCTCATTTCACACTAGACTTTGTTTTCCTGCTCCCTACTCGCTGTCGTTTGACATCTTGCACTGAGTAATCCTCGTGGATCCGAGGTCAGTATGGATAATGGAACTATGCCTCCTTATACCCCTGTAGACATGACTTAGATTTTGTTCTTCCTCCTATGACACTTAGTATATAGTAGTGTTGTTTGCTATAGCTCCTCACACTGAACTCAACCGCGGAATGACAAGGATTTCGTGATTTCACTGGGCAACGTTAATCGATACAGCTACTTGTACCGAATCCTGAATCGACGAGACGGAAAACAGAGGGAGCAAATCGATAATAGTTGCTACAATCGTAATACATATATGCCATATATACCAGTGATATCGTTGATTTCTATAACGCCCGAAATGTCAAGGAAGTTGTATGTAGCAGCTCTGGTAAGGAAAGCATCCTCAATGTCTCGCGACCGTACCACGTACGAAGGCGCACTCCAGCTGAGCCGTTCGACAGTCTGGGACTTGCGGTAGACTCCTGCAACCAGGACCTTGAAGGTCGCATCACAGGGGGACAATAGTGCGAGTCCGGAATGAGTTGGAAAAGTTCGAGGTTGTGAATGCAAAATCTACTTATGGGTCAGTTTAGGGCCGGTCGTGTGGAGATACAGCTCCGAAGGTTTGAGCCAAACCAAAGAATTATGAGTAAGTACTGAAATTATGAATCACTCGGCCGTGGCAAATTGGCGTAGTAAATACTAATGTAGTGGTAAGGAACATCCAGACGCTATGCTACGCCCAAAGACTACAGTTGACTTATTGGAGGATGAGCATAACATCTGCATGTATAATTTAATTGAGGGAGTTGATAGTGGCCTCCTGGCAATCCAGGGCCACGCCATTTCCCATCTTCTTGTAGCACAGGGGGTAGGAGCTAACGAGCAATGTCAACCAACTTAGAGGGATAGAAAGGAGAGAACTCACTATTCAGAGGTCTTGGCAGCCGAGCCGCAGGACAAGCCCACTGGGCCAGTAACCGAAGTGTCCTCTTTCATCATTGCGAGCAGTGTCGGGATGAAATCGTCGCCCGCCTTCAGGACTCTCCGGCAGTAGGCCAAGGTGTAGCCAGAGGAGCATGACTCAGCGCGACGAGCTAGAGATGGCGGTTTAACATTTGAAGACGAGGCATTCTCCGGGTCAGTGGGAATAACATTGGTTGCAGACGAACGGAGTTTCAAGCCTTTGGGGGATGAAGACTGGGTGAGCTTGGGGGAAATGGAAGGCGACGCTCCCGGGTCAACTTACCATTGGCACCAAGAGCCTTGACAACGCCCTCGACTCTAGACTGCATTCGAGATGGGTAGGCATCCCTAGGCACTGGGCTCTTTAGGTTGGGTGTCTTAACCTTGCTTTCGGCCTGAGAAAAGCCTTGCGGCGCCACGGGGATGGTGCTACGAACAGCTGAAGTCTTTGAGGCGTCAGTTTTGGGAAACTGGAGGGAAGGGAATAACCTTGTGTACTCACACGATAGATGTCGTTACCATCGAAGGTGTCGCGATAGCCGATGGGTTGGGGGTTCTCGCTGGGGCGGCTGCCGGGACTGAAGATGCCGAAGAGACCGCCGAGGAGGGCGGGGGTGGGAAGAGCAACTGCAAAAGTAGCAGTGGCGAGGATCAAAAGAGCGGACTTCTTGAACATGTTGAACGAGTGTGGGTGGATGGTGATCCGGACTGGTAGTAGAGCGAAGGAGACTGGAGTGTGTGCTAAGCCGAAAAAAGGGTTTTATATGCTTCGCATGATTGAAACGCGACCCTTCAAAAATTTCAACAAGAAATTGATCCGATCTGGAAGGATAGATTCCGGAATGAAGAATCACGTACTTTTTGACAATCGGTCAAGAATCTGGTAGCTGGGCACCAGATGCTGGCTTAACCTCAACGTTTCATACAAAGCACCTTTGAGGCACTTTGAGGCGAGGCGAGGCGGTCAGTTTGAAAATGCAACTGTGTTCGCACCAGCGACAAAGGAAATAAGTATGTGACGTCATGTTACTCATGAGAGCCGAAACGTAAAACACCGTGTCGGCATTCTCAGAATTCGAAGTTTGTCGAATTCCAGTCGAACAAAAAAGGTACTAGCACGACATGACGCACCTGTTGCCTACTGTCACACGACCACCAACAACGATGGAATAGCAGTGTACTCAACGCGATGTTGATCTAGTCAAATAGACTTGGGCGACAGGGACTAATTTGAGTTCAGTGCAGCGTAGCAGAGAAGCCTATTATTAACGACAATAAGTAACCCGGATCACAACCGCTGAGCGCTAGTCGGTACAAAGTCATCCTACACATACAATCCAAGGTTTGAAACACGTCGTGAGCAGTTCGGAATATGGGTTCGAAGTTCATCAGCTGGCCAGATACGTCCACATCCGTCGCATGTCTCTGCGTCTTCATGTACAGAAAAATCATCGAGTTTCATGTTGACTATACCCTGTAGCAACTCGTCACATGAACTCTGTGGAGTCGATATAATGGTGTTTTGTCCTAAGGGTAGGAAGGTACCTCTCAGTAGCAGCGGGGAGAATTTGTGACTCGTGGCTCACTGCTAGCATTATTTCGATGACTCTGCGAGAAATACGCGCCTGATTGAACTCTGGCAAAGTGGGCATCATAAACGTGCATGGGCGCCGGTTGAATGTCGGTGGGCGGAAGCAAGTCTTGTGACGGTCGATTCACCAAGAGCCTGCCAATGTCATTTAAACAATGCTTGTCAACGCGGTAATGTGTGTTCCGCTTAACTTACGATGGGTGAATATTGAGCGTTTTCCGCTCTGCATGATGGTTTCTATCAGTCGTTTGCGCCAAGCGAACGGGTGGCATGCAAGGTGTGCCATGTGTCTGCATGGCGGTTGACTATCAGGATATGCGTGGATGCATGCGTCATGAGAGCCATCGACCCTCCAGAATCCATATCTCGGCTTAATAGCGGACCGAGCCTGATGTAAATGGTGTGGCAGGTGGCAAGTTGGCAAGTTGGCATCAAAGATAACCTGCCCTGCCACCTTGGTGGTGATCATAGATGGGAACCGTTGGCTGGCTTTGGCTGGCCGGTCCAGACAAGGTCCAGAGAATCAGTTCTCATTGCCCACTTGCCTTATTAGGACTGCTGACATAACGGTGTCGCGTCTAGCTTGCGCGTCGATTAACCTGCTCTACCAACTCCACCATGGACCACTTTCCAACTAACTGGGGTCGTCCAGTAAGTGCCATGAGTTGAAACCAGAGTACACCACTGAATTCTGATCTTGTAGAGAAACGACGCTTTTGATGCATATGCCACATACCCCATTCACCAGAGACCAAACAATGGTCCCAAGGATACTTTCGCTGATGGCGTACAGCGAACACAGTGAGTCTTGTCAATTCCCTCTCGTTTGCTTCCATCTGACTTGATACATAGACAACCAATCGTGACTGGATCGAGCGTGTTGGCGATCAAGTACAAGGATGGTGTCATGATGGCCGCTGACAATCTCGGTATCTTCACTTTCAGTCATTCCGTACATAGGCTCATGTATTCTTTAACAGCATCATACGGCTCCCTCGCTCGGTTCAAGGATGTACAGCGTCTGCACCAAGTCGGCAACTATACTGTCATCGGTGCAGGAGGCGACATGTCGGACTTCCAGTATATTCAATATATCCTTGAGGAGCTGTCCACCGAGGAGATAGCAGCGCAAGATGAACACGAACTCGGTCCTGTCGAGATCCATGAGTACATGTCTCAGGTCATGTACGCCCGTCGGTCCAAGATGAACCCGCTTTGGAATTCCCTGCTTATTGGTGGATTCAAGGACGGCAAGAGGTAATACGTGTTACATCGTTCTCGAGCAGGGCTCAACTACTTTTCAAGGTTCTTGTCGTACGTTGATCTGTTGGGTACGACGTATTCTGCCTCGACACTTGCTACTGGGTATGGCGCTTTCATCGCCCAACCACTGCTACGTAAGGCAGTTGAAGGGAGGGAGGACGTCTTGACTGAAGAAGAAGCACGGAAAATCCTTGAGGATAGTATGCGCGTGCTATTCTACAGGGATGCCCGAAGTTTGAACAAGGTTCATTTCAAAAATGATGTTGTTATCACATTGTCAACTGACTTCTTTTCAGTTCCAAATTGCCACCATCTCTAGCGCAGGAGTGTCTATCAGTGATTCGATGCAGCTCGAGACTGCATGGTCATTCGCAGAAAGCATCAGGGGTTACGGTGCCCAGACACAGTAGCTTTCACGCATGTATCACTAAATCTAATTCAACATCCTTGAAAACCTACAAGACATGTAAAGGTTTAGCGGAGTCCTGCAGGACTACCTATGATTACTGAGGGGTGCTGGCTCCTCCACAGAAACTGAAGGCTTGAAGGTATTTCAATGGCCCTGTCACGTCTGAATCCATCCACTGTCCAGAGTGCGTCGCTGACATAGCATGTAAGTCCGCGGCCAAGTTACCGGAGGACAGCACTTACAATTGGGTGGGCCCGAACAGTGCACGTCCAAGAACAAGAGCACTTGACCTGTGCTGCTTGTCTGGGTGACTATCGAGCTGACATTGCCAACCAACTCTGAAGGGACTGGCGTGCACGCGCATGGCTCACTATATCCCTGATCCGTCTCGAATGTTGAGCCATCGCAATTCGGTTGTGAGCTTAACAAAATGCTGAAGGGTGAGCTCGTTTCTGAATATGAGCACGTCGCGAGTGCCGAAGTAACGAACACGAGGGCAGCAGGAAGTGTGAACTTCATGATAGCCTAGAGGGAATTCATCGCAGTTAGTGGAAATGCCACACCACAGATGCCCATAGTCTTACTGGTGATGATTTTTTTTTTGACAGTGTACGTGGGTGGTTGATCCGCAACCTGCCTGATCAACATGACGCACTAAATAGACACGGGCTTAAGCAATGCGCTTTAATGCCTCTTCGGGTCCCGCATAGAACTTCACGAGTTAAGCTCCTCGGGTTGGAGCAGAAAATGACTTATGTCATGCTTCAGTATCGTATATGATGGCAGGCTCCTGCCAGGGCTGTTGGCTGTGAGCCATCAGCTCAACACTTGGTTTTCCGCATATCGTGCACCGTCGTGCTTTAGGATGGAGGATCCTAAAATTCTTACAACACAGACATCGAAAGTGAGAAGCAGGGCTGCTGCTGTTAGGTAAAAGAAAGGGAAAAAAGGGTAATAACCCCGAAAAAAAATCGAAAAGGAAATGACACCAGTTTTCGTCACCACATTACCTTCATCGATGCAGCTGAAACGGCAGGACGAAACTCTTGAGAGTCTAGAAGCCAAAGAACGTATGGTCTTAGCACGATGCCCATGGCCAATGATGAAATTAATGTATCTCTATTGTCATCTCCATATGCTACCTGTCTGGTTCGAGCTTATGGTACGGCGGCGGTGGATCCCCTCCATCACGATGTTGGTAAGCTGGCTCCGGCGCTACACGATCTGCATGAGAGACGTTTGATGCAGAGTAGTAATGCCGCAGGTGGTTCGTGTGGCGCACGTCTGATGTCGAACGGGGAATTGTTTCGTGTTGCCTGTGGGGAGGTGGTGGCGTACTGTCACGAGGAATGTCCCCTGTCGAACGCGAAGGATGGAGTATGCGTTCGTGCCCCTCAGAGGGAGAGCGGGGATTGGATCGTTTGGCTTCCTGTGCAGTGCCAGAGCGCTGTGTAGTATTTGTAGGGTGATTATTATTAGCAGAGCGTATGGAAGAGTTTGACTGCTGCTGGCGGGGGATTCGCGAGGAGGGCCCCGCGAGGGGAGATTGGGCAATGTGCATGGACGAGTTGGATGGCCTGCGTGGAGGTCGTGAACGGGAATCTTCGGGAGAACGCAAAGATGTATTGGATGGCTGGCGGGAGGCAGTTGGGATAGGCAACGGGCGCATATGGATATGTGATGAAGAATTTGGACCGACGGGCGAACGTGTGAAGGATGCCTCGGTTGGAGACGCCACCGAGTTATTCCGCCAGGATATGTCTATGACAGACAAAGGATTCACCCGTGGTGCGGGATTGGCGTCCGCAAACGGCCGGGGCCGTGCATCTTGCCCTGCAATCAAACCTCGCTTCCTGCGTCGGAACCTTACCACAGCAAAGCACAGAGTAGCAAGGATCATAGTCCCACCAACTGATGCGCACACAGCAACGATGATCGTGTCTTGATGGCTTATCTTTACACCGCCACTTGATCGTGCTGTAAGGATCGTTCTCCCCACCCGTTCCTCCCGATTCCCAACATCACAAGACACTCCACTAGCATCGATGACTTCTACAAGGTCGGTCGTACGTCCAAATACACCAGACCTTTGGAACGAGACAAGGTTAGTACTAGTGGGATCCAATGAGGGTAGATGAAACCACTCACGAATCACGCACGGCAGCTGTAACGGGAAACAAATTACACAGGCTTACCCTCAATCAATAATCTCAGTCGCCGAGGATTCCGACGCACCTATGGTAGGTCCTCTTAGTGCTATGCCGCTATTAATAAACGAAACGCTGGATTCTTGTGGCACAGTGAATTCCTGCAGAAAGGGGGCTCCGGGCGATGCGAGTATAATAGTGTACGGTGGGACTCCGCCTGAGATGGACAAATGCCAGGAATCGCAAGGCTCAATATGAGTGGCATTCGTTGTGACCGTCGGAGTAACCACCGATGTGGGAAGACAGTTCGAGAGTCCTGCTGCGAAGATATCTCAGTGTGTTTCTGGGGGTATCTGCGGGAGAAAAGCCCACATGTAACCGTGAAGACTGTAGGGAGGACCCCACCTGAGTTCCCCAAGGAGTCAACAAGAGCGAGGAGTAATTGAGATCCTATATTAATGCTGCTCTGTAATCTATTTGAACACAGAACCGGCTGTACGAACCTGCTGGGTGTGTCACCTGCCACAAACCATCTTCGTGAATTTGTGTAGCAGTCAGCGCCCCACCCGCTTCAAAGGCAAGAAGGGTGTACGGAGCCTGTCCGACATCGCTATAGTCGTCCAATAACGAAGGAAGCGATATGTACAGGTCATCACAGACGGTCAGACTGTCCACTCGTTCGGATTCCTAATCGAAGTGAAAAAAATAACATACGAGAAAGAACAATCGAAGCTTACGTGATTCGTTATACCCCAGGAAAAGCTTCGGTTACCCTCCGCACGACCTAGGAGTGCATGAAGGAAGACAGATATCGCCAGGCCTTGAGGAAGCAGCAAGATCATAACTTTTGGGAGATGACAAGCTCCAAGGACCAGCCTAAGAGGGCCTCCAGCGCTGCTTAAGGATACCAATCAAGAGACGCCCGCGTCTTCTAATTAGAACTTTGGTAAGGAGAAAGGAAACAGGAACACCTTTGGTCGAGAAGTTTCATAAATGTGTCTCGGTAATTGCCACGCGAGAAATTTCATGAATTGTTCTGTGATCACCGAGATGTTCCGCGAGTGCGCACCCTGGGTGCATGCACTGGCCAATTGTGGCGATGTTGAGGCTGGAGTAATGCCATTGTAATAGCGCTCAGCACAGACTCAGATATCTTGAAAAGAGACCTTGCACATCACCGCCCACTCTGATCGGCTGAAGCAATTGTTTGCAATTATTGAGCGATTCTCATTGGCGTAGGCTGCTAGTAGATCATTAGGCAGTAGAACGGGTCAAATACACTCACGACTCGTCTAGAACGTTAGCAGTTCCTGGTATGATGGGAGCAATTCTTAGAACAGGCACTTTGTTCAACAGTTCGGCAGTCGGTTCGAGTGAAACAGTGCTGAGCACCATGCACCGCAGTGGTACACAAATCCGCGCATGGACCAATTGCGCACTATGTAGCAGGCTGGCCGCTGCACACTAGTGCAGGCCCCTCTAGGGCACTGCATAAATTTGGCCTCGGCATCGGTATCACTGGCACGTGACGGTAGTCGTCTCTCGCTGTTCCTATCCTACAAACTTGCAAATTGGAATATGGGCATCTTATGTTGTTTTGCTTTTGCGGTTCCTACACTTGAGCCATCGAGGTCCTGCGATGTGCCTGAGCTGCAAATAGCGTATATGGCCAAATTTATCACTGAACATGAGCTGTGCATACGCGATGAGGGTCGTATCGTATGTAACACTCCACAGGACTGGCACAGCAGTGGAGGATCACATGGTACAGAAGCACGTTCTATCAAAAATTAAGTGGGTGCCAGTACTTAGTTTGTTGAGGGTTGACGTCAGGGTGCCGAGAATCCATTCTCATTCGCGTCCACTCTGTCCACGGTGGTTGGCATGAGAAGTATATTTGATCCGCAAAACTTTTGTTCCTGGGCGCAGATGATCTGCTCGGCTGGCACGTTGTAGACAATTTCAGGCTTGTTTGTCTTCAACATAAGATGTATCAAATGGCGAATGCGATCCGCTGCGTATTTGTAAGATATTGTACAGGCAGTGATTCATAATACTTCTGTGTCCATGGTACAGTTTAGAGCTGGGCGAGCACAAGGTTCGCAGCGGTAACAGTGATATTCGCAGGCTGTTCTTCCACTGCGAGGAAGTCGACCTTCCCGTCTTGAGCCACGATGACGTAGCGCTGAAATAAATTCAGTACGACACAAAATCTAGAGAAAACAACGCGATAACCTTCGATCTGGGTGCACCAAGAAGGCCAGAAGCGTCGAAGAGGAGTCCCACGCCAGAAGTAAACTCTCCTTTATCATCCGCGATGAAACGGACACCTGCACAGTGCGATAAAGACACGATCCTGTGGTATAACTATGCATAGTAGCTCCTACCTGTGCCCTGCGGTGCAAGTTTTTCTTTCCAGGCCCTGGATAGGGTGGGTAAGTCAGTAAATGCGCTTGGATGTGCATATATACGCTCACTTTACCACGAAGGCGTCATTTACAGCAACAACATAGATATTGTTCACGCCCTTGGCTTTGAACTTGTCGTAGTCTGCGATGTACTGCGGGACCTGAGAACTGCATGGCGGTGTGAACGCCCCGGGAACGCCGAGCTGTCATAACATGAGCACCTGGCACAATATTGGCATGGGGGCACATACAATGATGTTCTTCCCAGAGAGATCGAGTGTAATGGAGCGCTCAGGATCTTCCTCTTTGACGGGCTTCTGGGAGATTAGTTCGCCTGCCTCGATCTGGGCAGCACTGAGCACTGTGGCGGCGGCAGAGTGCGCAGCCTGTGCAACATTGGTAAGAATAGATGCCATGACGATTGGTGCAGAAGAGATACGTAGGTGATTGAAGAAAGATGACGAAAGGTAGGACTAACGCGATCAATGAGATATATTCCAAATGGGGCATGACGTCATATCCAAGCACGTGACGAACCAAAATGTGAGGTGTGCAGAAGCGTGACAGCTGTATAATTCATGAATACATCATCCAAACATCATGCATCATCTATAGATATAGCAGCCACACTTGCATTCAACCTTGCAGAGGATTGGAGAGATGGGTCATGATGGAGAAGATCGATGCAGTTCGTCTGTTGATAGTAGCATAGTTACTTCCATCCTTCACATCAGGAGGCTCAGTGCGATCCGACTAAGTGCACAGCTGACCCAGGGTCATTTGTTATAGTAAGCAGGTGGGGCCAACCAAACGTGATGCTGCTTTGAGGCCCAGTGGGGAATCACGGTGGAAAATGATGATGTTATATAAATGCAGGTGCCAGTACACGAGGCTATACTTTGTACCGACGACCTGTCTTCGTAAAGAAGGTCTGAAGGATATATACCTGAAAGCTGAAATATCGTCAGGCTGTTGTCGAATTACGCACGGAATTGCACTTACACGGCCATGCCCACAATGCCTAAACTCTCCAAAACCATATACCAGAACAGGCGACTAGATTGCTTGTAAATGACTGGGTCGCAGAGCTGTGAGAAGATTCACTAACTTTTGTGTCGACTTAACTAAGGAGAACCCTCTGTTCTCTCGTGTATGGAAACTTAGGGAGCAAGGTTAGTATGCGTGATGATATCCTGAGTCAATAGTTGAACATACTGTTTTTGGGTACGCTTGATGTTCAAGAGCAGCGAATTCAATCGGAACGTGCTCTCCTCCAGTGCACTGGTGTGATCCGCCACTTGTCCTGGCTTAGCAGGTGCCTCCCTGCGAGGCTCGCTCTCCACCATGATGTCAAAGTCAACTAGCTTCTGCGTGAGAGTTGACATGTCATTCTCGAAGCAGAACGAGTACTCTCCAACGGTGTTGGCAGTCAAAACGTAGTCGCCTTGCCTTTCGCGTTTACCGTCAAGTATGAGCTTCTCATTTGGATCCTTGACGTCGAAGTCTATGTCGAACGATCCTCCAGCTTGAACCTAGTGTGTGCTCTAGTTAGTATAAGCTGGCACAATGCCGCATGACGTACTGCAAAGTAAAACTTGGGGAACATTCAATATAACACAGCAAACAAGAACACGTCGTGCTCACCCCAATCTTTTCTCCTGCTTTGTCTGCATCAACATAGAAACATAAACGCTCATTTGCTGCAATGGCAGTAGTCAACGCCGAGCTGCTTGCTGGAGGCGGAAGAGATAGGAAGAGAAGACAGCTATACAGAAGAACTAATAGAATCATTGTTGGAAAGCATGTGCATGCGCTAGCTGCAGTGCGAGCTTTGGTGGTGACCTTGCCGCCATGCCGGTGTTAAATTATGGACTCCGCGAGCTCCGAAACGCGTAAGTATTAGAGGACAATTAGACATGCATTTCACTGAGGTTTGACTTGATTTTGACTTCCATAGACATATATCGCTTTGTCTTGCTCATCTGTAGTACTAACAGTGACAGTAGTGACCAAGCTACTGCGATCTGACCGCCTGGTGTGTACCGTCAATTTAATATTATCATCGCGATGACCTGACTTATTCATTGGCATCGCCAAATTGAATTCACTGACAAATCTTACTTCGGAAATGTGCTGCGAAATCGATGGCTTTATTAAATTTCAATTGCCTCCAGGTGTCCCCGAGTGACCCTCCTACAAGTCCAGTACGACTCCAATTCTAGTGCGACAAACACGCAGACGCTATGACTACATGCTCCGATGCCCCCCTTGTGTCCACACCGATGCGACTCTCCACCATGGGTTCTGCCCCTCCCGTTTCAGGCCCAGAAATCGATTTTCAACGCCCTCGAGCTGAAAGTTTTTTTCGGTTCATATCAATGCCATCTACTCCTTTACGCCGCTATGGCGTGTGGTCTTCTTCGCCAGGCTTTCAGCAGCTATCTTGCGTGTATTCTGCGCCTTACACTGAATCCTGGGCTGAACAACAGTTGTCCTCTTCGCCGAGCCCCCTCCCCAAGATCCCTACTCTGCCCAGCTGCTGCCTATCACCTTCGACTCATAATGCTGAAGGAACGCCGTTCGATCGACATTTCAACTTGTCACAATCCTGGCAAAGCTCCGACACCGACATCTCTCCCATAGCTAGAAGGATGTCTGATGACGCATTCCCACGTGAAGGCGGAGACTCTTCTCATCGGTTTTCTGGAGGATCTTGTGTCGCAAGTCCGTGGTCACTGATGCAAAAGCTTCCTGCTTTATATTCCTCCGGTCCTCGTACCTTCTCTCCGGAAAGTCCTGCCATGCATGCTAGCGAACGGTCTTGGTCTCCTGTCTCCTGTCTCTCTGCGCTTACTCCCCTTTCTTCTCCCGAGCACCCCTTTAGTGACAATGTTCCTGGCGGTTTGTCTTGCGTTTCTCCAACGCGCTCACCCATTTTTGGACGGAATGCAACTACCGATCATTCGAAAGACAACCATGGGCTAGAATCTACTTTTCGACGCTCGCTTCGTACTGCTAGCCGTGTGGCTTCCGTGCGGAGTTGCAAGCACCCCCTTCCGGAAAACCACGATGAGAAACTGCCTTCAGGCCGGACAAGACGCGCACATACTTATGGCGGTCCCACTGCTACCGGCCTTACTTCTCAGACTCAGGAGGCCCAATCCTTTGCCATATCATCACAACGTCGCCTTCCTCCAGAGGTTTCCCGCAGCTCGGATTTTTCTTTATTCTATCGACGTTATCCTATAAGTTCATTTCTGCAACTTGATGCTGACGAGTAAGTGATTTCTTGCCTGCTACTTGGTGCTCATTGTGTGCAGAGCTTCCCTTTTCAATCGTTTTAAACACCCTGGTGGTATCTACAACCCTCCCCGCGATCCACGAGATTTGTACACTCCCCGCTTTGTTAAAGGCACAGGTAGGTCCAAGATAGGCCTGTGTCCCATCTGCATCGAAAGCCCTTCGCGCGGTGGCAGGGGACAGAAAATATGGCTATCCACGAAATTCTCTGCGTTCAAGTGGTCACTAAGTTTTCCCTCCCAACCATACGATTATGCTAACATCTCTTTACAGCGTAATCTCGCAATCTCTCCTTCATGATATCACTTATCGTTTTCTCCAGCTACCATATGCAGTTTGCGCACGGTAAGAGATGCTCGAATGACTATTCACCCACTGGAGTTTCTCGTATTTTTTTTAGGAGTGTCAGCAACAACTGGACGTCCATTTTCACCTCCACTGTCATACAGGACGACTACTCGCCTCCACCCGCTCAAAACCGAACGATCCGAGATTCTTGAGGGAAGGTGTCATAAATGCAAGAAGTGGGTCCCCGTCGAAAGTATCAAAGATTGCGCGGTGAAGGTATGAAGCCAGTACGAGCTCTCTTGACATTTCTTGATGATAGTCACTAGGTCAAGGAACTGTTTTGGTAGGACACGTACGAGCACAGCGAGCAATCGACTCACTTCTGTTTCTAGGTGGAAACATGCTGCAACCTGCCACCAAGGATCCCAGGTTCCAGGGGACGATGACTTCTATGAACAAGACGATATCTCCTGTTGCCTGGAAGAACTCGGCCTCTGAAGTATTTCTCTTTTTCTTTCTTGCGCTGCAATGTGGACCGCACTGGACTTGCGATTGTTCGTATATCACGAGTGTTGTATCATCATGTGCACATCATCGTATCAGTTTGAGCTTGTGTGCTGTATTTTTCTATGGCTTGTAGTTACAGTGCTGACAAGCTAATGTGAATGTATTTTGACCGTATATGTCTGAGTCAGTAAAATACCTCGACGACTCAAACGAAAGAAAGAAGGATGAACAACGAGATGAACGGTGAGAGAAGAATGCGCGCGGTGTTGAGGACGAAAGCACAATACAACGCGTTCCCTCACGTGACTTTGATTTTACTTTCGCGTCAAGACCAAGTGGCGCTTGCGCGTCTCTTCTCGCAGTTCGCACGACACACACCTTGTTTCATGCTTGGGATTGAAACGTTGCACAAATTGCACCAGTCGTAGCAAAGGAGTTCGCATCTGAAGTCCTCAAGCGCGCGCTGCGATTTCCAGTGACAGTTAAATCCCTTCACTTGGGTTTGGTGCTCATGGTCGAAACCACACTCGATTGAAACAGCAGGCATTGAGGAACTGTCATGTCTAAATCGACCTCCGAGATTGATACGCTTTATACAGAAGTTCACCGTCGAATGATTGAGAGTGGAGAGTGGGATCGGTATGTGTCTGCTCAATATCTTTCATAACTACTGAATATTCCTCAACCCAGAATATTACATCTCATGTCCTCTAAGTTATCTGAAAGCGGATGGACAGATGATCTTCTGCACCGTGCCAAAGGTATGTATGTCTGTCCTGCTGTTGTTTTTTGGTGTCTAATCTCAAATCAACATGTGACCAAACAGAGAACGGTAGGACTATGGATCCGGTTTCCCTTCAGACGATTCTGCGGGAATTGTCATTGCATGCGCAAAGTGCCAATCTTCACTCGATCATTCGCCAGTATTACTGACTATCTTCGTCATCCCTTAGCAAGCGTGCCTCTCTCCGTGAAACGAGAAATCACGACTCTTATCAAACAGTTCGTAAAGGAGCAATTCGAGAAGTAGCCACTACACCCTCTCTACTTATCTCATGCGACACCGTCATGTAACTAGTCCACAATAATTTGTCAAGGGAGCTAAATGTGAATGACTTCTGGGCTATTGTCACCCTTGCATTCGAAAGTTACGCAACCCGGCGTTTTCCTGCGGTAAGCGTGATTGGATTTCTTGTGCAGGGACTCCCTTATCAAATTGATATCACTTGGTGTCACGTCCTTCTAGCGTCTCAGCATTGCATATCGAGTGCGATACCGTGTGTGTGGAATCACGCTCCGCATTAACCACGGCGCTTTTTGACTGGAAACAGTCATGTAGTCAGGTCTACCGGCTGCGATGTGGCATAAAACTCATAAGACATCATGGCAGTGAACGTTTGCATTCTTAATAACTGTGACGTTCAGCTCCATGCCCACCTGCAGGCCTCGCAATCATGATCACGGCTACACTTGCAATGAGACACGGTGCCTTTTGAAGGCCCGATTAATTCTTGATAGTGGAGTAGTGTGTATAGTCGCGAGTAGTTGAACATGGTGACCTTCCCGCATTGGACCTGGTGCAACTCTGGAATCAATGTAGTGGTAATGGGCTGGAACGAGGTTTACGAGAGGTATGTACATCAATTTTTGTGGATCGCTCTGGACTACCGAAATTTAGGGTTTTCCAGTGTCGAGTTTGCCATATGACATGAGCTACTTTTTCTTTTCTTTTTTTGGTAGAACGATAAGACCAGCCGGCAACTGACTAAGTCAGCCCTGGTAGGTACGTTGTTGTGCAGGAATTGTACTTATTTTCTTACCTGATTCTCAGGTTGTTAACAATACTTGGGACGAGTTGATTATCTAGCATTAAACCCAGTGGATCTCGGTCCCTGTGCAACTCCAACAGTTCGACGCTATATCACAGGAGACCTTTTACCTCTCGATGACGGAACTGCACATATGCTACTAGCATCGACTGCCCAATTCAATATTGACATTGTCGACACCCATGCATATAATCCGTTAATCCGTCAAATCCATTCGCACTACCGGGCAGCACCGATATGAGCTTACCTCTAAAAGCTACTTGCCCGTTTATTTCATTCTATTCACCGATGTATCCCAAGTTCACTCCGCTTAGAGAACATTTCAATGCCAATCGCACCGTCCTGTATTCAAGGATCCACGTGGAGTACATTTACAGGGAAGCGGTATCATATATCGAGACTGGTCCGAAGTTCACGCATTACCACGGGGTAAAAAAGCTGCAATTATCGGTCCCGCCAAAAATACGAGCTTCCATTATTTGCGATCTTCTGCTGGACTAGGTTAAGAATAAGCAGTAAGTACGATGTGGCATGTCCCGCCTCGTTAGTATGACCACCCACCAAAATCACTGTATGTAGCCCTTCGAGGACGAAGCAGCTGCTCGCTTTTGTCAGAGCCACTCCAAAGATTAAAGTACCTGTATGATTGGATCGGGTACCAAATGCTTTGAGACGGCTTTGCTCGTCGTTGTTCAAGCCAGTTATGTTAGTGCGCGTGCTAGTGTCTCGAAAGGGCCGACAGATGAGCCTCTTTGGGACACTGGAGCTCTGCTGCGCAGACGCTACTATCCTGTTGGAGTCCAGAAATATGACAAGCAGATCGAGGAAAAAGCACGGCATCGCCGTGGAGAGCCGTTGTATGCCCGGCTTCTAGGTCGGCGAAGAGCAGCCCAGCCTGCAAGAAGCGGAGGTGTGGCGTCAGCCCAGACGGCACCCTTCCATACCTACAAATTCAATCCTTCTAGTTCTTGTAGAGTGGCGTCACCGTAAATACGCGCCATCAGCGAAAGAAGAAAGACGTACTGCTTTCTCACATGGAAGGCGGTGATTAATTGCCATAGGGATTCATGCAGGATCATATTAGCAGCATTGTGCATACAGCGTGAAGACAACATTAAGAGAGCTGAACCACGCCAAAGTGTGCTGGTGTAACGCTTAAGCCTCATGGATGCTCTGCACATCGAGTCTAAAAAGGAGAGTGCAGGACAGGGAGCGTGACGCGTCGCGACACGGTCTCGTGATTTCCATTTCGGGAAAGACCGTGGAGGTTGCTGCCGTCATGCCAGCTGACATAAGCATCCACAATTCGAACTTTCAATTGAATCAGAATACGCCACTTACAGGTCTCTCTGCCCCACAATCGTCTCTGGTATATAAGGGCAGCTTGAGGATAGCTTTGAGGTGCCAATTATCTTGTTCATCGTTCTAGACGTCATCGAGCTTAGTCTTTTTTGCAGCAAGTTATCATGGATTTCATGTTCGGTGGAAAGTACAGACTTGAGGAGGAAATCGCTATCGGAGGATGTGGTAACTCTCATTATCTCTACACATTTGCCACTGGTCTCCTGACGCCTATATCATGTTCGAATAGGCTCAGTATTTCTTGGAGTTCATACCGTCGCGGGAAAGGAGGTCGCAATCAAATTAGAACCAGCTATCGCACGCAATAGTCCCCTCAAGCAGGAGTCCAAGGTCTACAAGACCCTCATGGGTGGCCCTGGCGTACCATGGATCATGTGGTCAGGAAGGCACGGCGATTACAACGTTATGGTGATCGACTTGTTGGGACCATCCCTCGAGGACCTATTCAAGATGTGCAATCGTCACTTCACCATGAAGACCGTGCTTCTACTTGCGGATCAGTTGGTGAGTCTTCTTCTTCATCTGCGGTATCGCCTCAAGTGTGGCATATGTTCCATCTACTGCTACGTGTCCTGTATCTGCATGTTGACGTCACGAGCATCCTTCCATGATGCCAAGCTGTGTCGGACTTTCCTTTTCCCGCGTTTTTCCGCCAGCATGCCTGACGCGTTCCCAACAACCCAGCTATCGCGTCTAGAGTTTGTCCACTCACGTGATTTTGTTCACTGCGACGTCAAACCTGCCAACTTTGTGATGGGGACAGACCGTGCAGCACATTTGGTCAATGTGATCGATTTTGGGCTCGCTAAAAAATTCCGAGACCCAAAGACGAGCGCCCATATCCCGTATCGACAGGACGACCATCATGGCGTGGGTACATCCCTCTTTGCATCTATCAATGCGCACAACGGCATCGGTGAGTTGTGATATGATGTCAAAATTGTCATAGTTGACCTCATGACTTGGCAAAGAGTGTTCTCGGCGTGACGATTTAGAATCTCTTGCTTACATGCTGATTTACTTCCTGCGGGGCACGTTACCATGGCGGAAAATCAAAGGCGCTACCGTAGCTGAGACATGGGACGCTATCCGAGACAAGAAACTCGAGGCTTTATCGGTCCTCAGTGTGGGCCTTCCTGTGGAGTTCGAAATTTTCTTTAACTATGCAAGAGGGCTTGAGTTCGAGGACCTCCCGGACTACGAGGGACTGCGAGATTTGTTTAGAGGGCTGGCGAAGAAACTGAAGATAGAGTATGATGATGTGTATGATTGGACCCTGTCCCAAACGCGGACTACGAAGAGATTTTGCGAAGCGTGTAATGCGCGACGATAACGGGGAATGAAGACGGGGGTGATCCTATGCTAGCCGTGAGTCCATTCCCGCTTTATGAACCCGAGCGGTCAATCAACATGTTCATTTATTTGTTGATCAGACCTTTGAGCAGAACACGTGGCGAGCACTCATGAATTGGCATGACGAAACCCTTCGATCACATGCAGCCGCTGTTACGTTGTCCTCGTTTGAGGCACTTGTGGTGACGCCGACCTGATACTGGTCAGGCTTTGCTCCAAGTAGCCGACGGCGATTGTTCGGCGAGCCTAGGTTCGTTTCAATATGGCCTGGCCGTTTCCATCAGGACGTCTTTTGCTGAAAAATTTCCTCGTAGAATTTTCATGTTGCCCATGTTCGTCCCTGCTTCATACCAGGAGGCCTACTTCGAGGCTATAATGCTTCTGCGCTGCGTAGTTCCTTGGGTGATGTGGAGACGGACTTTCTGTGCTTGAAAGTCCTTTTTATTCCTTATGTTGTTCGGTTTCTATGAGTGCCTCATGCTTTACTGCCTGCTGTCGTCCCTGCTATGTCATGCTTTAGATCACTGAATCACTGCAATACTATGCCGTACCATTTACTGCTTAGTGATTACTTATGTCGACGAATGTGCAAATTCTCTGGAAGCTAAGAGTATATGGTAGAATGATGTAGAGCTAAGAGCGGGACATCTTACATAAACACCCGACCTTTCAAAGTTCAAACCATCAAAACACACAGCGAATGTCTTTATCATTCGCAGTCGGCGAGCGCGTCTTATGCTACCATGGGCCCCTCGTCTATGAGGCTAAGATACTAAAAGCAGAGACGTGGGACGAAACCAACACTAAGCTCCCTACAGTCGGCCCGCATTTCTTCGTGCACTATAAGGGGTGGAAGCAGACGTGCGTTGTTCTTTATTTGTGGGTCATTTTATTGCTCACTGACAGTTGGCTAGATGGGATGAATGGGTGCCCATCACCCGACTGCTCAAGTTCAATGACACAAACGTGCAGTTGCAAAAAGCACTGATGGCGCAGGCAAGCGCAGCTGCATCCACCTCGGCGTCGTCCACAAAGGGGAAGGCACATGGCGGGGGCGCGATGAAGGATGGTAGCTCCTCGCGCGGCGGCGGGCTTGGGCGCAAGGATGGCAGAGGAACAAAGAGAGGGAGAGAGGAGGTGCGTTTGCTTTTTATACTATTTTTCTCTTGGTGTGTTCTATGTGGTGCTGACGCTAGTTTTATAAAAGGATGATAGCAGCAAGAAGCCGGAGATGAAACTTAACGTTCCAGAGGTTCTGAAGGTGCTGCTTGTGGACGACTGGGAGGCCATCACAAAGAATAGTCAGGTAGGATGGTGTCGTTTTTGAGCATTGATTTGATGTTGATGACCCGAAAGCTGGTAACCGTACCACGGAGCCCCACGGTCGTTGACATCCTTCAGGAGTTCAAAGACTATGTGATGGGGCTTGGGAAAAACACCGCGTCAGCTCCTCTATCGAGCATCCCAACATCTGACTCATGTGCCATCCTATCTTCCAGCCTTCGCGAGCCTGAACTTGTCCTCCCAACCATAATTTCTGGGCTGCAAGTCTACTTTGACCGTTCACTCGGCGCAAACCTTCTCTACCGCTTCGAGCGGCCACAGTACGCCGAGATGCGCAAGCAGTATGTCACGGGTCCCAAGGTGCTGGTTGGCCTGGAGAAAGATATGAGCTCTATATACGGAGCAGAACATCTGCTTAGGATGCTTGGTAGGATCTTATCTACATGAAGTACTCCGTCAACTGATGGGTTGTTCGACTTAGTGAGTTTACCGCAGATGGTCGCCAGTTCTACGATGGACGCGGAGAGCGTCGGACTGGTGAGGGATTATGTCAATGAGCTGCTGACGTGCGTTTCTCCACCTTTTCCTTGTAATTGTATGCTGATGTCGGCCGAAGGTTTATGGTGAATGAACGCAGTAGGCTTTTTTTGACAGAGTACGAAAGTTCAAGTCTGCAATACCAGAATATCTCTCGATCATAACTTATTGTTCATGTGTACATATCATTACTCACGATCTTAATCGCATGTGCCAGCTTTCAATGGAACTTGCGCTGCTCCGCATCCGTATTGGTTCGACAAGAAAAATACGACTCGAGGTCGAGAATGTCATTGCAGCTGATCACTGTTGGGAAAGAACAAGGCCCTGTTCAATTTATGCCTTTTCCTCTGGCTTACACTGAGTCTCGGAGGCCAGACTCGACCATGTATACAATCGTTCAGACACTGCCACCAAGTCGACGGTTACAACTTTCTACTTTGTCTGCTTCTCTGCTTGCTTATCCTAACCTGGCGGCACTGAACTCAGATATAGCTGGACTGTTGTTGCGACACGTAGCAGTGTAAATATCGCTGGACTAAACCGTTCCAAACGCTCTCGACACCACTAGTACGCCACCGCTCTTGGGAAAATCGTCAAGAATTGGGAAGCTGGTCCATCACAAAACGATGGAGTAAAAACCGCCTCCTTTCTTGACTCGACCAAACGTCTCGAAATTATGAACTCGCAAGGTTGGTGTGTAAAGCTGTAGCTTTCTTTTCTTCCTAACTTCTTTTTCTAGACTAGAGTCATCCGCCTACCCCATCCATCAACTTTTTCCGAATCTGTGATTTAGTCGTGAGCTTTGGCATGAAATTAGATCGGGCTGATAGCAGGCTACTGTATGAAACGTTTTCGATAAGGTTGAAAATGGGTGATCGGCTTGGCCGGCACAATCCATGGGGAATAGCCCAGCAAGCGATAGGAGCAACGCCTAGGCGTCAAGGGCTTTTAGGGGCGACATATAAGACGCTCCTCATGCGCGCGAGGCAGCGAACCATCGTTCTTGTCGCACTCATCATCACACTTAAGTCTTTCTCGATAGCATGGCCCTCACACGCTCTCTGTATGACCCATTCACCGAATTCGATCGTCTGTTTGACGATGCGTTTACTTCACGCTTCCGCCCTTCCACTGCCTTGACCGAGTCTTCCTTGACCGACAAGTCTCGTCTCACGAAGTTCCGCCCCAAGTGCGTGATGCTGCGGGAACAACTGCCCACGCTCATCTTTGAGTATACAGGATGGACCTCATTGAGACAAAAGACAACCAGATCATGGCGAGGTTCGAACTGCCTGGCATGAAGCCAGGCCAGGTCAACGTTGACGTGCATAATGACCACCTTACCATCTCGGGTGAATCGCAGCAGAGCACAGAGACTAAAGATGGTCAGTTTGTGGTGCGCGAGGGTTCTTACGGACGCTTTGCTCGAACCCTGCAACTTCCTGAGGGAACCCAGGTACGATCACCTATACCAAGGATAATTCAAAATATGTAGCTGCATCACTGTAGGCTGTAGCTATCGGCTGGTATTGCTAGGTTACGTTTAGCATATTTTCTCACGGGGAGTCCAATAACGAGTGAAATCATTAATTGCTGGTCTGAAGACATTCAGTGGACGCTGAAATGGAGTTGGGAACAAACTTTGCTGCAAAACTCGAGCCATTCCTTCTCATCTCAAAGTCAGCCAAGGGCGCAGCAGCAGCAAAACTTATTCAGGACGCCACCTCAGCCCAAGGCGTATTCGTCTTTGCCGAGCTCATTCAGCTCCCTAACATTCAGGAGGTATGTCATGTTGTATCATCCTCTGTTTGTTGCTTCTTATCTGCATCCCGTACACAAGCTAGCGAACAGTGAGCAGCATGCGCCTTTCTTTTTGCTGCTGCAGCTATTCTCGTATCGGACGTATAGAGATTACCTTGGTCTGTGGATCATATTATACCCGATCCATTTAATCCGTTCTGACTATCAATATCATACAGCAAACAAGGACTCGCTGCCTCAGCTAAACCAAGCTCAAATAACCAAGCTCAAACATCTGTCCATCGTATCGCTTGCTGCCAACAGACGCGTACGTTCAGGCATGCCTCACCAGTTGGTCCGCTAACACTACCATTACAGATCCTCCCATACTCCCTTCTCCTTCAAGAGCTACAGATGCCCACCATCCGCGACCTCGAGGATCTCATAATAGATGCGATATATCTCGACATCCTCCGCGGGAAGCTCGACCAGAAGGAGCAGCAACTTGAGATTGAGTACACGATGGGACGCGACCTCGAGCCTGGAAAGGCAGAGGCAGTGCTTGCAGCGCTGAAGACATGGTGTGTTTTCTTCTATCTCCTATCGTCCCGCATAATCATATTGTTTCTAGGGCTTCGACAACTGCTTCAGTCCTTTCTGCATTAGACAATAAACTCACGCAGATCGCTTCTTACAGTGCAGCTGTTTCTGTGGATAATGAAGAACACGATAGGGTTTATAATGCTACTCTCAAAGACATATCTGAGCGTCAGAAGGACACGAAAAAGCGAGGGCCGTTGATGAGTGGTGGGAATACCATGCGTGGCGTCGAGTTGGCAGACGCAATGGATGTGGACGAAGAGCCGAGAATTAAAGGACGGAAGTGAGTTCTATTTTCTTCGTTCTCGTTTCCATCCTTGTCTGCTACAAAATTTTCCGCATCCTCAACCCGTTCAACCTATTGCATGTTTGTATTGAGGACTGACGGATATCTCACAGGGGCGTGCCGGCGGACGCAATGATAAAGCAGTCAAGACTCAAGCGCAACCGATTCTGATTCCGGGTCTAGATACGTGCATGTATATTCCATCCGCAACATTCACATCAATTCATACTGTACTACTAAATTCATACGCGTCGTACATTAAAATTATATGATTGACGGGGTCAGCAAAACGGATACGTGAATTTTAACCACCAGGATGAGGCAAATCCGATACAGATATTAGAGCACTAACCACGAGTATTTGCACATCTGTAAGGAAGTACTTGATTTCTGCTCTCGTCGGCACCTCTTCCCATCTCTGTTAGCCTTCATCATCCTTAGTCGGGGTCCTCATAGTGGTCAACCGCTCGCCCGTCACGTTTCTAAGTAACCGCACTCCCGAGTTCCGCATAATCGCGCACCGAATTTCTGATGTCATATGGTCCTGGACCATGCGGTTCGATTCAGTTGTGTCAGGACCTTGGGATGAGGTGTGCTAGCGAGTTCGCAAGGCGCCGCGAGAGGCTGGGTGAGTTTTTCCCCGGAGACTTGTAAGGGAACCCCACTGCTCATAGGGGTCGCTTGAAGGGTGGACATAGTCGTCATGATCTGTATCACGCAGCTGCAGATGTATGGCTTGATGTGTGGCATTCAGAAGAACAAGGAAAGTGCTGTGGTCTTTCCTTCCCACTGAGCTGAAAGAGGGTTTTGGTAGGCTGCGTGGCAAAGATGAACTGCGAGGGGTGCGCGACTGCTCGTGTGGGCTGCCTAGTACAACATCTAGCAGGAAGAGAAGACCAAGAGGAGAGACTGGGCGTGGAGATCCGCGCGTCATCAACATGCTGGCATCAAGGATGATGCCTGGATGCACAAGTGGATGTTTTGGGGAGTGGAGGATTGGTGGGCAGTTCTCGGCCGGCACAAGGTCTTCATGTGCCGGTTTGTAATGCCCTTGCGCATAAGGATGTCCGAGCTCGAAGGTCCCTCCGAATCTGGACATGAGTGCCACCACAGCCTGACGATAGAACATCTCGCCAGCCTCTTTCGTGTCCTCCGATTGTCGGCAATCTCCTTGGCAGTAAAGGAATCTATCGAGGTGATCAGATGTGCGAGAAGCCTGCTAGCGACCTGTGATACAGGGTATGGAAGTGGCTCTGTGCAAGTTTTTCCAGGTTCGATGGCATTGAAGGTGAATGGGTGCACCCTGTTTCAGATCCTGAGTATCATTCCAAGCTCCATAGAAAGGAAACAAACGAACTGTTCTTGATCCTCCAGATTTATGGAATCCCATTTTAATCGTCGCTTCACGACAGAGTGGTCTTGCTGTTGCCAAAGGACATGATAGAGTGCTAAGAGGTTGGAGTGCGATACCGAGGTGCCCGCAGTCGCAGTCATATTAATTCGCATGATGGAGATGGAACAAAAAGAAAGATGTGGAGGAAATCGCCATTATATAGTCGTTCCAGCATTTTGAATGTGACCAATGGACGCGATCGCGACTGAAACTCAGTTTGATCGGCAATTTCAATTCAAAGGTTGTTTACTTCTGTTGAATTGTGAAGCTACTGACTAAGAAAATCATCACGTCTTGATTTGAATTTCCTCTGTAGTAGGACGGCGACTTGTCACTTCTCCTTACATGCATGGTTATTTTATCTGGGAGGGGTAATGTCATATATGGTTTTCCACTACCTTTCGGGTCGAAACTTGGCCGACGGCAGATGAAGATTATCATCACATGCGCCTATCCATAGTGTGCGAATGTCTTACGTCAGCAGCCTTGAAGTTCATAAAAATTGAATCGATGGCATGGTGTCTCTTGTCCCAAACTTCATACTTCAAAGTTTCGTGGTTGAAATGTTGACGACCTCTGTGAGTTTCCCTACCTTTTCTGACTTTTGATTGTGATGATTGTATTGCTGTGCACCAGACCGAGTGTGTCTGCACGTTGGAGATAATTTCCCTGGCCCTCTTTTTACGCTTGAGGGTCCTGATCTACCATTCTTTTGAATCTATCATGCGCATCAACTCATAACTGACAATGTCTACAGGCATTCAGAATACATGACTGCTCCGGGAATTGGTGTATTTGCGACTTCTGATAATCTACTTCCGCCTCGTTGTGTGGCTACATATCTTAGTAGCACACTCCAACTGATATTGATATCATCCCACCATTAGATCAAGCTGTGTTGATGCGCATATTGATGGATTTCGCCCTCGTGAGTTGGTCGTATCCTGTGACTACATGAGTGGTCACAACAGGAGATTGGCAATGCGCACGTACCGAATTTGCTCAGACTGACGCCACGTCCACTGTTCTTAATCCCCGTCCAGGCCAAAGCTGGGTCGAGGGAATCGCACCTTAAAGTACACGAGTCAATGTGGTATCCTCGTGAGTTGGATGAGGAAATCCGCACCTATTGAGAAAGACTGTTCCAGCTTGCACCTGGTCTGCAAGGGTGCTAAAGTCATCCAATGACTTGGTCCAGATGGAAGCGGTAAGGCCGTATTCTGAGTCGTTCATGAGCTCAATCGCTTGCGCATCAGATGAAACCTGCTGAAGGTCATTGCCGATCTTCAAAGACAAGACTAAGAATCACCTTTTGGATGCCAACGACCGGCCCGAATGTTTCTTCCTGCGTCAACATTAGACACGGCTTTCCCTAACAGAGGGGGAATTGACCTTCATGACGTCCATCGCTGTTGTTGGAACCTTAGGACAGTATCAAAAGATATAATGCCACAACAAACTCACTGTGATTCACATCGACCAGGACTTGGGGTGCAACAAATGCAGTGCCCCTGGAAATGCTGAATATTCATGTCTGTGGCACAAACATTGACTCACGGTTCTGCCTTTGGATACAGGGTTTCGGGTATGAGGGCTTTCGCGCCCGTTTGCACTACAGTATTGATCAGCCAGAAGTACTACAATGCATGGAACGGATATCACTTGCCTGCGCTAGAAATCTGGGTGCGAATTTTCTCCGCACTGGCGATGCTAATCACAGGACCGAGGGTTGTTTGCTTGTTCGCAGGATCACCCAATACGAGTTTCTGGACTTGCGTTCCAGTTACACCAAGGCATTCCACAGGAGTCACGACTTGCCTTGGCTTCGAGGACATATTCATCTACGAAGTTGTCGTACACGGACTCGTGAACATAGATCCGCTGTTCAGCTCAGGTAAAGTCGTACTTCGATGTTGCAAGGAATTTTTTTTACCTCGACTGCACAGCAACTCTGCCCGGAATTGTACATTGCACCTACGTACAAAGGTAAGAACACAGCGCAGATGAGGATTTTACGGACTTACCATCAACTAGCTGTATCACTGCATCTTTCAGGTCCGCATCTCCACGAACATATGCCGGGTCTTTTCCTCCGAGCTGTAATTTGACTTAGCGATTCTCATTCAGTGCTTCCAACGACGGATGAAAACGGCACCTCCAAACCAACACCTTTGAATCCGCCAGCAGCAACGGCCGCCGTTTCAATCGCTTTTCCTCCTGCCACACTGCCTGTGAACACGACAAAATCGACTAGTTTATGCTGTACGACATATTGAGTAAGAGGCAGTGAGAGATGCACCACTTGTATGAGATCGGCTGGAAATCCGGCATCATCCAAAGCTTCTTTGAACCGTACGGCTGTCAGAGGCGTTTGGGGAGAAGGCTTCAGAATAACGGCGTTTCCGGCGATGAGCGCAGGAAGTACAGAATTGATCATGACAAGATAGGGATAGCTGGAACAAGTAAGTGTTGAGTACATTCAGGATCAAATGATACTCACTTCCATGGTGCGATGACAAAAATAACACCGAGTGGAACGCGCTTTATGAGGCGACTGGCACCAGGTTGATTATCTGAAAAGGTCACGTCTGAGAGACACGATTCAGCAATGTCAACCATGTAGGTTGCGCGCTGTAAAAATCCTCTGAACTCCCCCCAACACTGATCAGCAGGCCTATATGTACGCCCTGAATCAGTACATTCGCTATGTTTCTACGCGTAGATGTATGTACCTGCCCATCTGATGGCATAACTCTTCAGCGAGGGTGTGATGTCCAAGCGGTCCATGATCGTATGTTGCCGGTGCTTCTCGATTAGCAAGGGCAGAGAATTTCTCCTAGAGGGTTCCATGTACTATGTATTAGCTCCGCAAGCACGAGTTGATCAAGAATGCACGGACAATGAATTTGCGACCCTTCGCGATGCGTTCGTCCAGCGTTGTCTTGATCCACTCTTTCTGTGACTGTACTGCACTTTCGAGAGTGCGGTTTAGATCGCCAGAAGCAGGATATGTTTCTACATGATATGCTTGACCGTTGTGGGGGGAGATAGTTGTCTGAATGTGGAGATCAAATGAGCTGGACATGATAGAAGAAGTTACGGATGCACGGTGCGCCTTAGGGAAACAGTAGTAAAAAAATGTAGGTCGATGACTCTAATTAGCAGATCATATCATATCAGTCTTCTTCCGGCTCCACTTTGAAAGTTGATAAGGGTCACGTGCAAGTCACGTGGGTATGAGGTCAGTCCAATCACGCGGGCTTAAAATCATTTGCTCAACTTTGGAATTACCCATTGAATATCATGACCAGCTCCATCCCCGCAGATGCCGCGTCATCGCTCACCATCGCCATGCCTGACGATACTTTGAAGCGTGATGTCCGGAACCCAATGCTCTTTGAGTGTGCATGGGAGGTTGCTAATAAAGTTGGAGGCATATACACAGTCATCAAGACCAAGGTCCCCGTGACTGTCCAGACTTATGGTGACCGCTACACCCTCATTGGGCCCCTCGTTTACAAGACAGCTCCAATGGAGGTTGAATCCCAGGAGCCAACTGACCCCGCTTTAGTCGCTACACTCGAGTCCATGAGAGCACAAGGTGTGAAATGTCTCTATGGACGATGGCTCATAGAGGGTGCTCCCCGAGTCCTGCTCTTCGATACGGGCAGCCAATATCACCGTCTTGACGAGTGGAAGGCCGATCTTTGGAATCTTGCAGGCATTCCCTCCCCCCCCAATGACCACGAGACAAACGAGACCATTGTCTTTGGTTATCTTGTGGCATGGTTTCTCGGCGAGGTACGCGCTGAATCTGCTTCAACTGATTGAATCTCTGCTTACTAGTACTACGCAGTATGTTGCACACAAAGCTCATACAGCTGTAGTTGCACACTTCCACGAATGGCAGGCAGGACTCGCCATCCCCCTCGCTCGAAAACGCCACATTGATGTCACCACCGTTTTTACCACACACGCAACCTTGCTCGGTCGCTATCTCTGTGCTGGAAGTGTCGACTTCTACAATAACCTTGCCTACTTTGACGTCGACCACGAAGCTGGCAAGCGTGGCATATACCACCGCTACTGCATCGAACGCGCCGCTGCACACTGCGCCGATGTGTTTACGACTGTCAGTGGAATTACCGCATGGGAGAGTGAGCATCTCTTGAAGAGAAAACCAGATGGTGTCCTTCCAAACGGCTTGAACGTAGTCAAGTTCCAGGCAATGCATGAATTCCAGAATCTGCATGCGACTTCCAAGGAGAAAATCAATGAGTTCGTTCGTGGGCATTTCTATGGTCACTACGATTTCGATCTCGACAACACCATCTATGTACGTCGTGCCGCTCTGTATATTCTTCAACTAATCGCGTCGCACTAGATGTTCACAGCCGGTCGGTATGAGTACCGCAACAAGGGCGTCGATATGTTCATCGAGTCCCTTGCTCGTCTCAATCACCGCCTCCAGCAGAGTGGGAGCAAGACCACAGTCGTCGCGTTCATCATCATGCCCGCTACTACCAATAGCTATACCATTGAGGCTCTCAAAGGTCAAGCGGTCATGAAGCAGCTGCGCGATACCGTTACTGAGGTACAAGCTCGTGTTGGCGCACGGCTGTTCGAGCATGCCGCGCGGTTCCATGGCGAGGGTCGCACCGTGGTAGCGCCAGAGGACCTGCTAAGCGCAGAGGACCAAGTCCTCTTGAAACGGCGCATTTTCGCACTCAAGCGACACACACTTCCTCCGATTGTTACACACAATGTGGCAGACGACGCGAACGACCCGATCCTCAACCAGCTACGTCGCGTACGTCTCTTTAATACACCGGGAGACCGCGTCAAGGTCGTGTTTCACCCCGAATTTTTGAACTCAAATAACCCCATCCTGGGTCTCGACTACGAGGAATTCGTGCGAGGTTGCCATCTGGGTGTATTTCCGAGTTACTACGAGCCGTGGGGATACACCCCCGCGGAGTGCACCGTGGTATGTTGTGTATCATTTGTCTTGTGCGATTTGAACTCATTCGAGTAGATGGGTATCCCTAGCGTGACAACAAACCTCTCCGGATTCGGGTGCTTTATGGCGGATTCAATTCATAGTCCCTCTGACGAGGGCATCTACATTATCGACCGACGCACCACCTCCATTGACGACAGCGTCGACGCGCTCGCGAGCTCGATGTTTAACTTCGTCAGCAAAACGCGCCGCCAGCGGATCAATCAGCGAAATCGCGTCGAGCGACTTTCGCCACTTCTAGACTGGAAGAACCTGGGCCTTGAGTACGAGAAGGCCCGAATGCTTGCGCTTCGGAGGGCGTACCCTGATGCATTCATTGGCGCTGACGAGGACAACGGGGAAGAAGTGGACTGGGGTTTCGGAGAGTTCCCGCTTTCTGTCCAAGCTAGCCCGAGGCTGAGAATCTCGGGACTCGCGACACCAGGCGACATGGGAACGCTTACAGAGGAGGTGGGCATCATTTTTTCTGAAGCGAGTTAGACTGTAATAATTGCGCCGTAGATGCAACGTTTGGAGACCAGTGATTACAGGGGCCATTGGTCTCGCACAGGGGAAGATGACGAGGATGAATACCCCTTGTAAGCGTTCATCGTTATTTCTTGCCTATTGGCGTCCTACTTATGCATTCCTGCTCTCAGCCCTCTCGTCATGAAAGTGCGCTCGCGCGCGTCATCCGTGATGTCTGGGGCAAGCACTCCTGGCGGTGGGGCATTCAAAAGCCTCAGTGAGCACGACCTTCAAAAGGCAGACGCTGCGTTGAGCCAGGTGAACGGCGTATCTGCTACCTCTCCAGTTGTGTAGGCGACGCATCTCTGGCTGAGTGTAGGATCCAAATCCATTGTCTCTGCGATATCAATATGAATAACTCAAAGTTAACTGATTGCTTGTGCTAGGATTCGTAAGCCTTCATGTCACGCATGCTCTAATGTCCTCTAGATACCCTATGTTGGCCTGGTTTTTGACTTCCAGATCTCATGTTACATACTTCCGCCTGTCACCATCTTTATCATGATCTATGTTCCATTATCGAGATTGGTACCCATGTCTGCTTTCATGTTTTCCCCCTCTATCGACGACCATCGTATGCCTTAACCAAAATGTTACATATCTAGCGATTTAACATACGTATCATGAACTTATGTATCAAAGCTCCTGCTTGATTCCAACCGAGCTTCAGAACTTACATTCAATGGAAGAGGTGGCGAAGATGAGCATTTTACGTAAAACTACAATATGGACTTGGCAAGTTGGTGTAAGCCGCGTATTACTCGGACGACCTCTATCATGGCAATCCCTTTGATTCCGCTGGTCATCGCCGCTTTGCTCAGTGGACATGGACTGCGCTCGAGGTCACTCTCTTTTTCCGGCGCCATCACAGCTTTCGTGGTTGGCTTCAGCATGCTTGCAGTGCCTGTGCGGACCATTGGGGTCACCCTCTTTGCGTTCTACTTAATCGGGTCCAGAGCCACCAAGTGTAAGTGCCAATCCGATGAGCCATTCCACTGGCATGTCTTTTAACCCATAACCAGACGGCAAGAAGCGGAAAGCTCAGCTTGAAGATGACTATCAAGAGGCTGGCTACCGATCCGGTGTACAAGTCCTCTGCAACTCATTCACCGCATTTCTCGCAAGTGGATTATGGTGTCTTGTCTTTGCGCCTGATACGTTCCCGTGGAGTCTAGTAGTTAACTCATACACTCACTCAGGACCCCTATCGGTCGAGAGCGTAGCATACAACGATGGTCAATGGTGTCCATTGGACTCAACGGTATCAAGTGGATTGAGCCGTGCGGTGATGTTTGTGACGCTCGGGTAAGTCCTGCCATTCTGCATGATGCGTCTTGTTCACTGACCTGCAAATACCATTCCACCAGTCACTTTGCCTGCTGCCTGGGGGATACTCTCGCGTCAGAACTCGGTATTCTCTCTTCCCGCCCGCCGATCCTTATCACGACGCTGAAAACTGTTCCACCCGGTACAAACGGTGGTGTCTCACTCGGCGGAACACTTGCTAGCTTATTTGGTGGTTTGGCCGTGGGTGTAACAATGTTCATCTCACTGATCATTGAGAATGCACACTGCAGAGGCAGTTGGATGACTATCCTTCCGTCACTCGTATTCTGGGGTGGTGTAGCAGGTGCTGGCGGGAGCTTGGTAAGAATAAACCCATATTGGAAGCACGCCATATATTGACGCGACAACACTAGCTGGATTCGTTCCTCGGAGCGACCCTACAGCGCACACGTTACTCAGTCGATAAAAAGGTCATTCTTACTGGCCATTCTGAGCCCACTGATCGCGGGCGGAAAGACACTGTCAAAGTTATCAGCGGACTCAATTTATTGACAAACAATCAGGTAATCTAATATCGTTCTCCACTGTCTTCTTGCTGACTGTTCGACAGGTCAATCTGCTGTCGTCGATAGGGACTGCGCTCGCCGTTGCAAGATTTTCCACGTAGTAGACTTGAACATTTTCTCTGCTTCATCTGTAGACCCTCCCCGATCGTAGTTGTATACTCACAACAATGCTACCATGGAATTTTCCTTGACCTCTTGATGGAGAAAAAAAACGTTCAAGTCAGCCCGAGTTCTGTGTGCCGTATCATGGGCTCCGAGATGTGCTCCAAGATGTGACTGTTTGCATCTCAGACATGCCAAATGCAGTTTCCTCGCCCCTTACTCTGACAGTGCTCGAGTCTCCGACTTAAAGCCATGGGCAGTGATCAGAGCACAGAGATGAATATGATAACCAGATATGACAACCCCACCGGTGGGAAACTGGTGATAAGGTGTACGCTGGCCCTTGTGAGAAGATGGACGGGGATATAGGCTCTGCAGTATATGTTGCGGGAACGATGTATGACAGTGTAGATAAGCAAACTTCGTTATTATGAGCCAATGCGAATGATTCATACCACCAAGTACTACCAGGTGTTTGGAGAGATAAACTAGCAAAGTATACAGACCAAGTACTCGTTTTCTGTGCGAATGCTATGCAAAGAAGGGACTGGTGTGCAGAATGATGAAGAGGCGCCAGGCCTGGGACTGAGCACTATCACATATACATATGAATATCCACACCGTCGCCAACAGCATAAACCGGGAAAGAACTCACGAAATGTATGATAGAATCCTGACGTGCTTGGAGAGTAAACCTTGACGTGTGGGCGAGCGCTAACACGACACATGTGTCTCAATCTGACCAACTATTTAAAACCTCAAACCCCCATGGGCGAGCGACACGTGTGTCTATGCCGAAACCTCGAGCTCCAGTGGACGAGTGACACGACGCATGTCTGTATTACACATACATAAGAAGACTTTGACCTGCAAAGAGCGTCCTGGTGACGTGCATGATGCATGACGTGTTGAGGTCCACGTAGATGGCAGCACACGGCATCAGTGCGCTAGAACCCGACATCTTCTTTGAGAACTCTTGAGCGCTATGAATGTTTAATATGTGGGCGGATAATATACTTCAAAATTACGACACCTAGATAGAAGTGGTACTACCTGGCACCATATGAAAAGGCGCTGTATCATACAAATACACTCGCTTTACGGAAGCTGAGAGGATATGGCCATTGGCAATTCAGGGCTGAGAAGCTGCGGCGAAAGGCTGTCGTGCGCCTTGTTCCTCGTTCCTTAGGCTCCTGCTAAAGTTTCGTCTGTAACCAAGAATTTTGAAAGTGTGCGGTGAGGAGCGGCACTTGTAGTATTTACTGGCAAGATTCAGAAGGTGTGGCGGGCGTTAATAATTGTGCTTATCGATGAGTCCGTTGTGGTCGGAAACACGTTCTATATGGCCGCCTGGACATGTGATCTATATCGAGGTTTGAGCACATGGATAACAGGCTCGGACCATGAAACACACTGCCAGCGGATTCTGCCACTGGACTATCAATGCTACAGATGCAAAGGAATCTATCCAGATTCACCTAATCTCCGGAGCATATGGGAGCCCATGGTCCAGAGCATCGCGGGCACGCGTAGGATAAAAACATCTGATATCATTTGACTAATTCAGGTTGGAATCCATACTAGATATCCAGCTCCAGACGCCTTGAACTGACCTCCTGTGCCTCCTGCCCAGTTCATTCTCCCTCATTGTACCACCAGCACCGTAGATTGCAATGCGTCCGCTCACGTCTATTGTATTCATCTTCGATATGCTGACGTCTCTGCAGGTCTTATCATCCGCGACGACCCTGCCGCTGTCGGCGACTACGTCGCCAATTACATCGCCAAACGGTATTTCCATATCCATATTTCTTTGCTATGGCTCATTCCTTTCTTCTAGCATTAACGAGTATGCCCCGACCGCTGCCAAACCTTTCGTGCTCGGCCTCCCAACCGGCTCTTCCCCTATCCCAACTTACAAGGCCCTTATTAACAAAGTCAAGGAGGGCAGCTTGTCGTGAGTTCTGAACATTCTCAAGGTGCTCAAGTGCATTCATCTGTTCATGATTCCAGATTCAAGCACGTCGTCACCTTTAACATGGACGAGTATGTCGGCCTTCCTCGCGACCACTCCGAGTCCTATCACACATTCATGTTCCGCGAGTTTTTCTCCCATGGTCCGTTCATTCTAGTCACTCTCGCTGGTGTAGCCAGAGCTAATTCTATGTATGCAGTCGATATTCCCCCTTCTCAAGTGAATATACTGGATGGGAACGCTGAGGATTTGATCGCTGAATGTAACGCATACGAGTCCCGCATCAAGCAATATGGCGGTATCGAGCTCTTCCTGGGTGGTATCGGAGAGGATGGTCATATCGCATTTAATGAGCCTGGTATGTCTCGTCCCTTTCGCCACCTCACTTTCCTCTGTCCCTTTGACGTTGAATCGATTGTGTCTTCTCTACCGTTTTCTTCTTGCTTTCATCAGTTGAATAATCCCCTTTCCATCACAGGCTCGTCCCTCGCATCCCGAACCCGCATCAAGACACTCGCTTACGATACCATCCTCGCTAACGCCCGCTTCTTTAACAACAATGTTGCCGCTGTCCCCCGCATGGCTCTTACAGTCGGTGTTGCAACTGTGCTCGAAGCAAGGGAAGTCGTGGTTGTGGTCACGGGCCAGAGGAAGAGCTTGGCTCTTAGCAAGGCAATTGGTGGGTCATGGTTTCAGGCATGATCATGGGTGTTTCTCTTTGGGCTCATTCACTGGTTATTTCTCTGCGGTGTATACTCACTCGTGCATACACAGAGGACGGCGTCAACCACCTTGTAAGCAGGCCCTTTTATAGTACTTTGCAGGAACGCACATTGATGCGACTCTGAATTTAGTGGACACTCTCGGCGTTGCAGCTCCATCCTTGGGCGTTGATTGTAGTCGATGAAGATGCTACTGCTGGTGCGTGCTGTCGTCCCGATGAAAGATATGACTGACCTTTGGTTGACACATGCCTTCCGAATGCTCTACTTTGGTCACCTCACATCCCACCCTTCTTGTCCACCCGTTGTCTCCTCATTCTGAATGAACGAAAATTACGGAACCACCCCCCAGAGCTGCACGTCAAAACGGTGAAGTATTTCAAGTCGATTGAACGCGTGCAAGATGAAGTAGAGCAACGGCAGGAAGAGCTGAAGGCGAGAGGCCGGACAGAGCATCAAGGGCAGGTTGGCAGCATGGAGTGACTTTGTCTGCGCGTATGAGCTACGGAATAGAGCAGAACAGGAAATAAAGATATTTGATGTTTTATCAGACTCCTAATAATCTTAACCGTCCGTTATGCCCCCATAACGGAGGTTGTGGCGCGCCGCAACACTAGGAAAGTTCGCTGCAACATTAGGACAGCTTGCCACAACACTGGGACAGCTGACCATGGCATTAGAAAAGGCTGGGTGCATGTTGACTATAGCACAGGTCATGAACTCATTCAAAAAATAAGTGGTCAACAGCTTATTTTGAGATGTTGAGATGAAAATGGAAATGATAGAATTTGATGAGATAAACAAGCAAGCTGCTATCTAGGAGAGTTGGCCATGACCTCAGGAAAGACCTGCCACAAGACTAGGAAGCTTTGTGTCAACTGTAGCACAAGTTATGCACTGGTTCTATTAAGGTCATGGTCAAGGGGAAGGTTACTCAAAGGGCTTCGGCTTCAGCTCATGTGCTGCGCCCCTTACCCGAGTACGTGCCCTTTAATTTCCGAGAGGCAGAGGGGAAGTCTGACGGAAGTCCAGGGAAGTCCAGAGGTCAGACGTGGGGGGAGTTCGGCGGAACTCCGGAAGGTTAGGGGAGAACAGAGCAAGGCTACTCTGGACTTGTCCAGAGTAGAAATGGAACAGAGTTTAGACTACCCTAAGGTAGAGCTGTGTCATATCCCGTACCTCCGGATCTGG